TACCAATGTTCGCAGAGGCGCGCGTTCAATCACAAGCGTGCGGTTTTGGAAATTCTCCGTTATCGGCATTAATGCAGTGTTTATGGCTCACGTATTAATTGACAATGTCAATTCATCGCAGCTCGGCGCGGCACAGTAACGCATTTCACCGATCTAGCCGATCTATTTGTCGTTGCAATAAGCCTCATTGCACATTGAGTGCGAGGCGCGGCACATTAACGCATTGCGCTACAATGGCTTGTACTGCGCAAACGACCGAAATTTCCCCAACATGTAATTCATTACCTGGGGACCTCAGGCTATCTGCTATCATGTTCATAAACAACCAAATTGAGATTAGGCGGAATGACAGGCTGAGCGCAGCCCAGTAAGTAATTCATAATTGAAAGATGACAATTAAATAAAGCCTGCGAGCGCGGCGCTTACGCCCGCACCTGAGGATTACTCAACATTGTATGTTTGTGTTCGCGTCGGACTGAGTCTATGGTTGAATTTTCAACTTTAACTCTATTTTTAAATATAACATGTATTGATTGTTTTGTGGTAAATAAAAATGGCAAGTGCTACTTCGTAGCACTTGCCATCGGGCCATTATATCGGGCCATAATATTTCGAGAAGAAAGTGGCGCGCTACTTCGAAGAAATTTAGACGAGTAACATCCGTCAACTTCCGATGTAACTTTGGAATCAAAGATTCATCTTTTCTCTCATATCAAAGAAATGTGTATGTATGATGTAGTAGTGGTAACTACAATTCATCGTTTACTGATATATTATATAATATATAAATGGTGGTCGGAATTTGTATCACGTGGTTGGTGGTGACCCCCACTGTCGCTTCACTATAGTACCCCTGTATCGTGCGCGGCGGGTCATACAACGTATGACAAGTCGGAATCAGGGGTAAAATAAGTTCACTTCGCCACAACCCTTTGAGAGAGTTGCAAACAGACTTGTATCACGTCGTGACCCCCATGGTCGTTTCACTAAGTTTTAAAACGTTTCTCCTAACTCAACTGTAATTCCTCAAAATCACCAGAGCCTCCATATTCACTGCCACCGTTCACTTAATATTCAACCAAACACCCCACAGTATATTCAATTTCAAGAAAGGCGCTCCTATGCTGTCAATTGTGTGTGCACTTATTTCCTTCGCTGCTCCGAAGATCGAAATAGCTTCACCGAAGATATGCGTCAACGTAATTCAAATGCACGAAACTTAAACAATTTTACTATCAATTTGGTGAGAACCTCGCGAATTAGTCATAATTAAGATTTAAGGATAACCCTGGCCCTGACTTCAAGGAAAGATGAATGTTTTCATTAATCTCTGTACAATTATGACGGTCCATGATAATGGATCTATAATTTAATTTTAATCCTGTGTAATCCTGTGTAAATCCTGTTTAACGGGTGATACTCGTAAAATATCTGTTCCATATATTGGACCGTCGACGAGTCCAACTCGGCGCGCGTCCTGGTAGGTTGTAAACCTACAAAAATCCTGTGTAATCCAAGCATGCAAGCTCACCTGGTCCAATTAGCGGGAAACGGAGGACAAGGTCTGGTGACGTCATAGTCACGTGACCTCATAGGCTCATAATCACTTGACCTCAGACCCAATCAATGATCAATTAGGTTCGGGCATGGTCAGCCCCCTGTCACCCGATCTTGAGGTGACGTACGACACCTCGTTTACGCAATCAATGCCTAAAATGCTACACACGTCGAATATGTAATGAGGACAAAAGTGCGGGTAATTTTGGCACCACTGTAGAGTGGTGCTAAAATATTTGGGTGGGTTGATGGCTAGAGCCCTTTTTACCGCCGTGAGGCGGGCGCGCGCTACTGCAAGCGCAAGGGCTCTGGATAGAGCAATCAACCAAGTTAAAATGAATCTAATTTACATACTTTCCACTACTGTATAAGTTGATTTGTAGCGCGATGCGTTACTGTGCCGCGCCGCGCACTCAATGAGGCTTCTCACAGCTCGATCGGCGAGATGCGCTACTGTGCCGCGCCGAGCTGCCATAAATTGACATCGTCAATTAAAAGTTGATAAATCGTCGTTTAGCAACATGAGGATTACACACAAGATATTCATTGTGCTTCTCTTTATTAGTAGCATAATTTAATCCCTCAATCTTTCCTAATACTTCGTCTGAAACATACCAAAAATGACTATCATTTACAGATCCGTTTTAAATAGTTTCTTTTTTGAAAGCCTCTAATCTTATTTTGCAATGCATTCAGAGTTAATATATGCACTTATACAAACCACTTGGAATACTTTTGAAAGAAAATAACAAGCTCCAAAACGCTACTGACGTATTTCTTCATAAAAAGCACAATAGCGTAAAAAGCTTTTGTCGAGGTGCCTCGAAAGTGATCTCAAACGATTCCCCGTTCAATTTTGGTCGAGGAACGCCAACTTAGACATCCATCAGTAAAGATCGCAATGAGTATTACACCAGAAGACAGGAGGCAATTCAGGAGTCTCTGCCACAAACATTTAAACTTATGTTACAGCTAGCAGCGGAGAAGGGTGCAAGTTCCTGGCTAACCACCTTACCACTCAAAAGCTATGGTTATCTCCTGAATAAGCAACAGTTTTCAGATACTATAGCTTTAAGATATACCCTGAAGCTGAAAGATTGTCCAAAACTTTGTACTTGTGGTGATTCCTACTCCGCAAACCATGCCCTCACGTGTAAACTTGGGGGTTATGTGACCTTGAGGCATAACTCACTTCGAGATACAATAGCTAATATCATGCGGACAGTCAAATGCAAGGATGTTCAGACAGAGCCCCCTCTTCTTCCAGTCAGCGGCATGCAGTTACCACGAGGTACAGCTACTGGAGATCAAGCCCGACTAGATATATCAGCAAGATCAGTTTGGAATGCGTTGGAAAGAGCATTTTTCGATGTAAGAGTGTTTCACGCTCCTGCTCCAACCAACGCAGCTAAACCAATTCCTATGATGTATTTGGCTCACGAGGCTGAGAAGAAAAGAGCATATAATGCAAGGGTCCTAGAAGTGGAAAAAGCTTCCTTTACACCTTTAGTTTTCTCCACAACAGGAGGCATGGGAGTCGAAGCGCAACGCTTGATTAAAAAGCTTGCACAAAAGATGGAATCTCCAACGGGTCAGCGATATTCAGACTCAGTTACATATCTTAGAAAGCGCTTGCGCTTTGAGGTATTAAAGACAACAGTTATTTCGATAAGGGGGGACAGAGGGCCCAAGTTGCGATATAAACCAGACAATATTGAAGATTTAGATTTAAATATTGAGCCCTTCGGCTAGAGAATACTTTCTTAGATATTTTGGACAGTTTTTAATATTAGTAATGTTAATGAATTGTAATTGATTGATATGTAATATTTAGGCCCATGGCCAGTTTTCAAAAAACTTAGTGCATAATCAAGCAAGTTATAAACATATTTCATACATATCAAATTGGATGTGCTTTTGGCGGAGATATAACGTGCGCCATGTATCTGTTTGCTATACCAGCTGCGAGTATGGACAAAGTTTAATTGAAGAAATGTCAAATACTATAGAGTGTAATATAACATGTAGGCTTAGCCTACATGTTATATTACACTCTACAGTATTTGACATTTCTTCAATTAAAGCCTACTAGGCTACTATGCTATGCCCCCACTTTTTATTTATTGTACAAACCATTGATGAAATCAAGGACGGATATGCTTAAGTACGTTGCAAAGAGATTGATATGGTGGACAAGTAGCAATTGCTTCTGTAATTGCTCATGTGTGAAGGAATGGCAAATCAGAATAAACTGATTCATGGAAATCTGTCCGAGGAATGGTTTTTTAAGGTATTCGTTAGACTAAAGCTTTAAGGAAAGGAAAATGTCACTCAAACAATGTATACATACAATTAAATCAAGTGATGTAATTGGCAGAGCACAATCAAATTAAGTGCTGCAATTGGCAGAGCACAATATTTTTAAGGAAAAGTGCCCAATGGTTAGTTCTAAATGTATATTTATAGACACATTTAGTTAGATAATTCAACTAAACACAGAGTTATGACCCTTTTAAGATCTGGCAGATACATGATCTCGGCACATAATCAGCGATTTCGTCACCCAATCAGTGATCTCATCGGAAGGTATTCGCTAACGTGCAACAATTAGCCTCATTCGGCAGTACCATACATGTTTGGGGATGACGATCTGATCACTTTGAGTGAATACTGATAGTGACTTTCCTTAAAATCAAAGATATTTGTGTTACATCGCTTCGGTTGTTGCCCTATAAGCAGTCTCAAACCAAACAGACGGTTGATTGAGTGAGGAGATCACTGATTAAGTCTTGGGATCAAGTATCCGCCAGATCTTAAAATGGTCATAACTCTTTAAAAAACAATTATAGTGAAAAAGAGGGAGTTGGGTCCGGGTGCCACACCCTCTATAATAAATGGAATTTTACGAAACTTTCATAAATTCTAAGTTTGACCCATACCTATATTCTCTGAAATTGTATTATAAACAACTAGAAAGTCGATTTCGTGAAAATTTCTTGAAGACCCCCTTAACTCTGTTTTGAGAAGTTGGTTTGTTATTAAATTCTAGAGAACTTCTTTAAATTTTCTATTTAAACACAAATATACATGATAACAAGCTCCTGTTTTGAAAGAACTATGTATTGAGGATGGTTTTCTTTATAATGTTTTGTCTCCATACAACTTTGCTGTTGAATGAGCTGTGCTACAGTAGCGTTGGTGAAATCGAATATCAATTTTAATCTTCAATTTAGTGGTCTACAGGTCTCTACATTGAGCAGTATTATGAAATGATATTGCAAAACATTTATGGCTGCACTGAAAGCGTTAAACATATGTACCTCATTAAATTGTCCCATCAACTGTGTAGGCTTAAATGTTTTTAATATAAGTTTTTTTCTCCTGCAATGACATACAATTCATTGTATTTTGTGTTTATCGGGTTTATAAATCATTTCATCCGTAGGTAAGTTAAACATCGACATGTGATAATCAAGTTCTGCTGAACATGGCAATGTGAAATGGGGGTATCTTATTGTGGTATCACTTGATAATGGTAAGATTTCTTGAGTTATCATATCAATTTTGTGATACTTACATTTAATTAAATTTGATCTGATTTAAATGATTATTTGGCTGAACAAACAAGCCATATTTACTTGTTAACAAGCATCTTGAAACTAATTTTCAGGAAATTGAGGGTCAAGAAATTGCAGATAAAAGTAAGTTTTCCAAGAGGTCCTCATTCAAGAAGTCAAAGCATAAGACTATTGAACCTATTCCTGTTGTTAAAGAAAATGAAAGTAACGGGGAAGCTGAAATTGTTGCTTCCAAGAAAGAACTGTCTTCTATATATTCATACAGGTTTGATTGTTGATAATTTTTGTTGATGATTTTATTTCATAGAATGCCTACAGAACATAATCGAATTTTCTTTAGCTGTCCAAATAATACTTCCTTCAAGAAAAAACCTGAAATCCGGGGGTGGCTTTTCCTATTATTTAAAAAACAGAAACCTGTATATGGTCAATTTATCTCAAGAGCACTCAAAGCTACAAACAATCTTTGCGCAAAATAACCGTTTTTAGCCATAATCGGACATTTGAGATTTTTAGGAAATCATAAGAAAACAATCAAATAAAACATTTTTGCACACATTATCAAATTCTTTCAGGAATGAGGAAAACCTTCTCATCAAACACCGACCAGGCAAGAGGTCTGTAACATTCAGCAGTGACCCAGTAAGGATTGAATATGCAGCACCTAGGACATTTACCCGTCACTACATTAAGTCTAACCACAAAAAGAAGAAAGATACTATCCATAGTGAAGGACTGATCATGCTTATGAATAACCCAGAAGTCTTACAACGCCTTGATCAGGATGCTGCAAAACCTGCTAAACCAGCTGACCAATCAACTCCTGATTCAGATCTAAGCCTCAAGCCTAACTTGAATGATCAAATAAAGATAAGCTTCTTTAAACCTCCTATTGCTGGTAGTTACGTTCCCTTATCCTCAATTAAAGATGGTAGTGATGGTGAAAGCAATTCTAGTGAAGAGAGTAGTGAGGAAAATGTTTATGTTGTGGGTCAGTCAGAGCATGACGAGGAATGTTTGAACATTCTTAGCAATGGTCTTGACGACGATGATGAAGAAGATGATAGCTTCTTTAGTAAATCAAATCCATTAAAAGAGACAAACATTGATGATGTTATTTTCAGTGCAAAAATGACAGAGGTCATTGAAAAATCCTCTCCCAGAAAATTCAAAGAAACAAGTCTGATTGAGCTTCCTGCTCCCCCGCCTCCTGCTCCCCTGCCTCTGGAACTTGCACCTGAACATGATCCTTCACTTGATCATGTACCACCTACTGCTGAAGAATCAGAGGAATCAGAGGAATCGTCCATGGGATCTGTTGACAGTGGCATACACGAAACTGGAACAGATCATGATAGCCCTGCAGAGGAACGCTTGCCAACAGTTTCTACTAAACCAATACCACCGCCAAAACCATCCACCTCTGCAGGTGAACTGCCCAAAAACAGTGTTGAAAAGTCTTCGCCTGATGAAATGTCTGCTTCAACCAAGCCAACCATTGCACTCAAGCCTAAACCACAAGTCACCCTACGGCACCAATTGACAACTAAGGAACAAGTTGTCACCAAACCCCAAGTTGTTGCTAAACCTCAGGTTGTTGCCCCTAAACCACAGGTTGTTGCTAAACCGCAGGTTGGTGCAGCTAAACCCCAAGTTGTTGCTAAACCGCAGGTTGTTGCTAAACCACAGGTTGTTGCTAAACCGCAGGTTGGTGCAGCTAAACCACAGGTTGTTGCTAAACCGCAGGTTGTTGCTAAACCACAACTTCATGTTCCTGCTCAGCCAAGGTGGCAGCGCCCAATTCCTACCCTGTCCAAACCATTGCAGCAAGTGTCACCTCAACCTATACAAGTAGAACAGGAAGAAGAAACTGATTCAGGAAGTGAAGAATCTGAAACTAGCAGTATTAGCAGTGATGATAGACCACCCTCACCTGATGGGCACGAAATGACCTACCTCCAGTACGATGAAGAGCCTATGCTACCCAAATACAAAAAAGATATCCAAATTGAGAAAATAGAGGAAGCTCTAAAAATCGGTCAACCTCCTAATTCTGATAACAATTCCCCTGTTCAAAACAGTGGACCCACACCTCCTAGTGATTTGCAGATGAGAGATGAGTTTGCTCCTATATTGAGACCAAAGGCCCCAACACCAGAAATTCCCAGAACGTCTCTCGAAAATTTCTTTGGTCCCAATTCAGATGGCTCTGTCAGGGATAGCAGACGTGACAGCAAACGAGATAGTCAACTATTAGAAAGACATGAAATGGAACAAAAACAACTGAGGGAACTACAGAAGCTAAAGCAAATAGAAGAGCAACAACTGAAAGACCTTAAGATGCAGCAAGAGATAGAAAAACAGAAACTTGTAGCTATTCAGGCTCAACAACACATCCAAAGGCAGATGGATATAAAGAGACAGCAAGAATTGCAACTACAGATTGAAAGAGAACAACTCCAAGAGTTGCAAAGGCACAGGGAATTACAGCAGATCCAAGAAATGCAAAGGTTGGAACTCATCAAAATTCAAGAAGAAGAAAGGAGGCGCGAAGTTGAAGCCCAACGTGAATACCAACGCCAGGTGGAAGAACAGAAACAAATGGACACAAAACTTAATTTGGACAGGGAGAGGGTCGAACAAGATCGCCAAGCTGAATTAGAAAGACATAGAACAGATGAATTAGAAAAACAGAAACAACTAGACCTCATCAAACAAATTGAAGCTGAAAAACAGAGACAGTTTGAGAAAGACAGGCAATGGCAATTAGAAGCTGAAAACTCGAAATATGCGCATCAAGCACAGCAAAGTGCACAGCTAAATGCTGATTTCGAGGACATAGACAGCCTGTTGGAGGGTCTAATGGAGCTAGATCCTATCATCAGTCAACAGAAACACAATCAGCAGCAACGACTTCAGCAATTTGGTGGGTAGTTATAGTGTTTACTTTCATTAAAAAACTTTATCTAGCTAAAATTGTTCAGGAACAATTAAATCATATCTGTAATAATCTTCTTTTTCTTTATAAGAAGTCAGGATAGGAATTCCTGGTTCAACATAATGTGATTTCAATAGGGCCTCAAAATGATGTTAACATTGTCCTTATTCATATAGGAAACAACTTTATCACGTACTCTAAAGTTAAGCTCCGTCATAATAATATAATATACTTGAAGCGAAAATATACGTCTCTCGGGCGATTCCGTTATTAGTATTTAAATCTATAGGTAAATAGGTACTGAAATTCTCTCATTAATTAATTAATTAATTAATTACTTACTAATTAGTACTTCAGTAATAATAATTAAATATGTTAATCTTGTTCCACCTGACCCTTGTTCCTTCAGAGGCGGAGTTAATTAGAAGTCGACAGCGTGAGGAAAAAAATAAGAGGGTAAGAGAGGAGGAGGAAGCGCGTGGACTGCAAAAAGAAAAAGAGCGCATTGAGAACTCTAAACTGGAAAATCAGCGCATATCTGCAGAAGATGCAGAGAAGAAGAAACTATCTGATCTGGAGGCCCTCAGAGAGCGCAAGAGGAAAATGAGAGAAATGTCATTGGACGAAGTGTTAAAGTTGCAAAAGGAGAAGAAGAAAGGTTCTCCCACCCCTTCAATCCGATCTGAGAGTATTTCCTACGCTAGCTTGAAAAGGAACTCTAATGAATCACTTCACAGTGTTTCTGCTAGTGAGTTGACTTTACGTTTTTAAAACAGGGGGGGGGGGGGGGGCAGGGGGCATAATCAGAGTGCAAACTTGTTGGAGGCCAAATTGAACTGCTTATATTATAATACTAGTGTAACCCGGCCTACGGCCGGGATTTCACTGCCGCAGTTAAAAAGGGTAGGAGTAATTACCCGCTGAGTCAAAACCCGGATTAGGCGAGCAATTCTATTCGGAGTGCCCTCACGTATCCAATAGTATGCTTAAAAGATAGTAATTCTTAATCAATAATCAATAGAAATTAACCCTTAACACCATGCACCACACCAGCCTATCATATTTGTGAACATGCATTACATTGTCGTATGAAAGTATGAACTCTCTCTACAGTCCAAACAGACCGTTTGAGCACTCCCTCCCCTAATAAGTTTATAGTATTATATGACCATGTAATATATACGCCATGTAATATATACGCTACATATGCAGAGAGAGAGAGAGCTAGCCCCGTAACTCTTGCCGTTCTTCTCAAGCCATTTTATGTAACATATTTTGTGGTACAAAACCATCAATTAAACCACTTACCACCGGCCGATTTTTATAAAATTTGCTTATTGGCTTCGTCAGAGTTTTGTCGGCACTATACCGAAAAAACCAGTCCCGTAACTATTACCGTTTTTTTTGTATAACCGTTCGGAAATTACACACAGACACACACACAGACACACACACAGACACACACACATTCTGGTGTTATTAAGTTGACTAGTGTAACCCGGCCTTCGGCCGGGATTTCACTGCCGCAGTTAAAAAGGGTAGGAGTAATTACCCGCTGAGTCAAAACCCGGATTAGGCGAGCAATTCTATTCGGAGTGCCCTCACGTATCCAATAGTATGCTTAAAAGATAGTAATTCTTAATCAATATTCAATAGAAATTAACCCTTAACACCATGCACACACCAGCCTATCATATTTGTAACCGTCGAACACAGACACAACACAGGACACACCACACAACACACACCATTCTGGTGTTATTAAGTTGACTAGTGTAACCCGGCCTCGGCCGGGATTTCACTGCCGCAGTTAAAAAGGGTAGGAGTAATTACCCGCTGAGTCAAAACCCGGATTAGGCGAGCAATTCTATTCGGAGTGCCCTCACGTATCCAATAGTATGCTTAAAAGATAGTAATTCTTAATCAATAATCAATAGAAATTAACCCTTAACACCATGCACCACACCAGCCTATCATATTTGTGAACATGCATTACATTGTCGTATGAAAGTATGAACTCTCTCTACAGTCCAAACAGACCGTTTGAGCACTCCCTCCCCTAATAAGTTTATAGTATTATATGACCATGTAATATATACGCCATGTAATATATACGCTACATAATATTATGCAGAGAGAGAGAGAGCTAGCCCCGTAACTCTTGCCGTTCTTCTCAAGCCATTTTATGTAACATATTTTGTGGTACAAAACCATCAATTAAACCATTTACCACCGGCCGATTTTTATAAAATTTGCTTATTGGCTTCGTCAGAGTTTTGTCGGCACTATACCGAAAAAACCAGTCCCGTAACTCTTACCGTTTTTTTTGTATAACCGTTCGGAAATTTCAAACATACACACACACACACACACACACACACACACACACACACGGATTTCTTGGTATTATGAAGGTTGATACATAATATTATTGAAAGGATTTCCTGGTCATCTTTCCTTAAACTATCGATATCTTCGCTTCACTTTCCCACAAATGAATTTAAACACTATATTGCCCTAAATCTAATAATCCATACGACCCCACTCCTGAGTGAAGATTGTGATATAATGTGATAATGTGATATGATGTTGTTATGTGATGTGGTATTGTGGTGTAGGTCTTACAGGTCAGTAACAACATCCCCGTAACCTGACCCTCAAATATCCTCTCCGCCTCCAGGTGGTTTTAATTATATCATTCCCTAACTTGGCCCACAGCCAGACTCTGTGTAGTGTACAACTTGGCACACAGCCAGACTCTGTGTAGTGTACTACTTGGCAGACAGCCAGACTCTGTGTAGTGTACAACTTGGCACACAGCCAGACTCTGTGTAGTGTACAACTTGGCACACAGCCAGACTCTGTGTAGTGTACAACTTGGCACACAGCCAGACTCTGTGTAGTGTATAACTTGGCACACAGCCAGACTCTGTGTAGTGTGCAACTTGGCACACAGCCAGACTCTGTGTAGTGTACAACGTGGCACACAGCCAGACTCTGTGTAGTGTACAACTTGGCACACAGCCAGACTCTGTGTAGTGTACACTTGGTACTAGTGTCTGCAACTTGTTATACTTTTAACACATTAAAGAGCTCTTTATAGCTGACAAGCATTGAACAATGAAGAGGTGAGAGTAGTCATTAATACAACAATGTACATTAGTAAAAATGTAGTAACTACTAACCAGTAATGTGTAAAATGTGATGTTCTACCTCTGTCAACCTGTCTAATATGTTTAATATTAATTATCCAATTAGTCCAATAACTGAAAGAGGAGCAGAAATATCAAATATGTTTGTAACAGTGTTTATAGTGACTACAATTGAACTAAGTGTCGAAATAAGTAAATCATGCTGTTTCCTTACCTAGGGTAGTAGGTTATTACGTTATTAGGGCCTTTTTCATATAATATCTAGCAGCCAGATAACAAACTGTCCTGTAATGTTAACGAACTAAGATGGGGGGCCGGGGGGCTAGATGAACCATGTAAGATGGGGGGGAGGCTAGGTGAACCATGTTAGGTCTTGTGGTACCAAACTTAGAGACCTTGCCATGAAAAGGAACAGTTACATATTAATTGTTTAAATACTTAGAATACTTTGACTTAAAACTTAGCTACATTTATAACATTCTCTTTACAAACCACCTCACACCAGTAAAACCATCCTCCGTTAACTACGTCACTCTACCCATTGTGTTTGCAGTAATGTCTACACTCCAGGATGCATTACATGTGTGGTATGTGTGGTATGTGCGGTGCTGAGCTGCTCCATTTCCTGGGTCAGTGCACGTCATAGAAGAGGGTTACCTGGCAACCAACTGCCATGGTTACTATGGTTACTACACTACTGGAGTAGTTAGTACTTACTGGACTATTATTCTGATTAAAAGAATGTGTCTATCTGGGAATTCCTATACACAAGGAACTAATCTAATACACCTTAACTATGCTCCTTAGATTGCACTGAAATATTGCACTGAAATATTGCACTGAAATATTGCACTGTCATATTGCACTGTAATCGGCTGTTGATTACGAGAATAAACTACATAGCAGCAAGACTTTAAAACCCGAATCTTTAGATATATATAATATATAGTTTTAATACTTTCAACACTACTATATAACAAATAATTTGAGGATGACTGTAAAGGTACATTTTACCGACATTTGAAGTCAAGGCGTTGTTTTACTGACAGTTGTGGCTGACTAACAATATATATATAAATATATGTAATATCTGTAATAATATATTTTAAAAAATAATAATTACGTTATGTTGCATAACTATCACTAGTCTTAGTGATCCCCGCTCTAGGATGACATAATGATTAACAGCTAATATCATTCTTCTGGGAAGAAAAAAAAACTTTATCTAGCTAAAATTGTTCAGGAACAATTAAATCATATCTGTAATAATCTTCTTTTTCTTTATAAAAAGTCAGGATAGGAATTCCTGGTTCAGCATAATGTGATTTCAATAGGGCCTCAAAATGATGTTAACATTGTCCTTATTCATATAGGAAACAACTTTATCACGTACTCTAAAGTTAAGCTCCGTCATAATAATATAATATACTTGAAGCGAAAATATACGTCTTCTGGGAGTTTAAATCGTCACTTCAATTTCACAGTAAAGACGATGTCACAGTTAAGACAATGTCACAGTTAAGACAATGTCACAGTTAAGACAATGTCACAGTTAAGACAATGTCACAGTTAAGACAATGTCACACTTAAGACAATGTCACAGTTAAGACAATGTCACAGTTAAGACAATGTCACAGTTAAGACAATGTCACAGTTAAGACAATGTCACAGTTAAGACAATGTCACAGTTAAGACAATGTCACAGTTAAGACAATGTCACAGTTAAGACAATGTTACAGTTAAGATAATGTCACAGTTAAGACAATGTCACAGTTAAGACAATGTCACAGACAATAACTTAAAACTATTCGATTTATTGGGGTGATGTACAGGATAAAACATAAATTGCCAATGAAGGCCCGTTTACAGATTTTCCAAAATTTTGTTCAGTCCCATTTAAACTTCTGCTCACTTGTATGGGGATTTGCTTCAAAATCTCTTATAGAATCTCTTTTTGCTAAACAAAAACAAGGTATTAGGGCAGTTATGGCCGGAAATGTGAACTACTACTACAAGGACGGAAAACTGCCAGAGCACACAAAACTAGCATTTAAAGAACACGAGGTCTTAACCTTTCAAGGGGTTATCGTTAAAAACGCACTTATTTTAATGCACAAAGTTCGAAATATGTCTAGTTTGTTACCTAAATCGATTTCAGAACTTTTCCCTCCTAACACACCCAAACAAGGAACGACACACGAACAAAACTTAGACTGGTTATCAATTTACTCACAGACTGACCTGAGATCTAGCATCTTTTATAAAGGCCCAATGCTCGCTATTTCAGAGCATAACACTCGCATTACATGCCCATCCAGTATATTTTCTATCAACATATATAAGAATTCGTGAAAAAAAGTACTACTAGACTTGCTAAGTGCTGGCTGCAACGACGAATGGCCACCATTTTTACTCCACAACCTACCCGGATTACGTAAATCACAAAGAACATAGTCAATAATCACTCAAAACCAAACTCATACAGCTCAAATTAAACAATCTGAATCAGGACAACATTTCAAACCACCTGCCATTCTAACAGCACATTCCTTATTTCACTGCCACATAGCGCATATCTACACTGATAACACACCTAATTGCGGTGAGGCAGCATCATAAAGTTACTAATATCAAATATGTCTGCAGATCAGGGCCAGTCGACTCGACCAATAAAATTTTAATTGAATAGTTTTAATAGATAACATTACAATTATAATCTGCGTGCCCCTCGGGGATGAATATTTAACTTATTTCAATTATATATTACTTTTGAGTAAACATTGGCTGGTACTACGGACCAGTCCCCCAATCAATCAATCATTCGTAATATTGATATGACGTAAAGGTGGTCACCCTAATAAGCTGTAATATATGTATTAATATAATTACTTTATAATTATATTAATAACACTAGTATTAATATAATTACACTGAAACATTATAACCTACTCCTTCATCATGAAATGATGAAGTGTGTGATAACTCGCTTATAAAGAGCATGGAATGAACGTCGAACTATATAATAGATATTATATAGTGGTACAGCTGTATGATATGACACATTCTTTGCAAGCATCACTTTCATTGAGCTAATCATATGACTGACTGCTTGATGAATTATCCGTACAGATGCTGTGAAGTTAAGTAATTCCAGGCAATGTTGAACAATCTGTCAGGACACGTGTTAGTCCGCCCCCCACCCCCCCCCCCCCCCCCCCCGGCGGCAAACTGAACATAACATAAAACTGAATAAGGGATTTTGAGTAGAGTTGCAAGTGAGTTACTAAAGATACTACACATGCAGTGCTGTTGCAATCTCCCCTAGAGATTTAAGGTGATGACACATTGAACAACATTTAACATTTAGCTTCTGCTGCCTATAGAATATACTGCTAGGGAGGTGAGGTATGTTTTGTGCACGTGACAGGAGTTAACCAATCAGCTTTAACAAACACCTGTCACATGTGTAAGTGCTGCTTTGCCAGCAGAATCCACATATATTACTATAACCTTAATCCTTACATCACAGAATCAGTATCATTACCTTGTTCCTAAAAAATATTTACAATCCAGCCTGAATTCTTTGCGAACAATTTTGTTCGTGAAACTTTTTTCTGAGAAACCAACAAACACGGGTGACAACCACCCACGGCATACTTTACTTGGGTGCTTTACTTGTAGCTAATGTCTCTCCTGAACTACTGATTGGTAAGGTGTTGCCCATAAGGAACCCCCACCCCCCAATGGAACAGTACATGATTGTCATTATATAATGTGTTCAAATATTCCACCTCTATATTTTAATTAGGAGAGTTAAAATTAAAATATTCTGACCTGTGAACCAATCTGGAAGCTTTATAATACCTTAGTAAGTGGCGACTCAGCTGTGTTGTACTCTTTTCAAATGAGCTAATGAAGTACCGTCTACCTCACACAGTAGTTGTCATGGTTACCTGTGTAGTTGTCATGGTAACCACAGTAGCCTTTATTACTTAGTTAAATACCTTACACTGCCCTAGTTAACATTGTGTTATGATATGTTATAGTGGGTCTAGTGACAGTGGTGTTATAATAATAGGTGTTTAGTACTTCAGTATCTTATGTGTTATTATGCGTATTCTAAAAATCTGCACTGTATTTTAAACAAATTGTTTCTAAATTGTTCCTAAAGTTACAATCTTGTAAGATTGAGCCACAAGTGGAACACAAGTGGAACACAAGTGGACATTTCCTCAATATTGTACATTTTGATTTTAACGTAAACCGTTATCAGGTTTAGATAGAGCTAGTACAGGGCCGCGTAACCAAGGTAACCAGATGATAGCACCAATATCCCTGCTACATGAGATAATAAACCCCTACACTCAAACTGTACAGGTCAGTGTTCATATTTGTTTGTTATTATACTAGAATACAAATAACTAGATGTATAGCTTTTTAGGTGTTAGCGCATACTACAGAATATGAATTAGAAATAAAATAAAATCGAGGACCGAAAACTAAAATTTTAGATAAAGTTGTATGATTACTATTTAAAATGTTCCTTGTTCGTTCTAACTGTTCTCATTATCCAGGAAGAACCTGCAGAATCATCTCGTTCACTACCGGTTATAGTAGACAACCTGTTGGTGACCTCACCTGATCTACCACCCAGAACCGATCTAGGGAACAGCAAACCATCCTCCTCTCCTAACACAACTTTAAACAGGACAGACACTCCACTCCATCTAGCTGATATAAAGACAAAGTTAGAGCCTTGCAGCGCTACTCCTAGACCCCCAATTGATAACGCTTCCCCCAACTCGCTAGTAGACCCTTATATAGTTACTGCTAAGATAGAATCTTACCCTGGCTCACAGCATGTAACTCCTGCATGGTCTCCCAATACAGTTAAGGTATGTTTTAGTTAATTACATTATTAGTTCAAATGGTTCGCACCTTAATTCAATATACTGTCTGAAATATTGTTTTTTGTGTAGAAGTGTATAGAATAGATCAATGACTATAATGTTATGTGAATATGTTGAATGTTTTGTCCTTATGTGGCCAAGGAAACAAAGTTATATTCAGCTTAGTCACGATATTACAGTATTAAATCTTTTAAATTTCCATTTTACTACTTTCTGTTTAAACGACTCACTACTTGTCATAAAAAGCGAGTGAAATGTCGTAATTAATTTGATTTTTAACCCGATACTAGTCAAGATATTTCAAGGTTTGTTACGTGCGCGTTTAACTTGTGACATGCTGGTCGTTTTCAGATACCTTAGTTCCCAAAATTTTGTGTGCCATTATATTGAGCACAATTTATTTGAGCCCGAAAAATTTGGGCAGAAAATTTGAACTCATTTGGGCGACCGAAAATTTGGGCACAAATTCTTCGAAAAATGAACGATTTTCCACTAAAATTTCAGTTAGATATTTGCCTTAGTTCATTATTATTCCTTACTATTCCAGTCATTTTGCTTTAAATTTTAAGCATGTAGGTGGTAGTCTGAGTTGTTTCACATTATGAAATTTACGATCTGCCCAGTAACTACTAAAAAAATACAGTGATGATGGCACAGTACAAATGATAGATTATATACAATAGTGATATTTAGTCTCTCAATCAGATAGTTTAGTCTACTTACACGCAGCATATCTTATCATACCCCCTTTCACATACAATTATCATTATGACGCCTCACCCAGATGGTCGAAAGGTTGGGAAGAAAATTAGAAGGTTTACATCAATGATCTATCAAACTAAGCGACACATACGCTTAGCTTTGGGTGAAAAACAAAGGTGTACATAATTGTGTGTAGCGAACTACTGTAAACCCGGACAAAGGTCAAGTCTAATTTTAATTAACCAGACATTCATTTAAAATATAAGCCTTTTTACTTGGTCAAGCCATGAATGACAGATTAGAAAACTAAAATTTCAAATATTATTTCACTTGGATATGAAGAAAAGCCATCTTTCTATATATAGATTTCAGGGCCACAGGCCAAATGCCAAAAGTTTGGTTAGCAAAAATTTAGCAGACGGAAAAGATTTATGCAATTAATTTGGCCTGCAAAAAAATTTGGGCGAGAGGCCCGCTCAAATTTTTTGTCGCCCAAATTTTTGGGAATTAAGGTAGTTGCTGCGCTCTTCGTTAACAAATGGGGCCAAAAACTCAATACATATTTTTCCACTAGCAGAATATGACGTAACTGTAATAAAAGGATTATCGCAGCACTTCTGTTATCCTCCTACGCGCGCCACTGCGCGGCTCGACCCACGAGATTTAGCTGTTTTGTCACATTTTCTTGATCTATTAAAAAGTTCCAAGCTAATTTCACGACAGGGAGGCATGTACGTCATGAAATTTACTGTACACGCATGCCAACATGATCAGGTGGCTAATATTGTTCACTACGTTGACGGTCCATTAATGTGGCTCTTGCTATATGTTGGTTCAGACGAATTAATTATCATATAATCAAGTTTATTTTTTAGTTTAGTACGCTGTCATCTGGTCACACAAAATGCAACTTATATTGCAATACCATTGTTCCATTAGTTGTATGTCAAAATTATGTCATTGTAATTTTACATGGCTGTAATTTTGCAACGCTTAATTTCTATATGCACTACTAGAACCCGTGGTCGAAAGCTTTTTGTTCGAGGAAATTAAACAATCAGTTATGATTTAATCTTCTCTTCATCCTCTAGCTTTGTACTGTAGTATGGATTTTATTTGATCATGACGACAAAGTTTGTAAGGTTTCAGATCCCCTTAACCTGGGGGACCCCAAGGCTATTATGTTCATCTTATAAAGATCGGCGGAAATGACAGGCTGAGCGCCGCCCAGGTAAGATTCCCTAAACGATACTTCTACCGCATCGAAAAATATCAATCACACCCAAAGTATGACATAGTGATATCGTGAGTGTAAACGATGAGCTATTTATGAGGTATCATCGTATAAAGCATTGCAACACGCGTTGCTAGTCTGTTCTTGCTCGTGCAATCTCTTGCTAAGCAACGACGCCCAGGATAACCTTTGAAGAAATTAACGCCATTATTCAAACGTTTATTTTACCTCACTTCCGACGTTAATTATAGAAATCTAAAGCCTTAATCAAAATTCAACCCTGCTAAAAATCGCGAGGTTTCAACTCCATGGCGAGCTGAAATTGGTGACATAGAAGAGTAGGTTTTTGGTCGATTTTCTGTGTGTTTTTTTTTTCTATGCCCCTGTTGCCGGGGTGATTTCGTCAAGTTTAAAATATAACATAGATACGGAATCCGAATACTTACAACCTTGTCGTCATTGTCAAATAAAATCCATACTTTCTACAGTTATAACAGCTACAGTGTCAGTATAACGAGCTATACTAGACGATGAAAAGATTATATAATTATATTAAAACATAACTGATTTATAAAACTTCCTCGAACTAGCGGGTTTCTAGTAATATATGATTATTAATTGAATTTTCAATTAAAATTAAAATAATCATGGTAAAATGCTGACAATATTCAACTATAGGCGAAGCAGCAGGAGCAATGGTTGGATATAGACGATCTGTTAGCAGACGTACAGTCTATGATAACGGACAACAGGTCGGGACAGCCTGCCAGTACCTCCACGTATAGTCCTCCTCTCTCGTTCTATCAACACCTCTACCTCTAGTTACAATGAAGTGTTCGACGCTCCTCTCCCCACTGCCCCCTAAAGTCCCAAGCAGACCCAACTCTCCCAACTCCGTCCAACAACCTCCCTCTCCCTGCTAGAACATTCTCAGCCCTCCTCTCAGCCCACGCGTTGCTTCACCAGCAGCTCTAAACACACCACCACGCTCCCCTCAAATACCCACCAGGTCCAACTTATCGGACTCCGAAGGAGTAACCCTTCCTCTGAGACGGAGGTTATTCCGCGCTCTAACTCAGATGGAGCTCAGTTCAAGATATCAGCTTTTCCAGAACTTCCAACCAACACCAAACCCTCACGAGCAAGCCATTAGAAGGAGGAGCAGTATTGAAGATCTTAACCGCAGGACAGAGCAACTCTCTCTACAGAGAAACCAGGTAAACTTTAACTTACTTAAAGCAGTGATAGAGCTTGCTTCTTTCAGTACAATGCACATTTACATTTTACAGTGTGACAAGCAGTCAACAGAACTTCAAATACCTTACGAGACATATTTATGTTTGACACAATTCCGGTGACCTAAATGAATTGGGAACGAAAATATGGGAATTTTTTCCGAAAACAGCCACATTTCGTACCCCAAATTAAATAATGGTATTTGCCATTTGGGGATTTATTTACAAAAATGAAACCCAATATTTGAGAAAATTAAATACAAAGATCTTCTCTGATCAGCTGTTTCATCTTGTAAACAATTTTACCGGACCTCTGAAAGTTAACCTCAACTTAACTTATAATCCTCCAGAGGGTATAGGAGACCGACAGTGTTTATTATCTTTCACTACTTCCGAAATTTTCATAAAGTAGTGATAGAGCTTGCCTCTTTTTATTGGAACGTGTCCAAAATCATTTTAACGCAATTCATGATCGAATACTAGTGTTCATTAATTGTTTGATGAATCATATTTATAACTTACTATATAATTGATATTAAGTTGATCGTAAATCGATTAGGGGTCGTTCACATATTACGTAATCAGCCGAGGGTGGGGGGTTTTCAAATGCTTACGGTTGATTACGGGGGGGGGGGGGGGGGTTTGGTCGTTGATAACGTAATCAAAATTTCAATTTTTTACCGATTTTCGAAATAACAATTGGACAATTTTCGTTAATTATGTAATCAAAATTTTCGTTTTTAAAACCAATTTTCGTTTAGTAAGTGCTTTGCGATTATTTCATCATCCATTGTGATAGCTTTTAATAAATAAATGGCTCAACATGAACATGTAATAGATAGTAATAAAATTAGTCTAATCTTGATTACGTAATATAGTAGGGGGGTTGGGTCTTGATTACGGGGGGGGGGGGGGGGGGGTTGGGTCAAACATTGATTACGTAATATAGGGGGGGGGGGGTTCGGTCTTGATTACGGTTGATTACGGAGGGCTTACGGAGGGGGGGGGGGTAAAAATTGCCAATATATTGATTACGTAATATGTGAACGACCCCTTAAGTCATGATTAAGGAAAATACGTGAAAAATAATTTTTTGATGGTGACCTACATTTTGGTAGTCCGATAATATGGTGTTTCTTTCCGAAAAACCACCGACTTTCGTACCATTTAAATATGTCTCGTAAGGTACTATACTATACAACTACTATACAACTATTATTCGTTGTAATAAAACTGGATGGTGCAATAAATCAGCGTATATATGGATCTTTTGTTAAAGACATTTCGATTCGATAATAAATTTATTACGGAGTATGTTTACTTACATGAGCCGATAGGTATGACTTTGTGAACATGTACACGTATCTTGCTAAATTGTATTTGTGACGATATAATGCGCTCTGTTATCAGTGAAGTTTTTTTTACGTGAAAATGGAGATATCCTTTCACCAAGCATATCGGAGCAACGAAAGTTGCTTTTCGTGGACTTCGACTATATAGGAAACTAAAAAAGTAGAATCACTTGAAACTTTCTGTAGATTTGAGAAACAGGTAGAAGGAAATTTCAGAGATTTGTTGACGATTGTTAACTATTTTGTGAACTGTAACAAGTTGTACTTCGGCGTTAAAGAGCACCCAACAGGTCCAAGAAACGCTGTAAATTGTTTACTTCACATTACAAAGTATATTTTAATTAATACCCTACTATTAGTTAGTAATTAGTTACTCCTTCAGTCGTATACCAGCTCCTTCAGATCAAGACAAGGAGACGTGTATCCTTTAGCCCCCCAGCCTAAAGGTAAGTGTATGAATGGGTTATAAATGATGTTATTTTATACGATAATATTATCTCCCCTCATAGTTTTGAGATTACCTCTGGTGTATATCGCTATTTGAAACCAGAGGCGGAGAGGGGGGGTTCACTACACTCTTTAGTTTTAGTCTGATGTTCTGCACATGTGTAATTGAACTAATATCACCTTTGTTGTTATTTGTTCATACTTTTGCACCTTTTTAACTACACAACACAGTGAAATCCAGCCAAAGGCCGGGTTGCACTAGTATTATATACATATTATACATTATACATCCACAAATAACTTCTAGTATTAGCAAGTTGGATATTGAGTATTTTAGTATGGTTATTGGTTACATCAAATTAGTTTCAACTAAGATGAAAAAACTCTACAATGAAAAACTATAACGATCAACAAAGATATAATTTCAGAACCAACATTAACGACTAACGTGACTGTACCATTCTACCAGCCTCAAAAGATGTACCAGCGCGCCCCACCATCTACCTTACCATCTACTCTACCCTCTACCCTACCGCCACCCCCGCAAGGGTATGGGTACCCCAGCCCACCTTCTCAGTACGCTACACATCAGTACGGCACCATGCCTGGAGGTGCCGGACATCAGTACGACACCATGCCCGGCTACTCCAGCCCACCCCTCAACCAAGTGTACCCGGTTAACTCTGCCCCGCCGCCCTTACCTCGGCGACACAACTCTGATAAAGTAGCCAAACACCACACCGTGGTGTAAAGGTCCTGTTTTGTGCTGTTTATACAGCACTTATCTTCGTGGGCAATCAAACTTTTGAGTTTTCGTGCTTTTCACCAAATAATCGAAATAATAAGAATTTTAATATGAAATTTGAGAGCATATAAATGAGGAAGAAGTAGAGTATTAGGGAATTTGCAGTTTTCTTGTATCAAGTGGTTGTTTGAAAATTCACGGTTATTTGGTGGGTGCACTATAATAAAATTCTCGAGAATAGGATGTTAAACACTGTAAAGTGTAGATCGATAAAAGGCGAGATGTTGCATAATCTATGTATACTTAAACGAATTCTATTGAATATCTTATATTTTGCTCTATAAATTAAAATTTACAAGCGCTATTTTTCAGCTGTTTTAAGGAAAGTTGCAGTTTGAACTAATGTTGTAAATAAGTTTGAAGAAGGTGGAATTTTATAATAGGATTTGAAATGCACTTCATACCGTCTGTTCTGATGAGTTCCATTCACTGCACCATATACCCCCTACACTATATACCCCCTACACTATATAGTATATACCCCCCTACACTATATACCCCCTACACTATATACCCCTACACTATATAGTATATACCCCCCTACACTATATAGTATATACCCCTACACTATATACCCCCTACACTATATACCCCCTACACTATATACCCCCTACACTATATACCCCCTACACTATATAGTATATACCCCCTACACTATATACCCCCCTACACTATATAGTATATACCCCCTACACTATATACCCCCCTACACTATATAGTATATACCCCCTACACTATATACCCCCCTACACTATATAGTATATACCCCCTACACTATATAGTATATACCCCCTACACTATATACCCCCTACATTATATAGTATATACCCACCTACACTATATACCCACCTACACTATATACCCTCTCAATGCGACCCATCCTTCTCACACGGTTAATCTGAAAAATCCTGTGTAAAATATTTTAGCTATAATAACGTTGGCTCATTTAATTGAGTCATACCGTATTTAATTAAAATTGCGATCGTGATTGTAAGTCGGAGCTCAGTCATTTTAAATCTACTACTGTTTAAGAATTGAAATATTATTAAATCAGATGGGTTGAAAATATATTCTTTTATGAGGGTTTAACTTTGAGCGTGCTGAATTCCTTTAATCAAGATTCTTGTATAATTTTAGTATTTTAAAGAATGTAAAAATAAATTATGTCTCTTGCTCTATAAACTGTATTACACAGAATGTGTATAATCATGACTGAGTCAAACTCTACAGCCATTAGAAGAGCGGCAGTTTTGGCTGCCCTTTAGCAATGAGCGTAATAATTGTAATGTAAGTGCGTATAAAAGTGCCCACTTTAATTCGTTTATTGAAAGTGTTTCCAAAATTCGTGGTACTATGTTTCATATGATATGTCATTATTATCACAAACATGTATTATTTGTAAATCAATCAATTTATAGAACAATTACAATTTCACCGCACAACCAATATATTATTACTGGGCCGCGCTCAGCCTGTCATTCCGCCGAATCTCTATTCGTTTATCTCTATATGTTTATGAACATAATAGCCTGAGGTCCCCAGGTAAATATATTATTGATAATATACGTTTCCACTAAAAACAGGATTACAATTTTTAAATTAGGATGTGGAAGTAGTTTTGTTGGATGTACTTTGTATTGTACTTTGGGTGCTGATCCCGAAAGCACTTGTCATACGTTGTATGACCCGCCAAGCATAGTGAAACGACCGTGGGGGGTCACGACGTGATACAAGAAAGCACAATAGCGTAAGTAGCTTTTTGACGATGTGCCTCGAAAATTGAAAATGATCTTAAACGATTCCCCGCGTTCGATTTTTTTTCGATAAAAGTCTACTTGGTGCAGAAAAATGCCACAGACATATTTCAAATTATAGACATATTTCATATCAAATTGGATGTGCTTTCGGTGGATATTTAACCGGCGGTGGTACTCGATTGACGATGTCAACCCTCCCATATCGTTGCTCTGCGAATTTTAATTAATACTAATAGATCAACGATCCAGTCAATTCGATGCGAAGTAAAAATTGACGGATGTTACTCGTCTAAATTTCTTCGAAGTAGCGCGCGCCGTTGATTCACGATGTCAATCCTTCGCATCTCGCCGATCTGCATACGTGTGGTTGCGAGAAGCATTATTTGATGCGCGCGCGACCCAGTAGTGCATCGCGCTACAACACGCGCCGCTTTCTTCTAGAAATATTAGCGCGCGCCGGGCCAGACCATTAACAATGGTCAAATTACCTGAGGACCCCAGGCTATTATGTTCATTAAGATTAGGCGGAATGACAGGCTGAGCGCGGCCCAGTAATGGTCAAAGTAAGAATTGATTGACGATGTCAATTCATCTCAGCTCGGCGTTGTAGCGCAATGCGTTACTGTGCCGCGCCGAGCTGCCATGAATTGACATCGTCAATTAAAGCTCGGCGCGGCACAGTAACGCATCGCGCTACAAAATAAGAATGAATCAAAGCGGCAAAGTCCTTTTAATATAAGGGTGATACTCGTGAAATATTTGTTTCAAATACTGTCGACGAGTTTGACGGATGTTACTTTTCTAAATTTCTTCGCGCCGCTTTCTTCTCGAAAGTTAGTGCTATACGATGGCAAGTGCTACGAAGTAGCGTGCGCCGGGCAAGACCATTACTGATTAAGCGAAAGGGTTCTGGTTAGAGCACTAGACATGTGCATAGGTAGAGCCTGTGTCACATTCGGAGGTCGCGCACTACTGCAAGCGACAGGGCTCCGGTTTGACGGATGTTACTCGTCTAAATTTCTTGTATCACGTTGCGACCCCCACGGTGCACGGTCGTTTCACTATGGTGACGATACAGGGGGAGCCGCGCACTTCGTGCGCGGCGGGTCATACAACGTATGACAATAAATTTCTTAGAAGTAGCGCGCGCCGCTTTCTTCTCGAAATGTTGTTGCCCGACGGCAAATGCGCCGGGCCAGACCATTAACAATGGTCAAGGCTCCGGTTAGAGCTTAACTCGGCGCACATCTTGCCATGCTAGTTTATATATTATAAACATACAAGTGCATTTAGTGCAAGTGACAAGGTGGAGACTGGAGATGTAACATGCGCAAAATTGATATTACAGAAGGGCCAGTGGCCGACATTTGTAGGTTTATAACCTACCAGGACGCGCGCCGAGTTGGCCTATTTTACTTGTAGCGCGATGCGTTACTGTGCCGCGCCGCGCACTCAATGAGGCTTCTCACAGCGACAGATCTCTAGATCGGCGAAATGCGCTACTGTGCCGCGCCGAGCTGAGATGAATTGACATCGTCAATTAACTATTTTACGATCAGTATATTACCGTACCCGTTAACGTGGACACCTGATATGAAAGTAAAGTGTCATTCGAATTTCGAAATACTTTAGCATTTGGCAAACTACGACGCCCCGCATTATTATTTTTAATTTGGCTATGCACTCGGGTCATATCGAGAAAAAAAGCTTGCGAACTTGTACTTGTACATTGTAGCTCGACGGATGTTGACCATTGTTAATGATCTCATGGCCCTGCGCGCGCTACTTCGTAGCACGTGCCATTTCGAGTAACATCTTGCTCTATCCAGAGCCCTTGCGCTTGCAGAAGCGCGCGCCCGCCTTGACTTGTGAAACAAGCACGCCCGAAGTGGCGCGAAAGCACATGGTTAGTTGAAAGTAACATCCTTCAATATAATATTACCGACTAAGGTATATATTTATTTATTAAACTTTATTTGGTTGTCAGTGTTTCACCATGGCAAGTGGTTGAATTTTGTGAGACATGTCAGTTTCTCTATTGTCTTTGAAATATGTCTATTTTACAGTAGGCGATACTGAGTGGCAAGAATGAGGAACAAAACGCTTTGGGCTACCGGCTAATAATGGCCCATTTATAAAGCACTTCAGGCATGGCATTTAGCAATGATGTAATTTATGCTTAATTGTTAATTTTACCCTACTGCACTTCTAACGTTCTATAAAAATCTCTTGGCTAAAATACTTCCATCTTTATTGGGTATAAAAAATGCATAACACAAAACACACAAACAAAATGTTTCTAATTTACATGTAATATAAATTTCTATAAAACTAATAAATTTCTATACGATTAATAAACCTGACACTAAATAAAATTGTTGTTTTCTTGAGAGACCTCTCTATCAGAACAAACTCATTCCTGCCTCTATTGTGGACTAGGTGTGTTTTTGGAAATTTATATTGTTGATATTTTAAATAATATTGGTAACAATGGACTGATTCTGTGACCAGTGTATTGTGCTCTACCACAGAGGCGGCTCGTGAGACCTGGATGGACGGAATTATAAATTACTGATCATGATTACACACGGCAAACCTGGCACGCGCACCTCATGTCACACTGCACATGTCCATACTAAAAACGGGATCAGAAGAAATGTCGATACAATCTAAGATCAACTATCAAGGCCATATGAGAAAGATCTGGTTGGGTGTCCTGGACCCTTAAAACCATCAATTTATACAGCGAGACGCGTGCTGATATTCTTTATAGTGTTTACAATTAACTGTGTGTTAAATTTCGATCTGCAAGTTGTCCAAATAAGTTTTGGACACCTTGGAATCGAACTTCGTTAGGAGCAGTCACTTGCACGTGAACTCAAATGTTTGCGCAGTAAAATTACAGATTTCAAAAAATAATTTGTCCTGAATATAATTGCGTGGCCCCCCCCCCCCCCCCCCCCCCCGGCCCCCTTAATCTAACAAGACCATGTAATCAGCACTATCAGTAATGCAATGGTGTGAAATATACTACTTCACAAAAGAATGGTGTCAGTATTGGTTTGGATGAGCTTTCTAATATTCATCCCAGGTAAATTATGAACTTAATCTCAATTTAAAAAGTATAACCTATTAAATAGATTATTTGGTAGGTAATATTAGTTTGGATAGTTTTACTCTTAAATTTTGAAACTCCTAAAATAGAACCATTAACTTCATAAATGAGATTTCAAGCTCTTCCTACAATCATCTTTACTGTCTCCAAAAACAGATTATATTGTATGGCTAACCAAATTATGGATTGAATTAACTGAACAATGTGTGCTGCTTATTAGTTACAGCTGCTTATCAAGTAATGCTATAGTATATATTATATTGTATTAAACTTACATATATTTACTATTCTGTTAACCATTTCAGGTTCTCATTTAGACAACAATCTCACTTGTGCAAAACCAAACCTGTTTGATGAATTCAGAGATAAATTTGGCAAAAAAAATGAAACAGTGAGTGATGCTTTTTAGTTAGGGAACTGTGAAAATTTCTTGGAACTAATTTGCCACAAGCATTTTGAGCAGCAATGTGTTGTTCATAGTCCCAGGAACCACGCCAAATAGTTGTAACAGTAGATTTGATGTGCACAAGTGTTCTTGGTGCACCTGGAGAAAATATGCTCAAGCTAGTTGTGCACATCAGATCTACTTTTACCACTCTTTGGCGTGGTTCCTGGGTCTGTATGTAGAATACATTCCTGCACAGAAATGCTTGTGGCAAAGTAAGTTCTGCTTCTTTAAAAATAATTTCAATTTACTTATGAGAATATTATATCCAGGAATATTTGTATTGAAATCCATAAATATAAAGTGAGTAATCAAAGTGTACCCTTCCTTTCTTCTATTTTCAGCTTAAAGTGAATGGTGGCTTCTATAATAAATGTCTCCACATGTATGAAAAGGACACGAAATTAAAAGTTGATGAAAACACCATAAGAGCGATCTCCGAAAAAGTGAACAAGCTTGCTGGAGGAATAATCGAGCAAATTGCTGAAGATGAAGGGATGGATCACTCAGATTATCTTCCCGTAAATATTGTAGTCTGTTTTTTTCATAGGACCCGATATCAATAGAAACTGATACCGACTAACCTGAGCTTCGACCTTAGTTTTAAAAATTATTATTTAAATATCAAATTTATTAGTTTAAAGATCAGTCTTCTGATCCGTTCGTTGCACTAATAAAATTATTTATTAGTTTATCAGTCGTTTTATTTTAGGCATTTATGGAAACTTGCTTTGTGAAATCACATCTCGAAGATTTCGCAATTAAACTCAACAAGTTCTTTAAAAAAGAATACAAAATGAAACTGACTTGTCCATTGGGTTTACTCTGGGATATCATCTGCACCTTTCAAACCTGCTTGGAGTCTGATTGTGTTGTAGATGATGAAGTGTGTACGGACGCTAACGATACAAATGCTTGCTCTAAAGTGAACCTAAAGCTCTTTTGTATGGTGGGTTTTTGATAAAGAACTCATTTTTTGGCCTTATATTATACCTTTTGACAGAGGTAAAGAATAGGCAAGGCTAGGGTCGGTTTTAACTTTTGAGTTGTGGGTAAGTACCAATGTCTTCCCAAAAGCTAAGGGAATTGAATCCTCTTGAATTCCTTACGTTTTCCATGGAAATATAGGATCTGCAGTTAATTTGACTGCATAAGTGTGTTTTTTTGACTGTCCAACTAAGCAAACAACAATTTATTTTAAGATTAATTTAAATTTTTTTTAAAAGTTTATTAGCGGCATGATACATCTCACAAATTCATAATTATAACTTTATAACAAAACTTAGTAATTCTTTCTGACTTCAGGTGGATTTCGGAAGTTTTGTTGATAGTTGCGTCGATGACGAAAACCAATTCAAGATACCTATGAAACAAGCATTAAGTGCTGTATTAAGGAACAGCAGCTGCTCAAACTTCAACTACATTTACCAGGGAATGCCTTCTTTACAAGGTGCAGGATGTTGAAGATTATTGTTGAAGATTATATGAATTGTACAGGGTGTCCCAAAAAAGGCTACCAAGTGATTATTGCTAATTACTCAAGAACAGCCATTTATTATTTACAGTGTATCTAGGATATGACCTCCGGATGCTGTGAAAATGTTGTTCATTCTAGGAGGGCAACCTCATGAGGTTTTTCATGGTACCAAAGTAAAGATCATGTTATATTGAGCTTGCTGCTTGGATAAAGACCTCTTTTGTTACCATCGCTACCATGTGTTATCATGTGTAATACAGTGTTACTAAGTGACGAATGAACATTGAACAGGCTCCCAATTGAGTTTTGCCCTGAAATTTGTAAGACAAATTTTGGAGCACAGGACTTACCAAGTGGTTACTGTTAAGTGTTAGGTTATCATTGAAGCGAGTTATTGCCAAATTAACTTGGTTGCCTTTTTGTGGGATACCAGAGGCAGCTCTTTGGAGCTGGCTGGTGGTTGTTTCGGGCGTCCAATCGACGGACTCAGGGGGCCGGAGGCTATTCGCTGATGACTGCATACAATAACACAGCAGAAAGCTAATCAATTAATTTAACGAAAGGCAGGATTTCAAATATTACATCGAAGCTAGAACTTACCATGCATAATACTAGCACATGCCCACATGTTTTACACATTACACACAGGGCCTGTGCAATTTGTAAAACAAATTGTAACAGGCAACAGCAAACTATAACGGAAACTTATAAAATAAGTGAAATAGGACACCACACGTGTACAATCTTAGCCGCGCAGTATGATAGCAGATAGTTCAAATCGCATGGTCGCCCAAGGATCATGGATGACCTGATCGTATAAATTTCCAGTACGTTGATGCAATGATGTACGTTGTAGCATTTGCAATTAACTGTGTGTTGATGCTGTGCGGCTTAGGCGTCCAAACGAGGATTGAATGCCTCACAACATGTTTTCACAAAGATCATGTGTGCGCTTACATTCAACCGTTTGAGTTAAATAACAAGCTTTATATCACGATATTTCCGAATACTATTTCTTTTTTCAAGCACTAGATAATAATTTTAGGGCGTCCACGGACGCCTGGACGCCCTCAACAGCCGCCTTCGTGGGATACCCTCTGGAAATGACATGGTTCATTAACGCGTTGCCAATCACATTATGTTATATAACTATAACGAGATTACCTAAAGAGTTAAAATGATTCATGAATGCATCCAATCTTTCTAGATTAAACTGTACGTTCAAAATGTTATAATTGGAAACTGTTTTTTTCAGTTATTGAGAAAAGTGTTATCGCTGCTGATTGTGGAGAAGTTATTGTTACCATGAAATGCTTTAGGAATGGCGAACATTTGAAGCAGTGGGTATTTCAAATTCATGTCAAACAAACTCTTCCTCTTGTAAATCCTTGCTAGTACATTCAAACTCTTCCTCTTGTAAATCCTTGCTAGTACCTAATAACATTACACGATGTTTTTCAGAGCGACGTGGTCTTTAAAGGATGTGAAGGATGCTGATGTTAGTAACGGAGCATTACATATTAGTCGAAAAGATATTCTGTTAAATCAAAGAAATTTTTCCTGCTATGATGGTCCTGCTAAAGTAGCAGATATAACCTCACACCATCTCCTGAAACTGTGTAACTCGGGTAACTATTTACTTTACGTCGTCAATTTGTGATGTTAACTATATGATCTCTGTGTAAAAGTGTTAGAATTATCGTGACTATGATTTAGTGTAATATTTTCTGTGATTCATTCATGTGTATTTAGTTTTTGTATCAGATAGAGGAAATGAAGTATCAAATGACATTGACATTGTTATTGAACTCGATGATGACAATGGAAACTATATAACAGCGCCACCAGAGCCTACAAGTACAACCCCGCACACGAGTTCAACTCCTCAACCTATAGATAAAAACCGGAATAAATGGAAGGATTTTTACAAGGATGATAAAATATGGCTGTTCCGTAAGTACTCCAGTTTGGATGGGATTAATGCCTTCGATAACAAGAACAGGCTTCAGACAAACATTGATAAGCTAAGTGTAGCGATGGTGTCTGTGATGGGACGATTAACGCCTATATGTGGAGAATTGTGGAATAAGGAGGCCGCTGCAGTGTTTTGTAGGGAGGCCGGTGCCCAGCTTAGTCAAAACTGGACTGTGTTACATGTGAGTATGTTGTACACATACATAAAATACCTGCCAGTACTGTAACATACCGAGAAACCATTGACATAATATCACGTTAGCCATTTAGGGTATGGGCTTTGGAAAAGCTTACAATCGCAAAAATAATAAATTTCTGATAAAACTATTCACGATTTATCGGAATTCATAAACAAAATTACTCGATCATTATGCAAAGTGAGCACGGAATAAATAACATTATTATCCCTCTAGCTCTTGTCAATGAAGCATGTACAACATGTAGTTACCTAGTTACCTAGTTACCATGTAACCTAGTTACCTAGAAACTTAGTTACCTAGTAACCTAGTAACCCAGTAACCTAGTAACCCAGGTACCTAGTAACCCAGTTACCAAGTAACCCAGTTACATAGTTACCAAGTAACCTAGTTACCTAGTTACCAAGTAACCTAGTTACCTAGTTAGTAGTTACCTAGTTGCCTAGTTACCTAGTTACCAAGTAACCTGGACAATTTATAATCAATAACCCAGGTTGGTTCCTTGCACAAAACCAAAAATGAAAGACACAACGAAAGTGACTTCTACAAACATTACTTGCGAAATATAACGTGTAAAGGAGACGAGGCTAAAATCATTTGGTGTGAGCACGATGGGTGGTATCATCACAGTAATTGCACTCACGACGCTGTGGTAACTTGTAAGTACCTGCACTCACCACGCTGTGGTAACTTGTAAGTACCTGCACTCACGACGCTGTGGTAACTTGTAAGTACCTGCACTCACGACGCTGTGGTTACTTGTAAGTACCTGCACTCACGACGCTGTGGTTACTTGTAAGTACCTGCACTCACGACGCTGTGGTTACTTGTAAGTACCTGCACTCACGACGCTGTGGTAACTTGTAAGTACCTGCACTCACGACGCTGTGGTTACTTGTAAGTACCTGCACTCACGACGCTGTGGTAACTTGTAAGTACCTGCACTCACGACGCTGTGGTTACTTGTAAGTACCTGCACTCACGACGCTGTGGTATCATCACAGTAATTGCACTCACGACGCTGTGGTTACTTGTAAGTACCTGCACTCACGACGCTGTGGTATCATCACAGTAATTGCACTCACGACGCTGTGGTTACTTGTAAGTACCTGCACTCACGACGCTGTGGTTACTTGTAAGTACCTGCACTCACGACGCTGTGGTTACTTGTAAGTACATGCACTCACGACGTTGTGGTCACTTGTAAGTACCTGCACTCACGACGCTGTGGTTACTTGTAAGTACCTGCACTCACGACGCTGTGGTTACTTGTAAGTACCTGCACTCACGACGCTGTGGTCACTTGTAAGTACCTGCACTCACGACGCTGTGGTTACTTGTAAGTACCTGCACTCACGACGCTGTGGTAACTTGTAAGTACCTGCACTCACGACGCTGTGGTTACTTGTAAGTACCTGCACTCACGACGCTGTGGTAACTTGTAAGTACCTGCACTCACGACGCTGTGGTTACTTGTAAGTACCTGCACTCACGACGCTGTGGTTACTTGTAAGTACCTGCACTCACGACGCTGTGGTCACTTGTAAGTACCTGCACTCACGACGCTGTGGTTACTTGTAAGTACCTGCACTCACGACGCTGTGGTAACTTGTAAGTACCTGCACTCACGACGCTGTGGTTACTTGTAAGTACCTGCACTCACGACGCTGTGGTAACTTGTAAGTACCTGCACTCACGACGCTGTGGTTACTTGTAAGTACCTGCACTCACGACGCTGTGGTTACTTTTAAGTACTTGTAAGTACCCTGTGTGAAGAGAGGAAGCTTCCCGGCCAATATCTCACCTTTAAAAATGGTGGAATTAAGGATTATATCAATAATGAAAAGAAGTTTACTCATCAACATTTGTTGTTTCATTGATAAATTTATTAGTTCTTTATAAATCAGCTTTATTATTTCCTTTTCAGGCTCTCAAGTAAAGGAAGGTGAATATTTTGATAAATTGTAGAATAATCACTAAAGACATGCCCCCTTCCCCCCCCCCCCTCCCCCCGTAATCCTGTAATTTACTATATTTTTAAAGCTTATTCAAAACACACATTATTGCCCTATTGGGATAGTTAATTCTTCCCTACGCCTATGGGTTTATTGTTTATTGACCCCCCACCCATTTAATCCCATTTCGCCAGATCCAGGTACCCAGTGGTGGCACTTGTTACTGTTGACTGTGGGAGGAGTATGTTTCCTTGTTCTTTTGACTTATACATTCTTCTGCACCTTTGGAAAAGGATATCTCAAAGAGCTACTTGAAGCTTGGAACCGTTTCGTAAACGGAGGGGGAGGGTCAGTGCCTACTGAATCAGAGTGAGTTATAGGAGAAATGTGATCCTTTAAAAAATAATCTAAATCTTTTCAAACAATACATAATTATACATAATTGAATGCTTCTAAATAAACCCAGATATAAAAGGAGAAAACAAATATAGCCCAAATTTCCAGTATCCCAGTATATCGAAACCCAAATTATGTGTTGAAAGAGGAGTAACCAAAACACGGTAGTGTGCAGTATGAAATACCACACCTGCAATAACATTGGGCCCTAGCAAAAAAACTAATTAATCAATAAGTCAAAACATATATAATATTGTATATTTTATAGAAAATATATAACTCTCAAGGCTCCTTCTCCGAGCTAACGACTCTAAAGTTCCTGATTACGTGAACTTTGTTCGGCTCTGCTGTCCTTTTATTGAGTAGCTGGTGAATTTCACTGGCTTGAATCGCTCACTTGTACTTGTGTCGTTTCCAACTCGTTTACAGCTCAAGATTTTCGGTTTTTCGTTGAGATGATCCAACAGAATACCTGATACCTTAGCATGCAAGTTCTCCTCAGTCTCCGGAAGCCCACAGATTATCAGACTTTTACTTCGATCTTCTTCGAGGGCAACCCTTTTCACTGCAGCTTGGATCTTCTTCGGTGCAAAGGCGTTTTTCACGTGTTATTGTACAGAGACGAATAGGTTTTAATCTCTTTCTGAGCTGCACTTTTCACAGTTCCAATGTCATCATCCTTCTTCATAGGTAACTTCTCCTGCAAATCACTAATTTTTGCCATGTCTTCTTCTTGCTTGGAGAGTAACTTCTCTTGTTTTAGTTCTATGATTTTAGTCGTATCTACTATTTTTCTTTCCTGAACTTGCTGTTGTCGGCGGATTGTAAGTGTAACACTGGACCACAATAATTGACCGCACACTGTCTCTAACCACACTGAAAACCTTTCTCTGGCTCTCTAGGCACACTTCTCAGGTTCAGTTTATCAAATTGCACATCGTTGTGTTGAGCATTGATTTTACTTCCAATCTCCTTGAAAATACTGACAGTCGCCAGGTGTATCTGATTCACATATTCCGTAAGGAACTCGCCATTATCAACCATAGTATCATCTAGTACCATATCCAAATGTTCATTCTGTAGCGGAAAAGGCATCGTACACGATGTACAGAAAAAGTACAAACAATGTATTCCGATCTACAAAGCCAGAGAGAGATAATTCACTGATATACACTATACTATACTAGTATACTATACACTATAATATACACTATATATACTAGTATACTCTACACTATAATATACACTATACTAGTATACACTACACTATACACTATACACTATACACTTTTGGCCCAATTGTGCCAAATCACCTCAACATGCCCAAAACCCAGATGTTGGTTGCAACACCCAGGGGGATTGTTTATGTAAGTTACTTTATAACCTTGTTACTATTTACAGGACCCCGGGAGACATGAGCACAATAGTCAGCCTTCAAACTGGATCAGGCACGGGTAGTGTGAATCCCATCTCTCTTAGTGGTGGTTTTAGCAGTTGGCCCTTCCCTTCCGGCAGTGTCCAGAGAACTGCTGAACCTATTGGGCCTGTTTATCCGGAGCCTAGACAAGAGGATAATCTCAAACGTCTCAATAGTAGAGAATGTGATGTAATTATAAGCCAAGCTACTGTGAACATCAAATTCTAGGACCATTTTATTCGCATCGCGTAATTTGTCAGTATTAAAAAGTGTCGCTAATTTTGGTCTGTTTTTGTCGTGCATTTATCTTCGATGGGGTAAGTAAATGCCACGATTGAAACAGCAACGGGAGTTCTTTGGTGTAGGAATTTGGTGTTTGACAATGTTTAATTTAAATATGTTAATCAGATTAGGCCTATAAATGAATGAGTTTATAATTCATCTACTGATTGTAAAGTTGTAATATGTATTAACATTGTTGCACGTTGTTGATAGTGCTGTGATTCTAGTTGTAGTTCGTTTCTGACCGGCCACTCTTCAGGAGTGGGTATTGGGTGGGTATAAGGTTGAAGGAAAAACACTTGTTTGCAAGTCGTATAAAAACATCACTGGTGAAACTAAAGATAACATGATGACTGAGTATTTCTTCCTGTCCAATGTTAAACACTCAAACATAGTGGAGTGTGTTAATGAACCGAGGGAGATCTCTTTTAACAACGAGAAGAAACAGTACGTTAAGTAAACTCCTTATTATATTGCATAATGCATATAATATAATACAGGGTGGGCCGCCAAAAGTCAGTACCCATACGTTGGCCTTAATAGCTCCGCCGTGTTTTATATTTGAGAGCTGTTGCTTTGCAGATGGCATACTGTACTTACTGGTTCGAGGATTCCGTCGTCAAAATTTGAAAATTCGAATATTTTAGACCACGCCCATTCAATATTAAAACACCTATATTGTTTTCTCTGAACATGCTGAACGCCTAATTTTTTCAGAGACGGTAAATTATCAAATGTTGCATATGATCTGAAAATATGACGCAAAACGGATTAGAAATGACGAAGTTATCAAGCATTTTCTGTATCTCGTTAACAAAATTGACTGGGTGATTATGTGACACCGTGACACGACACTTTAATTGGGCACCCTTAACAATTCCCATAATGTTTAACGGGGTAGTTAACGGGGGCACCTTATCACGTGATTAGGTAAACCAATCACCTGATCACACGTAATGAATAAACTCGTTATGCTTCATATCTCGGTCATCTGAGAAGCTACAGTTCTAATTCTTTCAGGACAAACGTAAATCGAATGGCCAAACACAATTCAATAACATTTAGCTTGATCCGACTATCCAAACTATCAAATAAATGTGAAAATGAACCTCCATTTCAAAAAAATGAACGCGAATATTTTTCGAGTTGACAAATTCCTCGAACCAGTGGTGGTACTAAGCCATACCAGAAAGAAGTATTTAAATTGGGCACTCAGTGACTGAGCTATAAAGGCCAACGTATGGGTACTGACTTTTGGCCCACCCTGTATAAAATAATTTTATAATTTTCTTTGACGATAAAAATGTCGTAAAGCTCATATTTTTATATAATGATTTGTTTCGTTATTTACATTGGAAAAAACTCAAATAGTGAAAAATTCGATAAAAAGCTGTTATAGACGCAATTTTGAGGGGAATCATGTTTAATTTTCAAAACAAGAAAATAGTGTATCGAATTTACTGAATTCGTGAAAACGAGCTACTCATTGATTTATGTTTGAAATGTTAATACCAGAAGTGTAGGAAGAGGGGGGGGGGGGGGGGGGGGGGGGGGGGGCAGGGAGGACGACCCTGGTTCATACCACTTTTCAATTTCAGATCATTTTTCATGGAACGCTTGGAATTTGGTGGCTTGGACTCTTATTTGAGAGGAGATTCTAATGGAGTAGCTAATGGTAAATGTAATTAAAAACGATGACAGGGAAACGGGCTGGGGGTTGCGGCCGGGGGGGGGGGGGGGGGGGGGGGGGGGGTAAGGCTGGGAATGGGGCGGCTTGGTTGGGGATGGGAATGGGGCGGCTTGGTTGGGGATGGGAATGGGGCGGCTTGGTTGGGGATGGGCTGGGAATGGGGCGGCTTAGTTGGGGATGGGAATGGGGCGGCTTGGTTGGGGATGGGAATGGGGCGGCTTGGTTGGGGATGGGCTGGGGGTGGGGCTTGGGTAGGGCTTATGTGGGGCTGGGGCTAGAGGGATTGGGTAGGGCTGGAGATGGGGGTGGGGGGGGGGCCTTCAGTGGTTTGGGCGGGGTGGCTGGGAGTTGCAGCATTTACGAAATATTGTATTTTATGGATTGAATAATCTTATTGAATGAGTACAAACTCTCAAATTGGACGACAGCTTTAAAACTGACATTCAAGTAAAAACATGACGAGAGTGATTTTAGAGGAGCCATTCACCAAATCACGTAGCAAATTGAGTGTTGTTATCTTTCTGGTCAAAGAGCTATGTACCAGTTCACCACTGCACATTGTCAATGATAATACTGCTGTTACTAGAGATGTTAATGTTACAGGACATTTAATGACAGTAGAAGATGCTACAAGCGTTGTCGTGGGGGCCTGTAGAGCCCTTCACTATGTACATAGTCTGGGATACGTCCACGCTGATATTTGTAGTGATAACTTATTTGCCTTCAGAAATCCTGACACGGTAAGAGTTACTATATTATATAATATTATATAATGTTTACAGTACTTCGTGAGTAGTACAGTACTTCACAACGATAATCCGCCTCCCCAATCGCAAATTAAAAAACATTACACACAGTATGCACACTCACAAATATGGCAGTGAGTATCCCAGCTGCATATAATGCAGTGTACTAATAGCAGCAGATATGAGATAACGACACGATTGCTTACTGATAGGCGTGCAAGAAATTCCTGAGCTGAATAGGGCCGGTAGCTCAATTGGTAGAGCACCAGGCATGTAACTCGGAGGTTGGCGGATCATACCCGCCCCGGCACTATGCCGGCCCATGATTTTCCGAATCGCTTACCAGTGGAAATCTAGTCAATTCAAATATCTGCTTATATGCTTGGTATTCATGGTCGATAAAATCACAGCCCAACCACATTCTTGACCAGATCACATGTGCATACGACATCCTTGGGAGCCGTCAGTTGAGCTTGCTCTCTGACTCGTGGGTTGAAAACATCGTGTACAGTACTTCGTGAGTAGTACAGTACTTCACAACGATAATCCGCCTCCCCAATCGCAAATTATATAATGTAGTAGTACTAACATAACCGACATAACCCAGCTGTGAGATTATAAATATACTAGTGTAACTCTCTACGATTATTAATATTATTATAAATAAATAAGAGATGATTAAATATTATTAATATTATTGCTTAGTGAAGAAATCGGAGTGTATGTGATTTTTAAAGCAATATTCGTTTTTCTTCTGGGGAATAATCCGGGTGCAAATTTTCAGAGCCATAAATATTAGTGTTACCCTAACCCTAACCCTAACCCTAACCCTAACCCTAACCCTAACCCTAACCCTAACCCTAACCCTAACCCTAACCCTAACCCTAACCCTAACCCTAACCCTAACCCTAACCCTAACCCTAACCCTAACCCTACTACCCTAACCCTAACCCTAACCCTAACCCTAACCCTAACCCTAACCCTAACCCTAACACCCTGTACTTTAATAATATAGTATACTCTACTTTAATAATGTACTAAGTACTTGAATACTGATATTATCTTTTATAGTGCTTTGTCCTGTATGATAAGGGGTCGTTCACATATTATTGCGTAATTATTGAGGGGCCCGAGGGCCGAGGGGGGTGGTTTCGAAATGATTACGCTAGTTTAATTTTAACACAATAGTCATGTGTAAAACTGGTTATGGAGGGGGGTTGGAGTTTAAAATGAGTCAAAAAGTGATTACGTACTATTATATGTGAATTGTGAACAACCTCTAATAAATTGTGGGCGAGCGTTAAATATTAGATAAAAAATACCATTTAACAGCTACAGGTCAATTACCTAGATCTTTTTTTTCCCAGAAACTTTTGGATGTCAAATTGGGAGATTTTGAATCCTTCTACCGCCCACAAAAGAGAGAGGATGGGGGATCAGGCTGGAAGTCAGTAAAACATACCGCCCTATACACTGCACCTGAGTGCATTCTAGACTGCCCCAAAAATGCGAACGAAAAAGTCATCAAACGAGATGCTTTTAAGAATGATGTTTGGGGCATTGCTTTAGTTCTTTGGGAAATTCAATCTTGGATCATGTGCAAAAATAATAAGACTTGTCTCAGAAGGTAACTATGTTTGACAGCCGTTAACTCACTATTTATTGTCGCATTTTACTCTTTATATTATTAGAACCTTTAGATTAGAAAGAAAAACAAGAATTGCGCCCGTTGTTTCGTTTTGGCGGACGCTATATTTCCATTTCACTATAACATATAACTATTAATATAAGCTCTAATCAGCTCACATTATAATAATAATATTGAAACATTAGTACACTACGCGTGCCACGTTCAAGTTGGGCTTATTACAAAATACTATACATGGGATACATTACTAGTATACATTAAAATACGCTCGTGCCGCGCATTCATTGACCACAGACTAGCTATACACCACATCTCCGCAAGCAATCCTCGCGCGCGTGCGCGCGGCAAGTTGACATGGTTACTAACGGAAGTAAGGAAGGACTGACGACATATTCAGACCCGCCTACTGCTATCTCCAAAATCCACGTTTTTCTGCAAAAACGTCCATTCGTAACCTTTCACTATTGCCTTTTTTCAAAAGAGTGAAAAGGAAAAAATGGTACACCGACTACAACATTTCAGTAGAGAACAACCAGGGGAAACAGTAATGAATACTGTGTCAAGATACTTCAAGTCTAGGATTGCACATGTTTACGACTATAACGACTGCAGATCACAGGTCCACGTCGCTCTCTTCCAGAAGATAAATCGTGTCAACCCCAGTGTCCTAAGCGCTAAACCAGACACTAAACTCATGAAGGAATTCTACGAAAGAATTTACCCGTGTAGCGTGGGGTATCCTTTAATGGACCCTAAACTGGATATAAAGTTCGGTTGGCCTATAACCAAACTTCTGAAGATGTGTTTGAGGATAGAACCGGACAACAGACCGTCAATGAGGGAGGTATTAGAACAGTTCCTCAATCACGCCAACTCATCCTTCTTGAAATACAAACACGATATTGCATCAGATTTGGACACAAAAGGTGATTTATCACTTAGTCTAGAGGATGTTGATCCTATTGATCTCCACTTCCAGTCAGAAATATATTCACCATCTAGCCTCCAACCTAACCTGGGCCAATTGTCCCGTTCACGGCCTAACTCAAATATCTGAAACAGACGGAACTTTCTTAAAATACTATCTAGTTTATGTCTGCCACGTTTCAGAGTGATTCCATAAACATTTTAGGAAGAATGGTTATTTTTGGGTATTTACATTTTAAATCTTGCTTGCAATAGAATTACACATGAATTACACAACTTGCCATTACTTTTGCCAGGATCAGTCTTTTTTGATATGGTAAAGAGTAATTAATACTGGTTGGGAGAGGGGTCAGGGTATCTGTTAGATATTACTCTCCTCCCAAAACATCATGAAATTTATTTTCATGATCGATCAAAATATTAGATACCGTCAATAACTCAAAACAGTTTTTTTTGGAGAAAAGCCCTTTTTATTTTTAATACGCTTTTATTTTTAATACGCTCTTCACTATACAGTTTTACACATCCTTAATAATATAATCAGTTAGGGTTTGAACTGAGTAAAGCAGTTGAACATATTCCAAACCCAATACACACATTCAATAAATGTAATAGGTTGATATTGTGAACTGTTGTCTGTTTCAAAGTTAAAAAACGGCCCTTTATCTGACCTTCAGTTTCATGGTAAATGAGTAAAGAGCAGCTTATGGTAATCTGACATGAAACGTAAAGTTGGATATAATTGGTATTTGCTCCTTAATAGAGAATTTTGTTGAAAATACAAACTTTCAGATCTGCAGACTTATTGTAATTGGTTTAATTAGTTGAATTATTTAAATAATTATATTGAATTGTTGTAGACACGAATGCTGATACACTGTCTTTTAAAACGTCATGAATCATGTATGTGAAAATTTTGATGTTGTTGCTTTTCATAAAAAAGTTGAGACTTCAAACCGATATTTTATTCTTTTATTTTTGATTATTTTTAATAGATGATTTTACTGTCCATGTTTCCAGTTAAGAGAAGTTTTACAAAAACTTTCTTGTCTTGTTATTTCTTTGAAACGCCATATTATTTACTAATAAGACTGCCAAGATTGTTGGCATTTTGAAGCGATTAGGCATTATCTAGTTCTATTTTAGCAAAAAACCGATGATATTAAAATGAAATGAAATAATGTGCTTATCATCTTGTACTTCTCTGTTTATTAATCATAAAGTTAATAAATCGTTACCAAAAGTTGACACAAGGAGCATTTTTAGCTTAAAATCACAATACAGTATAATATGTAATATTGTATACATTATGACCCTGGTTTAAAATTTCTGTAATTTCATTTCTGTTTTAGTTACGCATTTGATTTTTGGTATGCGTATAAAAATTAGAAAATCGATACGGCTTTAAAATGAGATGTTTGGCGACCTCCTAGCTCACTCACTAGACTCAGTAGGAGTGATTGAATTGCGAGGGACAATTGAGGCTAACGGATTAGCCTCATCACTTTTCAAAAAGAACTTTCTCATGTTACGTCCATGATATCCAAGTTGCAAGAATAGTCCATAGTTATTATACTTGATCGAGATCGAATCTAAGCTTTAAATATTCGAAGTGAAAATGAGGCTAACCACCTTTTGAGAGGATGAAATGAGGCTTACAAGTACACTTTTGTGTATATTTTCGAGCAGGTTCGGTATTGTGACTATCTAATATGTCAACAATAAAGATTGATTCATCCTCTTCAAGCTCAACATTTCAGAAATCGCTGAGTCTAATTGTAGGAGGCCAAAATGAGGCTAATAAAGAATTTGATTTCGTCCGCATTTTTACTTTAATGTACGGAAACAGGTTATAGACCCACTAATAAACTTGTTATTGTAGCCCGCAGGTTATTGAATTTTATTAATCGAAACTCAATTAGTTGAACTATAGACATATAAAATATCATATGCCTATCTTAAAAGTTCTTCCTGTGACAATCTTCTAAAGTTAAATTGGGAAAAACGTAATCCATCTCGTGCGAACTTTCCGAATGACCAGGGTCTTATACAGTAATTATCCTTGTCGATATTCTTGATCATGAATTATTTGAAATTTCAATGTTTAAAATTGTAATCAATAATTTTTCCGATTTTATAGCAGGGTTGTCGTAATGTTGGCGCGTTTGAAAATAGATATGGGGGGTGGGAGTCATACCATCCCTCTAAGCAAGAGATGTAATTATTGTAATATCAGTCAGGGTTGTAAACCACGTCATGTCCACCAATAACTTGTACAAGCTCTACAATAGCCAGAGAGAATGTGGACACTAACCGGCCTATTCTATATTCCTCCGGCCTATTCTATATTGCTCGGCCTATTCTATATTGCTCCGGCATATTCTATATTGCTCCGGCATATTCTATATTACTCTTGCCTATTCGTTGCTCGCAGAACTCGTGACTTTGTGGAAGACCATTTATCTCTGATTTTGCTAAATAGATTCATCAAAGCAAGCAAAGAGTTATTACAATTGTCCAATCCCTTGTGGTGAGCTGTCCATCATCTAGTAGAGAGTCTTTGACTAGTGTAGGAACTCGAAGAGACACAGTGATCTGTTAAGTTTCTAACCCAACTCCACTCAGTAATCTCGATTCTTTTGTCTTGTTCAGTAGTGTACTAGCATTGTGGCCCCGGGCTTACCTCCATTTTGGTGTTACAAATGGAGTCACGACCGGCATGGGCGGAGTTAAACGTCGTTTAGCGGGCGCCCAACGATCCTCCTTCCCACATTGCGTGTGTTAGAAATCACATGATAGAGGTCTTTGTCCGTAGTCTTCAGGACATTCAACTATAGAAGGTTGTGATACCTAATTTTGCGAGACCAAAGTGACCAATATATTTCTTAACATAGCTAAAGGGAGAATGATGCAACATAATTTTGCGTTTTGAAAAATTAATTTGTATTGATGTCATATATCAATATCTACAACTTCGACTTTTAGCATAATGTAATTATAAGTGAATATATATATATATATAATATACATATTATATATAATAAGATAGAATAGTCTGGCAGTATATCTCACTGCAGTGTAAAATTCTAAAAATGTCATTAAATGTCATTTACTGTCATCTCGACCATGAAAGTAGACTGCAGCCCCCCCCCCCCCTCCCCCCACTAGAAACTTTTAACAATTTTAAGATCCTGCTGTACAGTTACTATGTGAATTATATGTGTGATTTTCTTTCATAAAAACGCTGTGTTTTACTCTTAGAATGCTAAAATATTATCAGGTCACTTGTACTTGAATATTGAAGTTACTAGGTATTGTAATTAATATAGGTTACTATTTTAAAAATAGTTTACTATTGTAAAAACAAGTTATCTAACACTAAAAATGTACTGATTGTTTTCCAGCAACAATGAAATGACTGCTAGAACACCTTACTGCTAGAAGATGCTGGAAGCTTTCACTGCACACGAACTATTGTCCAATATTCCAGTACAAATAGAATCTATTTGTACTTATGAAGATCGACTTCTGGTCGGCACCAAACAGGTACTTCAAGTGATTTAATTTGTTGACACAATAGCGACACAATACGTGCATATAAGCATGATAAGACCCCTTATGGGACCTATATTTGAGTCGAGACAGTTGACAGGTTATTTGAGAGGCTCCAGATACTAGGAATTGGAATCATATTGCATATAATACCGTTTTTTTCTATACCATGCACTTTTCGTTTCCCCGAGGAGCTCGGTATATCGAGGTTCGACTGTACATAATATTATTCAATTTCACACGTCAGTATGTTTTTGATTTTATAATTCATAATTCAATGTTCGAAATAAAACTTAATGATTACTCATCTCCCCCCGGCAGGTAGCCCACCTCTCCCCCGCCCCAAGCCCCCAGCAGGTATTTATAGAACATCTTTCAGGGAACACTGCTGGTGTACAAGTTTGAGAATGACAAAATTGACCTGTTTCTCACTTTGAAGGGATTTTCCAAGAAGACTATTAATCAGGTTATAATTTAGTTAATTCTATTAATTCTGGCTGATTCTAGTTAATTCTGGCTAATTATAGTTAAGGGCACTTTCAAAAACTATGTTAACGAATCTGTCACGGGAAAAATTTCAACTTCTAGAAGCTCTCATTTGGTGGATAAACTCAATATTTTGATTAAACTTTTTTTCAGCATAGGATTTGCGATAGTTCAACTTTTACAAAAAGAATAAAATGTCTACTATGTCTATGAGCAGAGATACACGCATTTAAATCAGGGCTAATAATGGTGGATATACTTTTCAGAGGGGTTTGGTGTCCATATATCATTGATTGGCCTGTAACTTTACGTGTGGTTAATTTATGGTGATTATTTAAAGATAGAATTGTAGCAAATCGATATGCCTCTATGATAAAAGGCGAAAATAAAGAAAGATTTCAATTTTAAGGCTAGATATGGTGGATAATAAAACGATGAAATAAAATTCAATACCGAAAATTTTCAACTGAAAAAATTATATTGGTCAACAAGTTCACCAGCTTTACTCAGTGAACGGATCAGGTTGGAAATCGTTTCAAGTTTATGATAGCATAGAAGATTTAATTTTTAGGCCACTTTTGGTGGATATATTGGAGCTTCAAGATTGATTTAATTTTAAGTCAATTTCTGAGTCAATAATGCAGGTTATCCATTGTTAGACCCCAATTATCTCGTCTAGAAGCTGAAAATGTATACAATTATTGCTCTAGGGCCATAATGAATGGATATAGTTTCATACGAACTTAACAAACTGTTTCCTTTCAGCCTTTAGAGCTGTTTTTGGTGGATAAAAGTACTAAAACGGGAAAATTTGCTTTTGTATCCACTATTTTTGGCCCTAGATGTGTTCTATCATGAAACTACAACTGTTTCTAGATAGAAAATCCCCTTTGCTGAGTCAGTTCAAAAGAATTTTCAGTCCAAGACGACTTTTAAGGTTAAAATTGGTGGATATTAAATGTGAATAACCTACCTCAGTGATTGAAATAACGATTTCTTGACTGATAACGTATGTGATCCACTTTCAACGCCCAATAATTATATCTTAAGGTCGAAAGAGCTGAAAATCATTGCTCTGAGGTCGAAGAGAAGGGCTATAGTTTCAAGTAAACGTTCCAAAAATTCTCCATTTAGGGCCGTTTTTGGTGGATAAATGCCTAAGAAATTAGCTTAAAAACGGTTAAATTTGCTTTTTTATCCACTATTTCTGGCCTTAGATTTGCTCGATTATGAAATCATACACTGATATTGGTTTGTTTAGACCTTTTTCTTGTTCAGCACAAAATGTGATAAGCTCAAGCCGACTTTTAAGGCCAAAATTGATGGATATCAAAATATCCAGGTCGATATTTTAAGTATTTTTGAGTTAATTATCCACCAAATTGGCCCTGAATGCTTAAAATGCCATAGTACCTTATGCATAAATGTTCAACATCTTATATTTTATCTTTTTCGACTGTTTCTAATCACGATGATGTCTTATTTATTGATATTTTGGTAACATTTACGTGTTTAACTAATTAATATTGACTTATATCCACCAAAAATAGCCTTTTAACTTGAATCTCGAACTCTAAGTTGGTGCCATTCATTTAACATTGCCTTTGCACCATTTTAAGACCAGTAAATTGATGTTAGCTAACAAATAACAGTCTTAAAAAAGAGGTAAAAAAATATATCCACCAAATTTGGCCCTTAAGAAAAATCCCGGCCCTACATATGAAATTGTGAAGTTATAACGATTATTTATAAGTCTCAATCATATTTTAGGAGTTTAGATGGAATTAAATATTTTTAAAGGCCACCTGAAGTGGATTGGTCTGTTTCACTTTTATCCACCAGATTTAGCCCTAAATCGAAACAAAAAGTGGCAGATAGTAAAGGTTAGGGTATAGCACACCATATCCTGGAGTTTCATCCCGTTCCAAAAATTATCCACCAAATTATGCCACAAAAACTGATTTTTGGCAAATTTTAACATTTTTTCCGTGACAGATGTTTTTGAAAGTGCCCTTAATTGTATTCAATTTTAGCTAATTCTAGTTAATTATATTTAATTCTAATTAATTATATTTAATTCTAATTAATTCTAATTAATTCTAATTAATTCTAGCTAATTCTAGATAATTCTAGCTAATTCTAGTTAATTATATTTAATTCTAGCTAATTCTAGTTAATTGTATTTAATATATTTAATAATAGGTAATACTAGTTGAAATACTAGTTAATTCTAATAAAAAATAAATTCTAGCTAATTCTGATTAATTCGAGTCAATTCTAGTTAATTCTAGTTAATTCTAGCTAATTCTAATTAATTTTAGTTAATTAGATAGTTAATTCTAATTAATTCTAATTAATTCCAATTAATTCTAGCTAATTCTAGTTAATTCTAATTAATTCTAATTAATTTTAGTTAATTTTAATTAATTGTAATTAATTCTAGCTAGAATTAAGAGTAGCCTGCCAGTGGCGTAACGTTGCCTGTTGGCACTCCCACCGAAAAAGCGCGCCCCTGTTGGCGCCCCCTCCCCTTTTGGGGCCCCTCCCTAAAATTGAACAAATTAGGTGATTTTAGAGGATACGCCGGTAAAATCTCTAAAAAAGTGTGTATCTAGAACAAAACGCGCAGTTTTGCTCATCTCTAAAAAAGTGTGTATCTAGAACAAAACGCGCAGTTTTGCTAGTACTTTAGTTAAGTTTTCGAAATTGTCCCACATTCAAACGACGATTTGGCGCCCCCCTAAGACGGCGCCCCCCCCCCCCACCCCCCCCCCCCCCCCCCCCCCCCCCCGCACAGCGGGGCCCTTCGTTACGCCACTGTAGCCTGCTGACATGACTGTAGCTGCTTGAGAGTAGCCTGCTGATATATACAGTAAATATTCTCACTACTCTCAAGTTACAAATGAGCCAAATTGTTCAGTGAAATGTATACCATATAATAACTCATGTTAATTTCAGATTTCAGTGACCTCAGTGTTCAGCCCCTATCAATTAGTGTCCTTATCTGAAGGTACACTGAACATACACACTATACAGCAGTCTGGCTCTATTCAGCCCCTACAATGGTACATAGGAGGAATTAAAGGGGAATTTTGGGGTATTTTGGGGTATTTTGGGGTATTATGGGGTATTTTGAGGTATTTTGGGGAATGCCTTAGTGGATTTTGGAAATCCCCCATAGTAGAGTCCCCCATAAAACCCCAAAGTACCCCAGAATACCCCTTGGCTTCCCCCTACATAACTCTATAACTAACTACGCCACATTTTCACAATACGTGAAATATTTTCAAAATTTCACGTATTGTTTTAGCTTCCATTATTGATGGATTGATTTGCCAGTTGGGTTACTTAGTGACCAGGTAATGTTACCTAGTGACCAGTTTGGTTGATTATTCCTCTCCTCAGTGAAGGCTTGGCTAAAGCTCGTGGCTCAACCCTCTTCACTCTTCATCAGTCAACTGCTGCAGATGAGCAACCATCCGCTCAACTAGCCGTCGCTTGTAAAAGGAAAATAATACTGTACCGTGTAAGTAGGACCAACCCTTGAGTGTAGATTACAATAACCTACATAAGTAGAACCAACTCTTGAGTGTAGATTACAATAATCTACATAAGTAGAACCAACTTTTGAGTGTAGATAACAATAATCTACATAAGTAGAACCAGCTCTTGAGTGTAGATTACAATAATCTACATTTAAAGTAGAACCAACTCTTGAGTGTAGATTACAATAATCTACATAAGTAGAACCAACTCTTGAGTGTAGATTACAATAATCTACATAAGTAGAACCAACTCTTGAGTGTAGATTACAATAATCTACATAAGTAGAACCAACTCTTGGGTGTAGATTACAATAATCTACATAAGTAGAACCAACTCTTGAGTGTAGATTACAATAATCTACATAAGTAGATCCTACCCTCGAGTATTGATTAAAATAATCTACCTAAGTATTGTGTAGTGGCTAAAGAAAGGACCACCTCAAGAAGTCAAGGAGATAAACCTGTATGACGTTCCCAAAGCGATGGTATTCCACGGCCAGGGCTACTCAGATAAGATTTACATTGGGTTTAAAGGGAAATACTGTCAGTTACATGTCTCGACTGAACAAGTTAAAGATATGCTTTGTACAGGTTAATAATAACCATTACTACTTTACTATTTCCATTACTATAGTATCCTATTTCCCTGTTTGGGTGTTTCTTCTCCTCTTGATATTGTTAGCTACTTAGCGGGAATTATGTTGAACTACGGGTATATAAGTATGTCGAAGGTGCACATTCTTAACATGACATGTACTAGTAGGCACGGGTTACACTAGTTAGTAATATTATAGTGGGTAATGTAGTGAGAGGGTTACACTAGTTAGTAATATTATAGTGGGTAATGTAGTGAGAGGGTTACACTAGTTAGTAATATTATAGTGGGTAATGTAGTGAGAGGGTTACACTAGTTAGTAATATTAGAGTGGGTAATGTAGTGAGAGGCGCCCCAATCTAAAAGATGAGGAGAAATATAGCACCTAGCCAAGAACATCCCAGTATTGAAAATACATAGGAATATGTATAGACTATAGGCTATTACCATTTTCTACTCAACTCCCACTTTTAGAATAATTTATATTTCAATACCGTGTCTCTTACACGCTAGTCGCTTTGTAGGGGCTTTGTATCTGATAACAGTCTAACCATTACCAAGACTCAGGACTCATGAGTGGTATTATGATAAACTGCTTGCGGAGGTAAACTGCTTGCGGAGGTAAACTCGTGGACACTGGACAGCGGGCCTAATTCATTACCATATTTTTGTAAAGTGATCTTATAAAATATATATTAATATAACAATGTAGTACTTAAAATAACTCATACTACTAGGGAGGCAGTTGGAGGCGACAATGTTGTGGGTAGACAAAGAAACTGTTGCTATCTGTAAGGACGAGTGGAGCATTCTGCTTGCGGAGGACGGCAAACCCTACCAAGATGAGTTCAAGTCAAACATTAAGTACGTTACCCTTCAAGTAGCTATTAGATATCGGGGGTGGGATGGCGGCACCCCACCCAAATGAACGTGATTATTACTTGATTTGATATTAGGTTCCTCAAATGAGTGATAATAGTGAGTCATAACATAACGAATTGTCTCAATCGAGCACTCAGTGGCTGTACTACTCAGTGACTGACAAATAAACGTTTGTACACTTTTTAAAGGCCCATCCTGGCAGGTGGTGCGACTGTCCCTCTGCGCTACTCTACTGCAAGCCCTACATTGTAGCGGTTATCAACAAGGGAATTGAAGTGAAGACTATTCAACTGGTGGAGCCCATTCAGGTAAGAGTCTTATTGATCCATCTTACTAACAGTCTTACTAACAGTCTTACATGATATTCAATTTAGGGTCATGTTTAAGGTCAGGTTAGGGGTCGTACCCTCAAAACGCTTTTTTAGATAATAGTATGATATAAACAAAGTATCGAGTATCAAAGTATCAATTTAGTGTCAGGTTTAAAACGCTTTTTTATTTAATATTATGTTATAAACAGTTTATAAACTCTATCACCTGTTTATCTAACCTTAGTTTTGTAGGCAAGTTGATAGAAAGAGTAGTGCTCAGGCGTCTAAATGAACATCTAGAAAACAACAACCTGAACATCCCACAGCAGTCTGGATACAAATCAAAACACAGCACCGAGACTCTGCTTGTGAGAGTTGTTAACGATCTGCTCATTGCATCTACAGAAAGCAAGGCAACTGTTGTTCTTCTCCTAGATCTCAGCGCAGCTTTTGATACAGTTGACCACTGCAAACTACTGAACATCCTCAGAAATGAGTTGGGAATAACAGGGACAGCTTGGAAATGGTTCAGCAGCTTCCTCACAGGTAGATGTCAAACGATTAAAGTTGGAAATGAGGAATCTTATGAGATAGTGATTAAGTTTGGAGTCCCACAGGGCTCTGTGCTGGGTCCGGTCCTGTTCAACATCTACATTCGCTCTTTGTACTCAGCAGCACATGATTTGAACTTCTCCATCCAGGGTTACGCCGACGATCATCAGCTGTATAAAAGTTTCAAGCCAAACGAGGAGCCCACCGTCCTTATCAACGATGTTCCCAAATGTTTCCAAGAAATTAATGACTGGATGAAAAAACATTATCTACAGCTCAATGCAGGAAAAACTGAGATTCTTGTTTTTGGGACACCGCTTGTTCTCCAGCAGCTGTCTATAGGGGGCGTGTTTGTTAACTCTGAGACGTGTGTCAGGCTGTCACCTGTTGCAAAGAACCTCGGATTTCGTCTCGACTCTCAACTAAACTTTGGTGAGCAAATCAAGCAACTTAAAACATCGTGTTTTCTGAAACTAAGAGACCTTGCTAAGATGAAAACATTCCTCACAACCAAACAGATGGGAACACTGACTCAAGCAATTGTAATCTCATCGCTTGACTACTGCAATGCGCTTTACTATGGTTGTAGTCAAGCCTCAATTACGCAGCTGCAGAACATTCAGAACCGAGCATGCCGTCTGGTTTTTGGATTAAAGAAGAGAGACTCAGTCGAGGAGAAGCTCAAATCCCTTCATTGGCTCAAGGTGAAGGAAAGGATTGAGTTTAAGCTATGTTTACTGATTTTCAAAGCAGTCAATGGTGTTGCTCCTGCATATCTGTGTGATCTAGTAACATTTGTTAGTTCGAGTAGCAGAAGAACTTCCTCCTTACACCTACCTGTCGGATCTACAAGATCGCACCCAAGAGCGTTTCAGACTGTTGCTCCGAAAATCTGGAACCAACTACCAATTGAAATTAAGACTTGTTCTGATGTTGATCTGTTCAAAACATTATTAAAAACTCACCTGTTTAAGAAAAGTTATGGCTTGAGCGATTAATTGACAATATAACTTTATGTTATTTGCTTAAACTGTTTAGGATGCAACCTAATGTCATGATCTTTTTGAACTTATTAGCAATTAGACTGTTAGCTCGCTTCATAAGCATATCATCTTCTTTCCAAAACTTTTTATGTCCTATGCATACACTCCTGGATAGTTATCTTGATCTAGTATCTTTGTTTCACACAATAGAGCATAAGTTTTGTGGTTTATCCACTGGGCTTAGAGTTTGTGTTTAAGCTACCAAATTTTATTATTATTATTTATTATAAACAGGTGATAGAGTTACCGAAAGTGAAGTTGGTGGCACGAGATAAACGAATGTTCGTAGCTTCAGCCACCCACCTCTGGGAACTGAAACTGAAGGACCTTATTCTTCAGGCGAGTGCTTTACAAGAAGTATCTTCTTAAAAATAGAGTATAACCTCATCATTATAATTTCTCTTTCTTTAGAGTCAAAACATGAGGTGACAAAACATACATTTTGTATCATGATTACATTTTCATCCCTTCCATGAATGTATTTGTAAATATTACGTATAAATATACGTATAATATACATGTTTAATATCTTACTTTATACAGTCCAAAAGTGGCCCAAGTGTGACTACCCACACGCAACCTCTTAATAACTCACGTAATTCGTCTCCAAATTGCACCAAAATTTCAGAGATTATAGATATGGGTCAAACTTAGATTTCCTGAAAGTTTCGTAAGCCACGCCCAATTACAGTGGGCGTGGCGTGACACTCCCTCTTTTTCACTAATGTCTTCATAAAATGAGAACGCTTTAAGCTAAGAACTCCAAATTTTTTGCACAAATTTGGCTTGATAATTTAAAACCTTTCCCAAAGTTTCAAGTTCATTGTTCAAAATTTGGCTGAGTTATGACCATTTCAAAATTCATCGGAAACGTGATCCGAGCACTCAGTCAGTGATCTCTGCACTCAATCAGTGATCTCGTCACCCAATCTGATCAAGAGTAAGGCGTTAGCTGTATTAATGAGGTTCATTAGGCTTTACCAAACATACTGAGGAGATGAAGTTCTGATCATGATTGATTGGATACCGATAATGACTTTGCTAGACAGGAAAACACCAAATTCTTCGTAAAAGTAAGGTCCTAGGATTCCACGAGAACTGATGGAGCACCAGATCGTGACCTTTTCAGGAAAATCAGGAATCACGGTCTAAAAGTTGGTGTTTCTTTGTGATCCGATAGACCCGGTTAGAAAGATCTCGCTTTAGGATTCGTTGAAGGGATGTTCTGCTGAGGTCTAAGGCAGGAGCTCGTTTTCGGGTGCCAATTTTAGGTGTATCCATCACGTCACAAACAACCATGGTGATGTTTTCTTCGGTCCTCGCAGTTCGTCTTCTGCCGACTCTTCACCGATCGTTTGCAGAAAAAGTGAACTTGATCTTGTGATGCATATCAAAGCAGCTTTTCCGGCAAGGGGATGGTCGGTTGAATTTCATTTAAAATTGTCGATTAAGCTGAGGACAGAACTCCCCATTCTCTTTCTTCAGGTAGACAAACAATCGTTGTTCCGCAGATTCAATGGATAGTTCATTCCTTTTTATCGATTGTAAGGAACGAACCTGTGACTAGCAGGGCTAACAAGCCCTGCAACCAATCAAGCGGTGCATGTGAGCCAAACAGGCCATTAACCAAGTGCAGAGATCACTGACTGAGTGCTCGGATCACGTTTCCGATGAATTTTGAAATGGTCATAACTCAGCCAAATTTTGAACAATGAACTTGAAACTTTGGGAAAGGTTTTAAATTATCAAGCCAAATGTGTGCAAAAAATTTGGAGTTCTTAGCTTAAAGCGTTCTCATTTTATGAAGACAATAGTGAAAAAGAGGGAGTGTCACGCCACGCCCACTGTAATTGGGCGTGGCTTACGAAACTTTCAGGAAATCTAAGTTTGACCCATATCTATAATCTCTGAAATTTTGGTGCAATTTGAAGACGAATTACGTAAGTTATAAAAAGGTTGCGTGTGGGTAGTCACTTTTGGGCCACCCTGTATATAAAGCAAGACGATATATGTATCATAATATAATAATACATAACATGAAGACGTTTGTAACTTGTTTAAAAAGCATTAATACAGTAAAACACCCATTATTACCATTTTACTGACATGATTTTTGACTACTTTTCGCGAAGACCACACCGTGAGAGATGCTGCCTTTTGACCAGTATAAAGAATTTAAAAATTGGCCAAGGTATAAGAGCTTTAGGTCCAGAAATTTGGACCCCCAAATGGTATCACAAACACAAAATAAATGAATTTTGTTTTATCTTGACACCACTTTTGGGTCGGACGGGTTTCTGCTAGGAGAAAAAGGCTGGCTTCGTCTAATATTAGTACCCTAAAGCGAAAGTACAATAGCAATGGATTACACAGGATTAAATCTGTAGCAATGTGTCAACGCTTCGTGCTTTAATTCATTGAACAATCCTTCGGAAAATTGAACATTACAGGAACAAATAGCATCCTGAACGTTTAAATGTATTTTCCAAAGTAACTTGCCAAAAAAACAGCCAAAGAACTGGTCACAATGAAATAGTGGTCATCACCAGAAGTCTTAAGTTAAATGTTGACAAACCCATACCCATAAGTTTAGGTTGTCACAACATTCCTTAGTCCTTACCGTACATTGCATTCTTACCCCGGCCCTACCTAGATTGAGCGTTATAAAGTGTGCACTTAACAAGAATTTCTGTGTCATTTTCGTAGGTGCGCTTTTGTGCCGCCTACTCTGCTGTTCTCGCGCATACGCTCACTTTTTTGGAACCAATTTACATCAATACACGTAGAGTATACAGTAATTTGTCGAATCGAAAAATATTCGTGTTCATTTTTTTCAAATGAAGGTTCGCATTTATTTGATAGTTTGTATAGTCGGATCGAGCCAAATTTCATTGAATTGTGTTTGGCAATCCGAATTACGTTTGTTCTGAAAAAATGAGGGTTGTAGCTTCTCAGATAACCGAAATACGAAGCATAACGAGTTTATTCATTATGTGAGATCAGGTGATTGGTTTACCTAATCACGTGATAAGGTGACCCCGTTATGGTTAAACATTATGGGAATCTTTAAGGCTGCCCAATTAAGGTGTCGTGTCACGGTGTCACATAATCACCCAGTCAGTTTTGTTAACGAGATACACAAAATGCTTGATAACTTCGTCATTTCTAATCCGTTTTGCCTCATTTTTGTTAGATCAGATGCAATATTTAATAATCTACCGTCTCTGAAGAAATTAGGCGTCCAGCATGTTCAGAGATAACAATATAGGTGTTTTAATATTGAATGGGCGTGGTCTAAAATATTCGAATTTTCAAATTTTGGCGACGGAACCCTCGAACAAGTAGGTACAGTATGCCATCTGCAAAGCAACAACTCTCAAATATAAAACACGGCAGAGGTATAAGACTCAACGTTTGCACACTGACTTTCATTTAGATAACATATTGTGTTTAAAAAATGTGAGGATAATTAATATTTAAACATGTGACAGGTGGACAAGCTAATAACTTTAAAGCAGTTTGAGTTAGCCGAGACACTCAACAAGATGACACACGAGCAAGGTGGTGATCACGAGCAAGCGGTCAGTTTACTAGATTGTGGAATAAACACGTTATTTAGTACTCAGTATGATTATGATATGTGTATTTTATGTTTCTTTCATCCAAATTTCTGATTGTTTCTGAGTAGACTAATACTCAGTAACAATCTGAAATTTGAATGAAAGAAACGGCAAATCACGAGACTCAATAATAATACACGACTCAATCAGATGTGATATGTATTTTAGATGTAGTGCTATTTTGCAGAGTAGACTGCATTGTGATGTAGTGCTATTTTGCAGAGTAGACTGCACTGTGATACAGTGCTATTTTGCAGAGTAGACTGCATTGTGATGTAGTGCTATTTTGCAGAGTAGACTGCACTGTGATACATTGCTATTTTGCAGAGTAGACTGCACTGTGATGTAGTGATATTTTGCAGAGTAGACTGCACTGTGATACATTGCTATTTTGCAGAGTAGACTGCACTGTGATACATTGCTATTTTGCAGAGTAGACTGCACTGTGATACAGTGCTATTTTGCAGAGTAGACTGCACTGTGATACAGTGCTATTTTGCAGAATATACTGCACTGTGATACAGTGCTATTTTGCAGAGTAGACTGCACTGTGATGTAGTGCTATTTTGCAGAGTAGACTGCACTGTGATACATTGCTATTTTGCAGAGTAGACTGCACTGTGATATAGTGCTATTTTGCAGAGTAGACTGCACTGTGATGTAGTGCTATTTTGCAGAGTAGACTGCACTGTGATACATTGCTATTTTGCAGAGTAGACTGCACTGTGATATAGTGCTATTTTGCAGAGTAGACTGCACTATGATACAGTGCTATTTTGCAGAGTAGACTGCACTGTGATATAATGATATTTCGCAGAATAGACAGCGAACAGTGATCAACACCCAAGCAGCGTATCATGAGTTTATTAATAAGAGATATGAGAAGTCAATGACGAGGTTTCAGAAAACTAATGTCGAGGTTAGATTTATAGTTTTTATTTTATCTAGCTGTCGTGTGCATTGCCGAAAAATCTATGTTTTTACAAATAAGCAATATCTTCAACTTCAAATACATTATACACTATAGGTTGCCAACGTTATAGGACTGTTTCCAGAGCTCCTCTCCAAGAAGATGCAGGATAAGCAGGTCTACCCTGCAGACATTCTGGAGGCTAGAAAATACCTTACTACTAAGGACATTGAAACAGGTGCTGTTCTGATCATTAATTATATAGATTAATAATTTATAATAATTCGCATATTAACTGGGAAAATAATCAATTATTTGTAATAAGTTTTAGCTCTGATGTGTAGGTCATTTTTGATGTCACATTTTATCTCAAATTGTGCCTACAGAGTGAAAACATAAAAACTTAATCATTTTAATTTCTAAGCTCTAGCATTGATTTACAATTATTTATCATCCAAAATTTTAGGAGATTTTACGACACAAAGATTAACTGTTAATAATTTTTGGAGGAGGAAGAGTTGGAATTGGAGGGGGGGGGGGGGGGGGGGGTCATGTTAATAAAGCATGATCCCCCACCACCCATTTAGCAACCAAAAGCTTTTAACGAGCTTATACATGCTGTCAGGTCTGGAAGCATTAGAAAAGTATCTGGTGGCGAAGAGATTTGACCTGAACAAATACGAGGAGGAAGTTGAGAACAGCAAACAAACCAAGATAATTATCGACACAACTCTCTTGAAGTGTTATCTGCAGAACAAACCTAAGATGGTCGCTTCTCTCCTCAGGTTTAAATCTTTTTTTCGATTGTTAATAGAAAGTTCCTAATTTTGACAAAAATTTGCCAGGCTGTGTCCCCCCTCCTTCGCAGTGCCGGGCTGTGTCCCCTCTCCTTCACATTGCCGGGCTGTGTCCCCCTCCTTCACACTGCCGGGCTGTGTCCCCCCTCCTTCACATTGCCGGGCTGTGTCCCCCCTCCTTCGCAGTGCCGGGCTGTGTCCCCTCTCCTTCACATTGCCGGGCTGTGTCCCCCTCCTTCACACTGCCAGGCTGTGTCCCCCCTCCTTCACATTGCCGGGCTGTGTCCCCTCCCTTCACACTGCCGGGCTGTGTCCCCCCTCCTTCACACTGCCGGGCTGTGTCCCCCCTCCTTCACATTGCCGGGCTGTGTCCCCCCTCCTTCACACTGCCAGGCTGTGTCCCCCCTCCTTCACATTGCCGGGCTGTGTCCCCCCTCCTTCACATTGCCGGGATGTGTCCCCCCTCCTTCACACTGCCGGGCTGTGTCCCCCCTCCTTCACACTGCCGGGCTGTGTCCCCCCTCCTTCACATTGCCGGGCTGTGTCCCCCCTCCTTCACATTGCCGGGCTGTGTCCCCCCTCCTTCACATTGCCGGGCTGTGTCCCCTCTCCTTCACATTGCCAGGCTGTGTCCCCCCTCCTTCACATTGCCGGGCTGTGTCCCCTCTCCTTCACACTGCCGGGCTGTGTCCCCCCTCCTTCACATTGCCGGGGTGTGTCCCCCCTCCTTCACATTGCCGGGCTGTGTCCCCTCTCCTTCACATTGCCGGGGTGTGTCCCCCCTCCTTCACACTGCCGGGCTGTGTCCCCTCTCCTTCACATAGCCGGGGTGTGTCCCCCCTCCTTCACATTGCCGGGCTGTGTCCCCTCTCCTTCACATTGCCGGGCCGTGTCCCCCCTCCTTCACATTGCCGGGGTGTGTCCCCCCTCCTTCACATTGCCGGGCTGTGTCCCCCCTCCTTCACAAGTTCACACTGCCGGGCTGTGTCCCCCCTCCTTCACATTGCCGGGCTGTGTCCCCCCTCCTTCACACTGCCGGGCTGTGTCCCCCCTCCTACACATTGCCGGGCTGTGTCCCCCCTCCTTCACACTGCCGGGCTGTGTCCCCCCTCCTTCACACTGCCGGGCTGTGTCCCCTCTCCTTCACATTGCCGGGCTGTGTACCCCCTCCTTCACACTGCCGGGCTGTGTCCCCCCTCCTTCACATTGCCGGGCTGTGTCACAGTATATAATATATCCGACTCTCTCGTTTGTGTAACAGTTAGTGACCAATATATCCCACTTTTTTGAGGAGGACAAATTTAACAAAATTGAAAGCTAACACGTTCACTAATACTATATAGTAATATGTAAATATTATAGTAACCCGTGTATAGATATAGAATATCAGCAGAAATAGAGTAACCGTTATTTATCTGCACTGATATGATAATTGAATAAATTGAACCGATTTAATGGCAAATGGTTAATAAAGGTAAACATTCGTCACTTAACTAATGATTGGTATATTATATGATCATTGACTACCTTAGGTGACTTATTTATATGGGGATTTTGAGAAAAACAAAAACCCATATTTTAAGACCACCAAAACTTCAATTCTCAGAATTATATCATATAAATGCAACTTAAATATGTCTCCTAAGCCCCTGAGGTGTAAGGTTACAAAGATTTTGCTCATTGTAAATATTGTCACTAAATTTGCAGGTGGTAATAATAATTACTGTGATCAAAGTAAGAGTCTCATTTCCAATTCTCACACAGGCTGAAGGATAACGAGTGCCACATAGTGGAGAGTGAGCGGGCGCTTAAACGTGCGCGCCGCATGAACGACATCATCATTCTCTACAAGTCTAAGGTAAGACAACATTATTAACTATTTCAACAGGTCCAAATTAACAATCTCTAGATTTCTAAGTTGTTTTTATCTCAAACTGTGACTGTGACTGTGACTGTGACTGTGACTGTGACTGTGACTGGTGTTCACACCTGTAATATGAGACCTTTATTACTTACAGGGGGTTATTAGCACCTGTACTTACAGACCTGTAACCACCTGCAACAGTGTGTTTGGCACTAAAATGTGGAAGTATTCCCTCTCATCCCCGAGCAGGGACAAAAGGATTTCGCGGTTATTTTGGCCAAAAATCGCGATACCGCGAATTACATTTCGCGGTATATTAAACTATACATAAAATTGGTCGCAAATAATGGGAAAAATCGCGATTCCGTACATGCCGCGATTTCCTTTTGTCCCTGTCCCCGAGATAAACTATATGCACTATAATAGTCAGTAGATTAGGAGGAACTGTAGTTACATTGTAAACAGTGTAGGTTAAACCCAATCCTGACTCCAGGGACAGCACGTAGTTACATTGTAAACAGTGTAGGTTAAACCCAATCCTGACTCCAGGGACAGCACGTATTTACATTGTAAACAGTACAGTGTAGGTTAAACCCAATCCTGACTCCAGGGACAGCACGTAGTTACATTGTAAACAGTGTAGGTTAAACCCAATCCTGACTCCAGGGACAGCACGTAGTTACATTGTAGACAGTGTAGGTTAAACCCAATCCTGACTCCAGGGACAGCACGTATTTACATTGTAAACAGTGTAGCTTAAACCCAATCCTGACTCCAGGGACAGCACGGAGTTACATTGTAAACAGTGTAGGTTAAACCCAATCCTGACTTCAGGGACAGCACGTAGTTACATTGTAAACAGTGTAGGTTAAACTCGATCCTGACTCAAGGGACAGCACGTAGTTACATTGTAAACAGTGTAGGTTAAACCCAATCCTGACTCCAGGGACAGCACGTAGTTACATTGTAAACAGTGTAGGTTAAACTCAATCCTGACTCCAGGGACAACACGTAGTTACATTGTAAACAGTGTAGGTTAAACCCAATCCTGACTCCAGGGACAGCACGTATTTACATTGTAAACAGTGTAGGTTAAACCCAATCCTGACTCCAGGGACAGCACGTAGTTACATTGTAAACAGTGTAGGTTAAACCCAATCCTGACTCAAGGGACAGCACGTAGTTACATTGTAAACAGTGTAGGTTAAACCCAATCCTGACTCCAGGGACAGCACGTAGTTACATTGTAAACAGTGTACGTTAAACCCAATCCTGACTCCAGGGACAGCACGTAGTTACATTGTTAACAGTGTAGGTTAAACCCAATCCTGACTCCAGGGACAGCACGTAGTTACATTGTTAACAGTGTAGGTTAAATCCAATCCTGACTCCAGGGACAGCACGTAGTTACATTGTAAACAGCACTGTAGGTTAAACCCAATCCTGACTCCAGGGACAGCACGTAGTTACATTGTAAACAGTGTAGGTTAAACCCAATCCTGACTCCAGGGACAGCACGTAGTTACATTGTAAACAGTGTAGGTTAAACCCAATCCTGACTCCAGGGACAGCACGTAGTTACATTGTAAACAGTGTAGGTTAAACCCAATCCTGACTCCAGGGACAGCACGTAGTTACATTGTTAACAGTGTAGGTTAAACCCAATCCTGACTCCAGGGACAGCACGTAGTTACATTGTTAACAGTGTAGGTTAAACCCAATCCTGACTCCAGGGACAGCACGTAGTTACATTGTAAACAGTGTAGGTTAAACCCAATCCTGACTCCAGGGACAGCACGTAGTTACATTGTAAACAGTGTACGTTAAACCCAATCCTGACTCCAGGGACAGCACGTAGTTACATTGTTAACAGTGTAGGTTAAATCCAATCCTGACTCCAGGGACAGCACGTAGTTACATTGTTAACAGTGTAGGTTAAATCCAATCCTGACTCCAGGGACAGCACGTAGTTACATTGTAAACAGTGTAGGTTAAACCCAATCCTGACTCCAGGGACAGCACGTAGTTACATTGTAAACAGTGTAGGTTAAACCCAATCCTGACTCCAGGGACAGCACGTAGTTACATTGTAAACAGTGTAGGTTAAACCCAATCCTGACTCCAGGGACAGCACGTAGTTATATTGTAAACAGTGTAGGTTAAACTCGATCCTGACTCCAGGGACAGCACGTAGTTACATTGTAAACAGTGTAGGTTAAACCCAATCCTGACTCCAGGGACAGCACGTAGTTACATTGTAATCAGTGTAGGTTAAACTCGATCCTGACTCCAGGGACAGCACGTAGTTACATTGTAAACAGTGTAGGTTAAACCCAATCCTGACTCCAGGGACAGCACGTAGTTACATTGTAAACAGTGTAGGTTAAACCCAATCCTGACTCCAGGGACAACACGTAGTTACATTGTAAACAGTGTAGGTTAAACCCAATCCTGACTCCAGGGACAGCACGTAGTTACATTGTAAACAGTGTAGGTTAAACCCAATCCTGACTCCAGGGACAGCACGTAGTTACATTGTAAACAGTGTAGGTTAAACCCAATCCTGACTCCAGGGACAGCACGTAGTTACATTGTAAACAGTGTAGGTTAAACCCAATCCTGACTCCAGGGACAGCACGTAGTTACATTGTAAACAGTGTAGGTTAAACCCAATCCTGACTCCAGGGACAGCACGTAGTTACATTGTAAACAGTGTAGGTTAAACCCAATCCTGACTCCAGGGACAGCACGTAGTTACATTGTAAACAGTGTAGGTTAAACCCAATCCTGACTCCAGGGACAGCACGTAGTTACATTGTAAACAGTGTAGGTTAAACCCAATCCTGACTCCAGGGACAGCACGTAGTTACATTGTAAACAGTGTACGTTAAACCCAATCCTGACTCCAGGGACAGCACGTAGTTACATTGTTAACAGTGTAGGTTAAATCCAATCCTGACTCCAGGGACAGCACGTAGTTACATTGTTAACAGTGTAGGTTAAATCCAATCCTGACTCCAGGGACAGCACGTAGTTACATTGTAAACAGTGTAGGTTAAACCCAATCCTGACTCCAGGGACAGCACGTAGTTACATTGTAAACAGTGTAGGTTAAACCCAATCCTGACTCCAGGGACAGCACGTAGTTACATTGTAAACAGTGTAGGTTAAACCCAATCCTGACTCCAGGGACAGCACGTAGTTATATTGTAAACAGTGTAGGTTAAACTCGATCCTGACTCCAGGGACAGCACGTAGTTACATTGTAAACAGTGTAGGTTAAACCCAATCCTGACTCCAGGGACAGCACGTAGTTACATTGTAAACAGTGTAGGTTAAACCCAATCCTGACTCCAGGGACAGCACGTAGTTACATTGTAAACAGTGTAGGTTAAACCCAATCCTGACTCCAGGGACAGCACGTAGTTACATTGTAAACAGTGTAGGTTAAATCCAATCCTGACTCCAGGGACAGCACGTAGTTACATTGTAAACAGTGTAGGTTAAACCCAATCCTGACTCCAGGGACAGCACGTAGTTACATTGTAAACAGTGTAGGTTAAATCCAATCCTGACTCCAGGGACAGCACGTAGTTACATTGTAAACAGTGTAGGTTAAACCCAATCCTGACTCCAGGGACAGCACGTAGTTACATTGTAAACAGTGTAGGTTAAATCCAATCCTGACTTCAGGGACAGCACGTAGTTACATTGTAAACAGCACTGTAGGTTAAACCCAATCCTGACTTCAGGGACAGCACGTAGTTACATTGTAAACAGTGTAGGTTAAACCCAATCCTGACTCCAGGGACAGCACGTAGTTACATTGTAAACAGTGTAGGTTAAACCCAATCCTGACTCCAGGGACAGCACGTAGTTACATTGTAAACAGTGTAGGTTAAACCCAATCCTGACTCCAGGGACAGCACGTAGTTACATTGTAAACAGTGTAGGTTAAATCCAATCCTGACTCCAGGGACAGCACGTAGTTACATTGTAAACAGTGTAGGTTAAACCCAATCCTGACTCCAGGGACAGCACGTAGTTACATTGTAAACAGTGTAGGTTAAATCCAATCCTGACTCCAGGGACAGCACGTAGTTACATTGTAAACAGTGTAGGTTAAACCCAATCCTGACTCCAGGGACAGCACGTAGTTGGGGGGGGGGGGGCAATGACTACTTTTGGGGACTTGGGGAATTACGTCAACGATTTTACCCCGAGTCCCCGTGATTTTTAGTCCCCATTAGTCCCCAAAAGTCTCCATTTGTCCCCATTTAGATGATTTTTAGTCCCCATTAGTCCCCAAAAGTCTCCATTAGTCCCCATTTAGATTTATCCTACTCTTATCTTGGACAAAACATCTCGATCGTATCGTTATTAAACTAACTTGAAAACCATAAATAACTGTCAAAAATTCTGGGGACTTATGGGGACAAATGGTGAATTACGTCAACGAGTTGACCTCTAGTCCCCATGATTTTTAGTCCCCATTAGTCCCCAAAAGTCTCCATTGGTAGTCATTGGCCCCCCCCCCCCGCCCCCCACGTAGTTACATTGTAAACAGTGTAGGTTAAACCCAATCCTGACTCAAGGGACAGCACGTAGTTACATTGTAAACAGTGTAGGTTAAACCCAATCCTGACTCCAGGGACAGCACGAGAAGGCGCTGACAGTACTGAAGCAGTATGCAAATATGCAGAACACACAGAAACACGAGCTGGGAGGACCTGAACACACCATCAAGTACCTACAGGACCTGGGACCTGAGGACATCCACCTAATCAAGGAATACTCCAAGTTAGCATTTACCCACCTTATCAAGGAATACTCCAAGTTAGCATTTACCCACCTTATCAAGCTAAGGAATACTCCAAGTTAGCATTTACCCACCTTATCAAGGAATACTCCAAGTTAGCATTTACCCACCTTATCAAGGAATACTCCAAGTTAGCATTTACCCACCTTATCAAGGAATACTCCAAGTTAGCATTTACCCACCTTATCAAGGAATACTCCAAGTTAGCATTCACCCACCTTATCAAGGAATACTCCAAGTTAGCATTCACCCACCTTATCAAGGAATACTCCAAGTTAGCATTTACCCACCTTATCAAGGAATACTCCAAGTTAGCATTTACCCACCTTATCAAGGAATACTCCAAGTTAGCGTTTACCCATCTTATCAAGGAATACTCCAAGTTAGCATTTACCCACCTTATCAAGGAATACTCCAAGTTAGCATTTACCCATCTTATCAAGGAATACTCCAAGTTAGCATTTACCCACCTTATCAAGGAATACTCCAAGTTAGCATTTACCCACCTTATCAAGGAATACTACAAGTTAGCGTTTACCCACCTTATCAAGGAATACTCCAAGTTAGCATTTACCCACCTTATCAAGGAATACTACAAGTTAGCATTTACCCACCTTATCAAGGAATACTCCAAGTTAGCATTTACCCACCTTATCAAGGAATACTACAAGTTAGCATTTACCCACCTTATCAAGGAATACTACAAGTTAGCATTTACCCACCTTATCAAGGAATACTCCAAGTTAGCATTTACCCACCTTATCAAGGAATACTACAAGTTAGCATTTACCCACCTTATCAAGGAATACTCCAAGTTAGCGTTTACCCACCTTATCAAGGAATACTCCAAGTTAGCATTTACCCATCTTATCAAGGAATAATCCAAGTTAGCGTTTACCCACCTTATCAAGGAATACTCCAAGTTAGCATTTACCCACCTTATCAAGGAATACTCCAAGTTAGCGTTTACCCACCTTATCAAGGAATACTACAAGTTAGCATTTACCCACCTTATCAAGGAATACTCCAAGTTAGCGTTTACCCACCTTATCAAGGAATACTCCAAGTTAGCATTTACCCATCTTATCAAGGAATACTCCAAGTTAGCGTTTACCCACCTTATCAAGGAATACTCCAAGTTAGCATTTACCCACCTTATCAAGGAATACTCCAAGTTAGCGTTTACCCACCTTATCAAGGAATACTCCAAGTTAGCATTTACCCACCTTATCAAGGAATACTCCAAGTTAGCGTTTACCCACCTTATCAAGGAATACTCCAAGTTAGCGTTTACCCACCTTATCAAGGAATACTTCAAGTTAGCATTTACCCACCTTATCAAGGAATACTCCAAGTTAGCATTTACCCACCTTATCAAGGAATACTCCAAGTTAGCATTTACCCATCTTATCAAGGAATACTCCAAGTTAGCATTTACCCACCTTATCAAGGAATACTCCAAGTTAGCATTTACCCACCTTATCAAGGAATACTCCAAGTTAGCATTTATCCACCTTATCAAGGAATACTCCAAGTTAGCATTTATCCACCTTATCAAGGAATACTCCAAGTTAGCATTTACCCACCTTATCAAGGAATACTCCAAGTTAGCGTTTACCCACCTTATCAAGGAATACTTCAAGTTAGCATTTACCCACCTTATCAAGGAATACTCCAAGTTAGCATTTACCCACCTTATCAAGGAATACTCCAAGTTAGCATTTACCCATCTTATCAAGGAATACTCCAAGTTAGCATTTACCCACCTTATCAAGGAATACTAGTTATCTTTGAAATGTCGTAAATAATTTAAATTACTCTAGGATCTTGTCGTCACAACAAATAATACCACTACTTATATAATAGCGTCTATTCTAGTCCTCCTTTGCCTTTTATTTCCTCTGCAATACGAGCAAATGGAGTCTGGCTTGCTCTTCAGGTGACCGATCCGGAGAAGGTTACACTATATAACATAATATTATTCTGAAATATCTGAACTTTGCGAGCAGTTTAAAAAGGAATGAAGTGATTATTCAGGATTGAAAATACGTAAAAACAACTTGATTAATGTAATTGAAATAATGAATAAAATAAATGCTAACATTTATTACAATTACGGACTTGATATGATTATATCAAGATTATGCACTATCAGTTCAGAATTTATTGTCAAATGTTAGTATGAAAATACCAAAATTATGAACTTCTATACATCGGTTCAGACATTGTATTAGGGCTATCATCAAAAGCTTAGTAAAAATTAAATGTTTTTAGGGAATATAAAAAAGATTTAACATTGATAATGCTCTCACTGAGTAGGGTAGTTCATTCCAAATTTTGGTGCCACAAAACATATTATATGCAGCATCTGTAATATTCTGTTGATCTGAAATGTGGTGCAGGAGGATCTTAAACAGATGTGTAACCCCCCCCCCTCCCAGGTGGGTGATAGAATGTGTAACCCCCCCCCCCCCCCTCCCAGGTGGATGATAGAATGTGTAACCCCCCCCCCCTCCCAGATGTGTAACCCCCCCCCCTCCCAGGTGGGTGATAGAATGTGTAACCCCCCCCCCTCCCAGGTAGGTGATAGAATGTGTAACCCCCCCCCCCTCCCAGATGTGTAACCCCCCCCCCCTCCCAGGTGGGTGATAGAATGTGTAACCCCCCCCCCCTCCCAGGTGGGTGATAGAATGTGTAACCCCCCCCCTCCCAGGTGGGTGATAGAATGTGTAACCCCCCCCCCCTCCCAGGTGGGTGATAGAATGTGTAACCCCCCCCCCTCCCAGGTGGGTGATAGAATGTGTAACCCCCCCCCCCCCCCCCTCCCAGGTGGGTGATAGAATGTTTAACCCCCCCCCCCTCCCAGGTGGGTGATAGAATGTGTAACCCCCCCCCCCCCCCTCCCAGGTGGGTGATAGAGTGTGTAACCTCCCCCCCCTCCCAGGTGGGTGATAGAGAAACACCCTGACAGATGTCTGGACATCTTCACAGACCCTAGCACAGTGCACACTCTCCCAAAAGAGCAAGTAGTACAACACCTCAAGTCTATGAACCCCGACATTGCTCTTCAGTACCTTGAACGGGTTGGTGGTATCATTTTAGAAATAATAGATACAATTTTATATTACCTTACGAGACATATTTATGTTCGACATAATTCCGGTGACCTAAATGATTTGGGATCGAAAATATGGGATTTTTTTCCGGAAACCGCCACATTTCGTACCCCTAATTAAATCATGGTATTTGGGAATTTTTTTCATCTCCTTATTTTACAAAAATGAAACCTAATATTTGAGAAAATTAAATACAAAGATCTTCTCTGATCAGCTGTTCCATCTTGTAAACAATTTCTCCGGAGCCTTAACTTAACTTCTAATCTTCCAGACGGTATACGAGACCGACAGTGTTTGTTATATTTCACTACTCACCGCCGTGGTCAATATTATAGTAGTGACAGAGCTTGCTTGTTTTTAGTGGAACGTGTCCAAAATCATTTTTAAAGCAATTCATGATCGAATACTAGTGTTCATTAATTGTTTGATGAACCATATTTACAACTTGTTTGTTTGGGGACCGGTTTTTGGTACACCGGCCAATATTTACAAAATCATAATATGATACATAACAATATAATTTTATTTAATATACGTGAATATAAGAATTGAAAATTATGATGTAACCTTTATCGTTTATTCATTTAAAAAAAAACCAAAACTTTAAAAATTAAAACTTGCATATCATGATTTATTAACATAGTGACAAATAATTTGATTTGATACGACAGATGATCACACGCACTGTTTTATGAGCTACTTGTGTTGGATTAAGATTAGTGGGCACTGGGCAGTGCCGAGTCGATAGTATAGTGCTCTGTATCAGTATTCAGTATAGTGCTCTGTTTGAAGTAAAAGAACTTACTATATTGATAAGTTGAGAGTAAATCGATAAAGTCATAATTAAGGAAAATGATGGTGACCTAAATTTTGGTAGTCCGAAAATACCATTTAAATAATATGTCTCGTAAGGTATAAAAACTAAAAAGATTTTAAACCCTTAACTCATTTAATTACCATAGCTAGTATTTTATTCTGCAAGCAGTTACTGTGATGGAATCTAGCGGTAATTTTCTACATAAAGTTTTTAGTTATTTATAATCTATATTTATCACAAACTCATAAACTTCCTAAAAATTTTAAGAGCTTTCCTTTCAGTTGATAGACATTTGGAACGTGAGCTCTCAAGAGATTGAAAACTCTTTGATAATACTTCTTGTTGAAAAAGTAACTCATTTATTTAAGTGTACTTAAATTTAAATATCTAATTCCGCAAATTGAATAAATATTGTTCAATGTTTGAAAATGTGTCACTAGGTAGAAGTGCAGCTAATTGCAGCTAATTGCAGCTAATTGCAGCTAATTGCAGCTAATTGCAGCTAATATAAACCACATAATATCTGAAGTGAGCTACTCCCCAGGTCTCGAGCGAGTGGCCCACCTACCAAGGTATGCTGGCTGCTGGAGTGTTGGAACCTTGTCTCCCCGGGTCAGAGCCGGGGCAGCTGGGTGCACTGCGTCTGCGCTTAACGCACTTCCTGGAGCGTCTCCAGAACTACTCGCCCAGCCTGGTCATCAGGAGTCTGGGGTACGAGATACCACTCTACGAGGAGCTGGCTATCCTGTACGGGAGACAGAGTGAGTAAACATTAATAAATACTAGTCTGGGGTACGAGATACCACTCTACGAGGAGCTGGCTATCCTGTACGGGAGACAGAGTGAGTAAACATTAATAAATACTAGTCTGGGGTACGAGATACCACTCTACGAGGAGCTGGCTATCCTGTACGGGAGACAGAGTGAGTAAACATTAATAAATACTAGTCTGGGGTACGAGATACCACTCTACGAGGAGCTGGCTATCCTGTACGGGAGACAGAGTGAATAATCATTAATAAATACTAGTCTGGGGTACGAGATACCACTCTACGAGGAGCTGGCTATCCTGTACGGGAGACAGAGTGAGTAAACATTAATAAATACTAGTCTGGGGTACGAGATACCACTCTACGAGGAGCTGGCTATCCTGTACGGGAGACAGAGTGAGTAAACATTAATAAATACTAGTCTGGGGTACGAGATACCACTCTACGAGGAGCTGGTTATCCTGTACGGGAGACAGAGTGAATAATCATTAATAAATACTAGTCTGGGGTACGAGATACCACTCTACGAGGAGCTGGCTATCCTGTACGGGAGACAGAGTGAGTAAACATTAATAAATACTAGTCTGGGGTACGAGATACCACTCTACGAGGAGCTGGCTATCCTGTACGGGAGACAGAGTGAGTAAACATTGATAAATACTAGTCTTGGGTACGAGATACCACTCTACGAGGAGCTGGCTATCCTGTACGGGAGACAGAGTGAGTAAACATTAATAAATACTAGTCTGGGGCACGAGATACCACTCTACGAGGAGCTGACTATCCTGTACGGGAGACAGAGTGAATAAACATTAATAAATACTAGTCTGGGGTACGAGATACCACTCTACGAGGAGCTGGCTATCCTGTACGGGAGACAGAGTGAGTAAACATTAATAAATACTAGTCTGGGGTACGAGATACCACTCTACGAGGAGCTGGCTATCCTGTACGGGAGACAGAGTGAGTAAACATTAATAAATACTAGTCTGGGGTACGAGATACCACTCTACGAGGAGCTGGCTATCCTGTACGGGAGACAGAGTGAGTAAACATTAATAAATACTAGTCTGGGGTACGAGATACCACTCTACGAGGAGCTGGCTATCCTGTACGGGAGACAGAGTGAGTAAACATTAATAAATACTAGTCTGGGGTACGAGATACCACTCTACGAGGAGCTGGCTATCCTGTACGGGAGACAGAGTGAATAATCATTAATAAATACTAGTCTGGGGTACGAGATACCACTCTACGAGGAGCTGGCTATCCTGTACGGGAGACAGAGTGAGTAAACATTAATAAATACTAGTCTGGGGTACGAGATACCACTCTACGAGGAGCTGGCTATCCTGTACGGGAGACAGAGTGAGTAAACATTAATAAATACTAGTCTGGGGTACGAGATACCACTCTACGAGGAGCTGGTTATCCTGTACGGGAGACAGAGTGAATAATCATTAATAAATACTAGTCTGGGGTACGAGATACCACTCTACGAGGAGCTGGCTATCCTGTACGGGAGACAGAGTGAGTAAACATTAATAAATACTAGTCTGGGGTACGAGATACCACTCTACGAGGAGCTGGCTATCCTGTACGGGAGACAGAGTGAGTAAACATTGATAAATACTAGTCTTGGGTACGAGATACCACTCTACGAGGAGCTGGCTATCCTGTACGGGAGACAGAGTGAGTAAACATTAATAAATACTAGTCTGGGGCACGAGATACCACTCTACGAGGAGCTGACTATCCTGTACGGGAGACAGAGTGAATAAACATTAATAAATACTAGTCTGGGGTACGAGATACCACTCTACGAGGAGCTGGCTATCCTGTACGGGAGACAGAGTGAGTAAACATTAATAAATACTAGTCTGGGGTACGAGATACCACTCTACGAGGAGCTGGCTATCCTGTACGGGAGACAGAGTGAGTAAACATTAATAAATACTAGTCTGGGGTACGAGATACCACTCTACGAGGAGCTGGCTATCCTGTACGGGAGACAGAGTGAGTAAACATTAATAAATACTAGTCTGGGGTACGAGATACCACTCTACGAGGAGCTGGTTATCCTGTACGGGAGACAGAGTGAATAATCATTAATAAATACTAGTCTGGGGTACGAGATACCACTCTACGAGGAGCTGGCTATCCTGTACGGGAGACAGAGTGAGTAAACATTAATAAATACTAGTCTGGGGTACGAGATACCACTCTACGAGGAGCTGGCTATCCTGTACGGGAGACAGAGTGAATAAACATTAATAAATACTAGTCTGGGGTACGAGATACCACTCTACGAGAAGCGTGATAATTTTTCACTCAGGAGAATGCGACAAAGCTCTCATGTTGTACTGCCATGTATTAAAGAATCGAACTAAAGCCGAGGAGTTTTGTGACAAATACTACGAGATAGATAATCAGGTGAATTATTTAAACACAAGGTCTTTATTAATGCTTTTCATACAAAGTTACAACAAAGTCTTCATGTTATGTATCCTGGGTTTGGACAGGATAATACCCGCTTAAAATATTTCCATCGCGTTACATAATACTCAATAAATGTTATAGATTTGTAGTGTTGTAATTAGTTTAAAACTATGTTATGAGCTCGTAATGAATAAGTTTTTCAAGATACTGAACTACATGTGTGTAGTATACTGATATACTACACACTTTTACTGTTAATATGTACCTGGGACAAAAGCAAAACTTAAGTTAACAACTTCATTACAGATATACTACAAGCTGTTGAGGATGTACCAGTGTCCCATGTCATTGGAAGCACTGAGATTGGACAAATTCAAACTAGCAGAACCTCTTCCAGACATGGGGGCGGCGATTGATATCCTAGTTAAACACTACAAACACATTGACGTTAAGGAGGTAATATCGTAGTTAAACGCTGCAAACATTTCACGTTTTAAGCTGAAATATTGTTCAATTTATGGTTTATTCCTGGGTGTGAATGGCGAATTTCCTCTCAATATTGTTCTGATTAGGGTTAAAGATTAAATATTTAAGTTTTTAAAAAAATATTTTCGATAATCAATTCGATCATAATTGTTAATAGCTAGATCTTAAATAAAGTTGAATAATACTGGCAATAGCTCGATAATAGAGGAATTACAAGATGATGGCCGTGCCAAAAAACTGAGGTCTTCAATAATCGGGAAATGGAACGCGCGAAGAAGAGTACTGTATAACTTATCGCGCGTGGATGTTATCCTCAATTAAACACGGCTGCGCTGTTCAGAACGTCGATTTCTGCGATTCTAATTAGACAGGATTACCCTAGGATTTATCCTAGCGCGTCCGAGATATCTCGGATTTTATCAATCCTAACGCCGATCCAGTCCCCCCAGGATACCTCCGACGAATTCCTATCGCCGAGCGGCGATAGGATGTGTAAGTTCCGAGAGGCGATAGGATTTGCTCTCGGACCCGATAGGAAATTAAAAACCTATCGGATCCGAGCGCTAATCCTAGCGGAGATAGGATTTAACAATTCCGAGTGCCGATAGGATTTGCTCTCGGACCCGATAGGATACTCAAATCCTATAGGATCCGAGAGCAAATCCGAGAGGCGATAAAATTTCAAATATTAGGACCGATATAATTGGAAGACCACGCATATCTAACTGTAGGTTGAAACTTCATGCTTTCTGTCAGTTAACTTCAGGATCATATCATCGCTTTATCTTAAGTTGATCCACGGTTGCCTGCAGGCTACAACAACATGGAGGTTGTTTAGGTTAAATTAAGTAGATAAATGATAACTTGAAGCTAACTTGTAGTTCTCTATAAGAGTTAACTCTAGGATACCTTGTAGTACTCTTCAAGTTAACTTCAGGATACCTTGTAGTACTCTTCAAGTTAACTTCAGGATACCTTGTAGTACTCTTCAAGTTAACTTCAGGATACCTTATAGTACCCTTCAAGTTAACTTCAGAATACCTTGTAGTACTCTTCAAGTTAACTTCAGGATACCTTGTAGTACTTTTTTAGTTAACTCTAGGATAAATTTATCAGATCACATCACATGGCATGAGCTGCTGGTATTGGTGATTCTACTACATACTAGCTCTATACTAATAATCCCAAAAAAAGTGTGTTCGTGTGTGTGGGAAATTTTATGGGACTAGTTTTTTTAAATCGGCTGGTGGTTATAGTTTTAATTAATGGTTTTGTGACCCAAATGTGATACTAAAGTGTCTCATGTACAGCTCTCCCTCTCTCCCACTCGGGCTCTCTCTCCCCCATAACATATTTGCTATATAATTAGGTAATTTGGCAGTGGACCTCAAGATTTCCTCTCAAATATTACTATTAGATACGTGAGGGGGCACTCAGAATTAAATTGCAGTCTGTTTGGACTGAGCGACTTCATACTTTCGCACCGTTTTAACTGCGAAAATTTAATCCGTATTTTCGAATATGATAGGCGGGTTTATAATTTTGGATTTCAACTGCGATAGTGAAGTCCCGGCCGTAGGCACTGGTTAGGGATCGTTCACAAATTACGTTATCAGTCACTAGTGTACTAATAAATTCACTCACCAGCGCGCTATCACGTGACTATAATAATCAGTAACTGGCTGTCTAGCAGTCTGAACTAATATAGGCAGAAACTTCAATTTTGGTGCGAAAAGAGAGTTGGAAAAGTGACTGATAACGATAATCAAAATACGTATAATTTTTTAATCCAGTTTAAAAGTTACCCAACCAAAAACTCCACAAAACCCAGGCGTTACGACTTCTTCCGGAGGACACTAAGCTACAAGACGTGGAGGAGTTTATGTGCGCTATACTCCGGGATCGGACTAAAGAAAGCCGCAAGAACCTACTCTTAAAAAGCTTGAACTTATCAGATAATCTCAAGGTAATGTATTATATGTATAGGATAATGTATAGGATATTGTTCTAAATTGAATCTGTTAATTCTCTTTGATAATGTATTATACTTAACTTATTATATGTGACGAAGGTTGCACATTATATACTGACGGTGTCAGTATTATGTGCAGTGTGCAGAAGGACCCGAAGTAGAACGTGCATACACCTATCCTAATGTTCTACAAGTAGAACTTGCATACACCTATCCTAATGTTCTACAAGTAGAACGTGCATACACCTATCCTTGTTCTACAAGTAGAACGTGCATACACCTATCCTTATGTTCTACAAGTAGAACGTGCATAGTGCATACACCTATCCTAATGTTCTACAAGTTGAACGTGCATACAATTATCCTAATGTTCTACAAGTAGAACGTGCATACACCTATCCTTGTTCTACAAGTAGAACGTGCATACACCTATCCTAATGTTCTACAAGTAGAACGTGCATACACCTATCCTTGTTCTACAAGTAGAACGTGCATACACCTATCCTTGTTCTACAAGTAGAACGTGCATACACCTATCCTTGTTCTACAAGTAGAGAAGTAGAACGTGTACGTCACACACCTATCCTTGTTCTACAAGTAGAACGTGCATACACCTATCCTTGTTCTACAAGTAGAACGTGCATACACCTATCCTTGTTCTACAAGTAGAACGTGCATACACCTATCCTTGTTCTACAAGTAGAGAAGTAGAACGTGCACACACCTATCCTTGTTCTACAAGTAGAACGTGCATACACCTATCCTTTTCACGGTTGTACTTGTAACTTGAGACATGTCTATTATAGGTTTATCGCTATCAAGCCAGCATAATCCAAACCTCTGAAATATGACCCAGGAGTCCGGAATCCGGATGGAATCGTACCACCAACCTTTTGAGAAGCATATAATCAGGTATTACATTATCCGGGTATTAACCCCTGATTGTCCAGGTAAAGTCACAGAAGATGTTCTACCAAAAAGACAAACTTATCGTTACCGGTTAGTAAGATTCCTGGTTTTGGATATGGCGTCGGTAGAAATTAGAATTGTTCCGTATATATCACTAAAAGTCTCCATGATGTGAGAGCAAAAACTAGCTTTATGATATTTCATATTTAAATATTTGTTTTAAAACACATAAATCATGTTTGCAGGAATGGACAGCTGTGCAGTGTGTAACAAAAGAGTGGGCGAGTGCGCGATAGCTTTCTATCCTGATAGGCGCATCGTGCACTACGGGTGCATGTCACGTGAGACACTCCCGGACGTGTCTTCTTCAACTCCTTGATCTCGTGACGCACTCAGAGACACTCCTTAAAATGCTTTGCTCTTCTCATTTTGAGACTCACTCCAGAATGAATACTGATTTCTGCTGGGGTTGATTTATACGAGTACACTATTATATTAAGCCATTAAGGGGTCGTTCAGATATTACGTAATCACTGAGGGGGGGGGGGGGTTTCTAAACGATTTAACGCTTGTGTAAAATGTGAACAACCCTAATGAATTGAGTAAATTTTGAACATTATCGGACGAGTTCCTGATTTATAAGATTTATAATTATATTAAACATTTTAATTGGTCTAGGTTGTTCTATATTGAAAATGTTGTGTTGATGTGTTAATGATTGAAATTATTGTTGAATCAAATTATTTTGATACTACTATTTTATTGTCATAAGTGTATTTTATCTTGTTAGCGGTATCAGCAGTAATACTCACTGATCTAAAGTTTGCGGCGTGCACCGACCGATAAGTCCTAAGGGAAGGAAAATAGTTGTATGTTTATAACCTACCAGGACGCGCGTAGGTTTATAAACCTTTACCTACCAGGACGCGCGCCGAGAGTTGGACTCGTCGACGGTCCTATAATATTTGAGTATCACCCGTTAAGAAAATAGTAATTGTACTTGTAGTACCCTAAACCAGAGTTTTGACTTTGTAGTCCCACTAGGATCAGTGGCGTAACGCAGGGCCCCGCTGTGCGGGTGCAATCTGGGGGGTGCCAAATCGTCGTTTGAGTGTGGGACAATTTTGAAAAAGTAAAACTTAACAATAACTGCAGTACTACTACTAGTACTAGCAAAACTGCGCGTTTTGCTCTAGAGACACACATTTTTAGAAATTTTACCAGCACCCTACCAGGGGGAGGGGTGCCAGTAGGGGGGCGCTTTTCAGCGGGGGGGGGGGGGCCAAAATGCAACGTTACCGGTTACGCCACTGCGTCGGATTGTATGATTTCTCTCCGTAGAGTTCCCACTTCCCAGGCCCAATTCACTAGAAGTAATGGTTCACGGGCACTAAAGTAATAGTATTTAAGTAATAATATAAGGGGTTTTAGGGGTATATAATCATAATGAGCCTCATGACAAGCTCGCTGAGCATTATATTACTAGACTATTAGGGACCCATTTGTTGGCTGTATTTTCAAGGATCACTTGAGATTTAATTAAAAATTAAGACAATTTTCCAAAAGAGGTACGATCGGGGTAAAGATATTAGATAAGTCGTGGTTTTACATGAAGTTACAACTGATCAGAGCTTGCTTGTTGCTGTGGATTGAAATCTAGCGTCCGCCGCGTCGAGAAAACAGGCGCACTTGGTGTATTCCAAGTCGCAATTAACTAGTAGTAGAGGCTCTTACGGGCAAATATCACGCTTCTTTGCTCGAGCCCTGGGACTTCTTTTAGGGTTCTTATATGATAGAATGGAGTGTACTGAACACTCTGACGGTATCGGGAACCTTCTAGAGCCTTAAGAAGCTGTGTTGTGAGCACTTTACTGCCAAAACTTCGGACATCTACAGACACCGGAATATCGACTAAAAATTTTTTCTGAGTTGTTCCCCTAATTTCTCTTAGGTTGCTTAAGCCCTAGAAAGTGTCAGATCGTCTAAATATTGCTCCAGTCCGGTGTTAGAGACCTCGAAAATTTCGACCTCGTAGAACGTGTTGCGCGTCGTATGTAGTGTTTACAATGGAAAAAGTGCACTTAAATCTGATTCGGTTGCGGCGCGTGACGTATCTAGCACGATATTTGCTCGAAAGCGCGTCACTGCGCCAGAAACCTCGTGGTACCGTAACACTGTAGAAATAGATAATCACAAGAGACACAATAAACGTATCATCACTATGCAAAGTTAATGTTTAAATGATACAATAGCCCTGCTTTAACAGATTAATCCACATAAACACTATATTTCTACAGTCCGATCAGTAAATCGAACATGTTTTTGAAGATAAATCTTCTGATAGAATTCGTTTCTACATTGAAAGATTTCTTTTCTAATCTCCTTTAAGAGTGCTGTCTTTGTTAAAGTGTTATCATCTCTATCCGCATCTATTGTTGCGGCTAAATTAGATACGACCCTGCTGTCGAAACAAACTCGTCTTACCGACATTGTCTTTCTGAAAACTGATGTGATCAGATTAAACATTGCTGGAGTTTGCAGCGTTCTCAGATAAATTAGACGTCACATAGTCATTGTACTTAAGCTTCAGGTCAGACACGAGGTACAGTTCTGGTAAAACATTCTCCTGCTCCAGTTAAAAGGTCCGTATCAATACCTGCACTCATTAATGCAGCATTGGTGTTGTCGTGCGTGGACACGTGTCTTTCCATTTTAAAACCTGCCTTAGAGACAGGTTTTAAACTTACAGCTTCAGATAATTTACCCTTCAATTGTTTCACCCTCGAGTTGCTGTACCTCAAACGACATGTTTTGTGATATCTACCTAGCTTGCTATAGAGATATTTTCCGAGACTCTCAGGGTTAAGAACAGGGCACTTGTTCATGTGCGAATCAGGATTAACATCGATGTTGCACAGATCCTGACGATTTCTGTAGATGTCCACAGATAGTATGTTGCGAAATCGACGAAGAAACTATTATCTTTTCCTTGAATCAAACTATCCTTTTTCGTTTCTAACGTCTAGGGAAATTCGTATTGTTAAAGAAGAATAACCTCTCATACTCTTAAAATTAAATCGAGATAATATGTATAATAATTATATTTGCGAGCAAAAGTTTCACACAAACCTGTTCAACCTGGCATATGAAACACAAGTCTCAGTCCATTTCAAACAAATCAACATCTGGTCCACTTGATTGGGAACTAAATGAAGAAAGTCTCCACATTTTCTTAGTTCTATTCGAGGAGGGTGACAGAGGCGGGACTTTTTCCACTTGGATGGCAATAGCTTCTTCAATCTTCATCACAAGAGGATTCGTCAATTTCAGAAACAGCACTGTACACCTGCAAATATATTATTACTTCCCACATTTATATCAACAGTATCATATCACATAAGTTTGAGATCGTACAAGTGTTATATCATTTTAAAAGTTTGCAAATCCGATAGAAATGGATTAAAAATTACTACTGATCGCTGTCTATTTACCTTTGAATAATAATGTTTTTCAGGAGGTGACCGGGACATGATTTCAGGCCTGACCGGGACCGGGATACAAAATGTGACTTGACCGGGACCGGGACCGGGACCGGGACTGGGATAGCTCAAAATTGAGATTATCAATTTACCGGGACCGGGACCGGGATGAAAAATGTGACTTGACCGGGACCGGGACCGGGATAGCTCAAAATTGCCAATCCCGGTACCGGGATTCCCGGTACCGGGAATTCCGGTCGATTACTGGTTAATTCATGATCATAATTTATTACTCAAACTTGTTAAGCAATTTTAAACATTGTTGTATTTGGCTCAGAGGATGTTTAAAGATGAAATTCACAATGAATGAAAGGAAAAACTTAAAATCACAGTGAATGAAATTATGTAAAAGATCCCGGTCAAAATCCCGGAAAATTTGAGTGATTGACCGAGACCAGGACCGGGACCGGGACCAAGAATCCCGAATTAACCGGGACCGGGACTGGGACCGGGATCATAAATAAATAAATCAGCATTTGACCGGGACCGGGATAGCTCAAAATTGCCAATCCCGGTACCGGGAATCCCGGTCACCTCCTGATGTTTTTAAATGTAAGTAAAACAGGAGGAAACCACTCAACCTGTTATAGTTGTCTTTTACATAGTTAAGACACTGAATACACAAAAAAAGAGGTTTGCTTTGGTGAGCACAACCCAGGATTGATCTTCTGCAGCAGGGCGAGGAATTCTCTAGACTGTTTTGTAATTCGTTCACTTTCAGAAAACTGTGTCATTAAAATCCTTTATTTCTGTTCGGGTACAGATACAGCACTCTGAAAATTGATGAATGGTCACATTTTTGTATACCCTACGGCAAAGTCTTATGTATGTGGTAAAAGAATGATATTCTTTAAATATATAATAACATCTATAAACAAAAGAGCACCTAAAGAGGCTCAGCAAAGTAATGGCCTATTTACGCTTACGAAGACTCATTCGTTCAATATGTCTCAAAGTAAATGAACTCCTCCATCCTACTCTATCTCTTGCTAAGTTCACTAAGTTGGTAAAATCATCTTCATTTTTCAAATAAATTTGTCTCTTAAATAGGTCCTTTTTCACAATAATACCATACAAATTAGTCCTGTGTCTACCCACTCGTCCCTTTAGTGTTTGACATCCTAGTGTAGCAAATAACAGAGACTGGTAGGCAGGCGTGTCGTTGTCACTGCGTAGAACATGACCTAGCATTGTCCACCGTGCCTTTTCCACTCTCTCGGAAAGGGGCCTGGTCTGGGTACGAGCGTAGAGGGCCTTGTTAGATGTTGAGCTAGGCCAATAGATGTGTAGGATGCGCTTGAGGTGCTTCCTCTGAACAACATCTACAGACTCTAGAACATGCTGAGGTACGGCCCAGCAGCAGCAGTTGTACAGGAATACTGATACTACTAGTGAGTCGTAGAGTTTGATCTTTCTCTTCTCAGTTATCTGACTCCTCTCTGATCCCTGGCACCACAGCTTGTCAAATGACCAGAAGGCGGTGTTAGCTTTATTCATTCTATTAGTAACATCCTGCTCTGATCGAAGCTTAGTACCAAGAAGCGTCTCGTTTCTCCACTCCTCTTTTCCTCTTAGTTCATTATCCCACTCGTCACATGCACCAACTTCTTCTAAATACACTCTGGTAAACTTTGTCTTTGTGTCATTGACAAAGAGACTCCATTCACTGAGAATATTCTTGGAGATCTGAAAGATATCCTGTAACTCCTCCATATCTTCACCAATCTCCTCTACATCGTCTGAATAGCCGGACTCAAGAGGCATGTGGTTATCAGCTATCGGAGGGTTGGGGGTTGAGGGGAGGACTGCTCTTATGTGCACTACAGCTCCAGCTAGATTGAGGGTAAACAATTTACCAGCTGTGCTGTCTCCTTGGGAGGCTCCTATGTTGAAAGAGAACATCTCTGAGTCAGTAGAACACACTCTGACTACTAGAGTGGTGTTAGCCATGAGGTATTGTACAAGCCTCAGGTCGTCTCTGGAGCATCCTGCAGCTTCTAGTAGTCTGATTGTTGTACCTCTGCGGATGGTATTGAAGGCAGCTGACATGTCAATACTCACTTTGTTCCATTCAAACTCCTTCTTCATTACTACAGATATGAGCATGCTCTGTGCCCAAACTAGGTCGGCACAGCTCCTGCCAGCTTTGTTGGCAGCTTGGAACGGTCCGGTGAAGTTTTTTATTAAAGCCTAAACTTAACTTCTACCAATTCAAAATTGTTTACGTCGGTCTCCCCTCCTTGAGCCACTTTTCACATAGCTATTGAGTATAAATCACTCTAGCACAAGCGATTTCAAACCCCCTCCCCTAGGCTGGATTAGGTTATTATATGTGAACTGTGCTCTAGTGCATGACTGACTTTACATAATGCAGAGCATGCAAAGTTTTGATGTTTCATAAACTTATGAATAAAGTTTTAAAATCGTGACATAAAAAGCAGTGGTCGCCCGGTGCCCCCTGGCCAAAATCACAACCCCCAGCCAAAAATTGGCAATTCGCCGGGGGTAAACCCTGGCCCCGGCCAATTCTCAGTGGTCAGCCCCGGCCCCGGCTATATTGGGGCTCCCCGGCCCCGGTCAGAATCCTGCCCCCGGTCGACCACTGATAAAAAGTTAACTCACTGGATTTGTCCAAAAGCGAGAGAAAGTACTGAGAAAGCACTTATACGTCACCACCAGAGGGCCTAGAGAGGTTATCTTTGTCTGTTTAATTGAATATTGAGTATATAATATGAGATTTAAGATGAACATGATAGATATAACGTCCAAATTCTAAAGTTCCACCAAAATTGAGTCACATTAAACTTGGTTACGGTAACACAACAATTTTAGTTCTTCATTATGGTAGGTGATTTGACATAATGAAGTGTAGACTAAATTATTATTTATAATAATTACCTGTCGGAGGGATTTAAGTGTTCCTTTGAACAGTCCTTTTCTGGAAGGTTGAGAGCTTTCCATACATCCAGAGAGCCAAATTGGATTTGTCCTTCTTTCGGGCATATGCAATCTTTGATATGATGCCTTGTACATTTTGAAATCCTGCAGTTATCATTATTCAATACTTATAGAGCCTTAGATAAGGGGTTAGGGGTCGTTCACATAATATTGTGTAATTGCAATATAGTAAGGTTACTGTACATTTCCAACCCTTTGTCATGTATATCACAACAGATGATGTTAAAAGCATAATAATATTATGATACAGTTTTACAGTTTTTTTTACGTGTTGATAATCTAGCTCATATCTCTATTTTATCGCTACATTACAACTGCCATTTTGCTGGTACTGTGTTTTTACTTTATACAAGTACAAGTAATCGATGGAGGAAATGGATACTCTTCAAAGATTGTCAGTTTATTCTACCTAGCTACATTACTGAAGAGTATGAGGTCTATAACGGTTGGATCACTGAACTCGCGGAAGCTACGAACTGTGACAATAAATCTGAGTTTTCAGTTGAAACGTTCAAAAAGCCAGTGAAGTCAGTTTCAGTAAAACATTTATAATTTGTATTCTGCGTATCAGACTACCGATAATCATGTAAGTACGTTTCTGGATAACAAGAAAGATATGGAGGAGTTGAAGAGCGATCTTATCCGATCGCAAAGTACTGTTATCAAGCTGCAGGCTGAATTTCTGGAAACTAAATCGAAGCAGTTGGAATCCATGCACTCCACCGTCAAGACCGCCGTTCAAGACACTGTCCAAGCTGAGATGAAGTCATACAGTCAAGCTGAGACTAAAAATGCACCTGTGCTTGCAGAAGAGAATTTAAAAAAGGTTGTACAGGATGGTGTATCGGAAGAGGGAAAAAGAAAATCAGCCAACAAGACTAGACCAGTCAAAGTTTCGCTAGATAATTCTAACTTACCGTTCATCAGATATTAGTAAATGCCAAAAAGCTGAGACTGTGTGAAGATCATAAGACTGTTTTCATCTCTCCAGATCGATCACCTGAAGATCGAGTTATCCATCAGCAGTTGGTCTTGGAAATAAAACAGATAGCCAAAGCAGGCATGGCTCTACTGTGTAGGTTCGGGTGGGTGCGCACCCACCCAAAGGGTGTTGCACCCACCCAAACGATTTGAAAATGTTCACACAAAAATTGTCAAATTTTGTATTTAAAACTAAGGGTCAATTGACTTCTGTAATCAATTGAGACTGTTTTGGAGATATTAAAATATGTTTAGGAGAGTAAAATTCCAAAATTTTCCAGGGGGCTTCACCCCCCCCCCCCCCACCGTGCGCCAAGCTGCACCCACCCAAAGATTTTGAGCTGGAGCCATGCCAGAGCCAAAGAAGACACAAAAAAACATTATTATATCAGAAGTGGTAATATTTGTAGTGAGGACAAGATGTTAGAGAGTGATACATAATAATGAGTGATATACGTCCATAAGTTTTTAATTTTGATTGTTGATATAAGCGTGATAAAAATAATTTATTTCATTTGTATTGGACGGGACATACACAAAGATGCTACGTATGGTGCTGGGTATCTCATGGAAGGACAAGGTCAGCAATATAACTTTGTATGGTAGTCTACCAAGGCTGTCAAACAAGTTACGAAGCAGGAGACTAAAAATGGCGGGACACTGCATCAGACATCCTGAGCTACTTACCAGTGATTTAGTCTTATGGAAACCTATGCATTGTAGAGCACAGCAAGGCCGACCAAGACAAAGCTACTTGTCTATGTTACTGAAGGAAATTGGGACAAACTCAAAAGAGGAACTGTGAACTCTGATGCGGGACAGGGATATATAATGGAGGGGGTTATCTGGCGTAGATCGGACTTAGTTCCGACAAAGTAGTAGTATTTCATTTCATTTCATTAATAACCTGCATAGTTGAAAAGTTGATTGATGTAGTTTCGATAAACAGGTGTCGTTCAACTCCACTCATTTCGTTTCAAGCTGGAATGTAGTATTGTTTAGTGTAGGTTTGTTCATGTACCTCTCATCATCAAAAGGTTTCAACTTATACAGCATCGATAACATCATCTAACAAAGCTTTTTGAACAGCTTAAGATTCAGTTAAAATTACATTATTCAGATACATTTTGTGAAATGAAACATTGTCAGCCTGTATTTAATTAATTATAATAATTATGGTAACTTAGCTAAAAATCAAACCATTTGAGTTTTCATTGTTATCAAAATAATGTCGATCTAAATTCGTCTTAATCTGCATGGCTGTGAGCGGATCGAAGTCTTTTAACAAACCACACAAGCTTCTTTCATCAAGAAGATTCTTGAAGTGATTCGCATGTACACAGAGTCTTAGCTGTCTTAGCTAGTTCTGGGTCCATAAACATGTCACCTTCTTTCTAATGGTGATTGTCAAGTTTGTTCAGCAACATAATTCAGAATTGCAGAAATTATTTGAATCTACTAGAGATGAAATGGCTTAAATAACAAGCAATAGATGTAACTAAACAATACATATTGTAGTTTGACTACTTCTTTGAAACAATCAAAGAATGGGGGAGCTAAGGGAATGATTGCTCAAAACGAATGATATCTTCATGAATTCAATGCAGCATCTATACATTCATTCGAAATTAGTGATGGATGAGGGGGTTTAAGTCAGGCATTCCTGACATTTACTCTACTACTATTTATAAATTAAAAATCATGTTAAGAAGATAGCAGCAACTAATCTATATTATTTACAGTGCTCTATTTTATGTGTACTGAAGAGTGCCTTTACAATATTCCACTTTGTGGTGTAGATTTCCTCCATATCCAACAGGCAACACTGATTGAGTGATGGATGAGGGGGTTTAAGTCAGGTGTTCCTGACATGTATTCAAAATTGCATTGAGAAGATAACAGTAACTAATCTATATTATTTACAGTGCTCTATTTATGTACTGAAGGGTACCTTTACAATACTTCAGTTTGTGGTAGGGTTCCTCCACATCCAACAGGTAACACGGAATGAGTGATGGATGAGGGGGTTTAAGTCAGGCATTCCTGTCAAAAGATCTATAATTAATCTTGTAAGGGTACCATACAGTAGACATTTTATTGTTGATTGTGAACCAAAAGTTAATTCATACCCACAATCGATAAATTATAAATCCAAATAGTCATATTAGCAATGCAATACTAAATTGGTGAAATTGTATTGACAAAAGGTAATCAGCCAAGTGTAGTAAAGGTATCTCAACAATATAACATTGAAGTATTAGAAATGGCACTCTACTATTATAAAACACTTTACTGTGCTGTTTTAAACAATATTATATGAAATTAAGGCATGAACTTCAGAAAAGGACAAAACACTACCGGTACAAAAACTTAAATGAGTTTCAGGGAAGGGTTACTAAAATTTTACGGTAGCGCTCGATTTTATTCAAAAAATTTCAAAGTGCTCAGCACCACGAAAAATATAATTTTTTCTTCCGCTTTCAAAACTTGTTTTTACGCTGAAAAATAATCAAATAGTATTATTGGACAGTATTAAAACACTTTGTGAGCAAAAATATTTCATTGTGGGTGTGTAAAGAGCCGAAAAAATTTAGCGCGCGAAAAAACATTTTTTTTGGGAGGTTTTTTAAAATTTTGACCAGGTAAACTCTTGTGTATGCCTATTATATTGGTATTAACTAGTGCGGCAAATAAAAATGTACAAGAACCCAAAATATCTAAGCTTTTCGATTCAATTAACCTGTCGAAATTTCTAAAAAACCTCAAAAAATGGCCATTTTTGGGGCCAAAAATCGGTTTTTCAAAATAAAACCAGGTAACCCCCATTTTAAACACTTCTAACCACTTTTAATCGATTCTACGGTCAAAAATACGTCTTTTAAGATGGGTCTGGTGATTTTAGTGTATCTAGCAGACAAAGCCCGTAAGAGCCTCTACTATAGGTGGCGGAAGTTTTATAGACGGAAAAATTAGAAGATCCTTGATAATACATAACATTTTGACATCCAAAATGGCCGTGTTATTATTTTCTTGAATTTTTCCTTTTTAAGCCATATAATTATTGGATTAGAACTCACAGAAAAAACAAGAAAATTAAAACTTAAAAGCAGAAGTATCGAAATTCATAATTCATTCAACAATATACTGTCTATACTATAGTAAGTTAGTAACTATCTCCAATAACATTTTTACACTTAAATCGGAGCTACTTTCCAGAACCTGAAAGTTCTTAAAAGATTGAAACATTAAACTTTGTTTAATATTGCTAATATAAATATCAGCAGAATATCTAGCAAACTAATATCTCTATTTATTAACAGTATAAGTTATGGTTTATCTAAATAATAAATTTTCGTGTAAAGAGTAATAAAATATTGGGGGATGGGGTAATATTAATAAGAGTGAGAGTCACACACCTATTCTAATGACCTACAACAGTTAAAAACGCCATCAAGCCCTTAAAGTTTAGGAACTAACTTTACTATATTACAAATCCTCAATCAAATAATTACTATAATAATAATTACTAAAACGTGACCACAATTATTGTTAACGGTTAGATACGGCTCGCTTGAACACTAGCTGGTAACCCCCCTCCCACTAGCTGGCTGGTACCCCCCCCCCTCCCACTAGCTGGCTGGTACCCCCCCACCCCCCTCCCACTAGCTGGCTGGTACCCCCCACCCCCCTCCCACTAGCTGGCTGGTACCCCCCACCCCCCTCCCACTAGCTGGCTTGTACCCCCACCCCCCTCCCACTAGCTGGCTTGTACCCCCACCCCCTCCCACTAGCTGGCTTGTACTCCCCCCTCCCACTAGCTGGCTTGTACCCCCACCTCCCACTAGCTGGCTTGTACCCCCCACCCCCCTCCCACTTGCTGGCTTGTACCCCCCTCCCACTAGCTGGCTTGTACCCCCCACCCCCCTCACTAGCTGGCTTGTACCCCCACCCCCCTCCCACTAGCTGGCTTGTACCCCCACCTCCCACTAGCTGGCTTGTACCCCCCACCCCCCTCCCACTAGCTGGCTTGTACCCCCACCCCCTCCCACTAGCTGGCTTGTACTCCCCCCCTCCCACTAGCTGGCTTGTACCCCCACCCCCCCACTTGCTGGCTGGTACCCCCCCTCCCACTAGCTGGCTGGTACCCCACCCCCTCCCACTAGATGGCTAGTTCCCCCCCCCCCCCCCCCACTTGCTGGCTTGTACCCCCCTCCCACTAGCTGGCTTGTACCCCCACCCCCTCACTAGCTGGCTTGTACCCCCACCCCCCTCCCACTAGCTGGCTTGTACTCCCCCTCCCACTAGCTGGCTTGTACCCCCCCCCCCTCCCACTAGGTGGCTTGTACCCCCACCCCCCTCCCACTAGCTGGCTTGTACCCCCACCCCCCTCCCACTAGCTGGCTTGTACTCCCCCCTCCCACTAGCTGGCTTGTACCCCCACCTCCCACTAGCTGGCTTGTACCCCCCACCCCCCTCCCACTTGCTGGCTTGTACCCCCCTCCCACTAGCTGGCTTGTACCCCCCACCCCCCTCACTAGCTGGCTTGTACCCCCACCCCCCTCCCACTAGCTGGCTTGTACCCCCACCTCCCACTAGCTGGCTTGTACCCCCCACCCCCCTCCCACTAGCTGGCTTGTACCCCCACCCCCCTCCCACTAGCTGGCTTGTACTCCCCCCTCCCACTAGCTGGCTTGTACCCCCACCCCCCCCCACTTGCTGGCTGGTACCCCCCTCCCACTAGCTGGCTGGTACCCCACCCCCTCCCACTAGATGGCTAGTTCCCCCCCCCCCCCCACTTGCTGGCTTGTACCCCCCTCCCACTAGCTGGCTTGTACCCCCACCCCCTCACTAGCTGGCTTGTACCCCCACCCCCCTCCCACTAGCTGGCTTGTACTCCCCCCTCCCACTAGCTGGCTTGTACCCCCCCCCCCTCCCACTAGGTGGCTTGTACCCCCACCCCCCCCCCCACTTGCTGGCTTGTACCCCCCCTCCCACTAGCTGGCTAGTTCCCCCCACCCCCCTCACTAGCTGGCTTGTACCCCCACCCCCCTCCCACTAGCTGGCTTGTACCCCCCCTCGCCCTCCCACTAGCTGGCTTGTACCCCCCCACCCCCCTCCCACTTGCTGGCTTATACCCCCCCTCCCACTAGCTGGCTTGTACCCCCCACCCCCCTCACTAGCTGGCTTGTACCCCCACCCCCCTCCCACTAGCTGGCTTGTACCCCCACCTCCCACTATCTGGCTTGTACCCCCCACCCCTCCCTCCCACTAGCTGGCTGGTACCCCCCACCCCTTCCCACTAGATGGCTAGTTCCCCCCTCCCCCACTAGCTGTCTGGTACCCCACCACCCCCTCCCACTAGCTGGCGGGGGGGGGGGGTAAGCTAGCGTACCCTTGGCGACAATAATTGAGCTTGCAAACCGAACTTTGGCAGCGAGTTTTATAAAACATGTGTTAAACAAATCGGAGGCTAGCAAACATACCTTAGCTGCGAAAACTTTCGGTAAAAATACGACTTTCCGACTAAAGTTTTCGCAGTCGTACATTTTATCTGGCGAAAATTTTGAATGACCAAAATTTACCTTGTCCAAGTGCATTTTTTCCCACCTGGTGCGGGTCTCGTGACAAAACTTACCCCAATTCATGAAGTTATAAAAGAATTTGTTCATCTGGATTGTAAATTTCTATCAAATACTACGAATTTTATATGAAACTTTTCACACGAAACAGTAGTCTTTCAATTGACGAAGATATTTCGTTCAAAATTTTCGCCAGCGAAATTTTTCGGAGTTAAGGTAATTATATAATTAGTTAAGGTATTCCATATAATTTAAATATAGCAAGAAGGTAATATATGATAGTTCCAAGCTTGCTGTTTTCATCTTGATTTTAATATTTAATAAAATCGGGGCTTAAACCAAATCATCTTAACTAGTTCGAGTTTTATTTCCCACATAATATGACAAGCTAGAAATCTATAAAATGCTTATAATGATTATTGCACGAAATAATCTCTCTCTCATAATCGTAGAGAGTTGCTCCGATGCGCTTAGTTCTTAACTTTTCCAATATATATATATATATATATACACATATTATGTATATGTAAAGAGTAATGAAATTGTATCCTATGATGTCGCAAGTATCCCTTGCTGACTTTTCCGCTACACTAACATGCGTGACACGAAGTGAGCGTCTGCTAGAAAATGTTTGGCGAAGTTGAGAAATCCTCAGCGAGTTTAGACTCCCAGTACCCGCCCCTATATGTGTGGTAAGTGTCCTGCGTGTCAGGGTCAGTGTACTCCTGGAACCACCTGAACAAGAAAGAAGGTGATATTAGATTGCTGAGTAAAGGGTGAGGTTGATGACTATGAAACTTGTTAAGTGTTTAAATTTTAACATTTGTCTACACGATGAAAAGGTGATTACTATAAATGATGTCACTTACACATGAGTGGTGCTTTGGAATTTAACCACATATAATTACGCGGAGAAAAACGATTTCTCAAATTACAGATGACATGAAATTGCCCAAACAAAGTGAACTACACTCTGGTCTAACATATCCTAAATTACTACCATATCTTGCGCGGGGTAAATACTGTTAAAAGAATAATTGTCATTTTATCATGTTTATGGTAGGGTTTTCTGTGTAGCACTCTGTTGCCTCTGCTTTTGTATATGCTTGAAAGATGATAGTGTAATTGATAGTGTAATTGATTTTCCGACTTTAAAGCTGACTTAAGAAACCAGGGAATTAATTTTTTTTCAAACATTCCAATTTCCAATACATTGTGCAGAAAGTTGGAGATTTAAATTTTGGAAGCATGTAAGGATAGAGATCTGATATCCATCGTAAATACTAAAAACACTCTAGCATAATTGTAACTGCAGTTTTACAGAACTCTAAATGCTTAATGAACACTCTTGCAGGTACCAGCCGTATTCACACTGACAGAACTGAGTTTAGCCATTTTCCGATACGAGATTGGGGACGGGTTCTATAAACAAACAAACAAACAAAGAGGATAGCATTATGTGTTATATCTACAGCTGTTGTTATAGCCACTTTCCCAAATGCTTTGTTACAATTTTATATACCTCGGAGTAACGACCTCAAGGCCAGTATGCTCTAGCGCGTCCTCATATCGAGGCTCCTCATCTGATGATGACTCATTTTTGGAGACTGATTTTTTGGACAACGTTTGCTGTTTTCTACGTCCCCTGTGATGGATGTAAAAAGATGAGGTTTTAATGCCTTTGTGATGAGTGATGGGGGGACCCACCCATTTTGTCCTCATATTTTGGTCAAATGGGCATGGGGAATGATTGTCATAGATGGGAATTGCAGGGGAAGTTGAGAAAAGTCAAGGAAAAGTCTTCATTTTTCTTCCGTCCATTTTGTCTTGAACGTTTGGTCAAATTGTGTCATGAATGAAATTGTTGGAATTGTAAATTGTTCCACGCGTTCAATGTTAATGTATTCCTGAAATCGTGTAGTCCCCCACGTCCACTTACTGTGGATTTGCATTTTTATTGTTCTTCCTACGTCCTCGTTGCAGTTCTTCGAGCCGCAACTTCTCTTCAGCAGCTTCATCTACCTGTCAGACCAAATGTAAGAATGTGGGATCATTTTCTCCTTCTTGAGATACAAAACAAGTGTCCGCATAATGCAACATGAACCCCCTTCTCCCCCCCCCCCCCCCCCCCCCCCCCCCAGCTTTAAACAAACCTTCCCATGTTCCAACTCTCTTTGATCGGGACGGCACCTGGAGTCAGTATGGCAAACACCCTCTTCAAGCTCGTTCAGTTGTAGGGAGAAAGGTGAGAAGCCCCAATACCTGGGGTCAGTACGGTCAGAGATACGGTCAATATACGGTTTAAAGATATCGCAGTGCTGTGTGTTTACAGTGTCAGGCTATTGTTCTAATATAAAGAAAATATTTTACTTTTTCTTCTCCTCTAAGATATCAGTCTCCAGGTTCCACACATCTGTCCACGTCTCTGAGTCCACGTGCTTGTATTTGAAGTGACTTGTCCAATCTCCTTTGATCTGTATTTCCACATTTCCTTCCAAATCATATACCTCACCTGTTGATCAGTTGATGGTTAAAATATCAAATAGCAATCGGAGTGTGTGCAATAAATGAATTATCTTGTAACGAAGTAAAAAGTGTACACGCCAAAAAGATATAGATTTAAGATTTACCTTTAATCTTCGTGTAATGTTTAGTAGTCTTATACGGTTGGAAGAAGAGACAAGCTTTCTGTCCAGTCGAATGATTCGTAATTGTAACAGTGCCTTCCTGAGCAGAAGAAATTAGACCTCTTTGAATAATGAAAACAAATTATCACGATGACTTCATCCACTATAATACTATATCATGCCACGCATCACAGAGTGAAAAGGGATATTTTATTGAAATTAATGAGGCGGAGTGACAATTATTTTAAAACATTCTTTCATCATTGCGCTCTCACTAAATCGCTCGCCCAAATTTTAAGAAAATTCTTGTGAAAAGGCCCTGAGGGTATGAGAGTGATCTCATTCGGTGTATTTTTGGACGCTGATTCCGAATCACCCCCCATGACAGGCACGAATTCGATTGTTTAGGGCGCGGGTTAGAGTTAGGGTTGTGGTTAGGGTTATGGATAGCTTCGGAGTTATGGTTAGGAAAAGGGTTTATGTAAAACCGTTTTGTTCGGCTGCAAATCCATAAAAACCAAAGTCACGTGATAATTTTTGGGCGAGCGAATTAGTAAGAGCCACATCATTGATATGTTCCTTGAGATCTCACAACTTGGATCCGGCCACAGCGATTGTGCGCGCGTCGAAAATAGTACGCGCGCGCTAATTACTGTATATTTTTCAGAGTTCGGCGTTCGCGCTCTACATACTTCTAATTATTGTGGAGATCTACGTGACATGTTCGAAATAACTTTACACTATATCGTACCTGATCATTCCAAAGCTGTCCTAAAATAATGTTGTGTATTGTCGTTGTAGGCTTCATCCAGGAAAAGTGTTCACCGGTGTGACGAACCTTAACATGAACGGATCCTGTAGGAACTACCTGGCAATGGACATATAGTTAGAAACTACTACTACTAAGTATAAACTACTGCTACTACTACTGCTACTATTATTACTACATCGAGGTAGTGTTCAATCACAGCAGCTACATGATACAAATGGGACAGGAACAGGTAATATACACTATACACTATCATATAGGTATAGTACATATTATCTGGTACAAACCTTGAAATATGTAGGTCTAAACTTAGAGTCCATCTTGTACTCCTGCCAGAAAGTCCACAGTTCGTGTTCTGTGTGTAAACACGTAATAGGAGGGTGGTGACTAACCTGAAATTTGATACCATTAATATTACAAATAACGGTATGTGTAATCCCCCTCCCTCATTTAACAAACCGCAGCTGTATACTTTACATACTAGCCATATTTTCAGTATTAATGAAATATAAGATTGTGATAGTAAGAATGTTGTGTACATAATTAACTATTTATAATACAATGACTCAAAAAGCCGTTTAAATGAATGCTAGAAGAGAATAGTTTCGGCAGAATCAGTTTAAGACTCTCAGTCAATATGGAGGTAACCTACTTGACACCTGTCAGATCTTTTGCTTGTCACTTTAAAAACTTATTTATTTTTAGTTCTGGTTTTATTGATTGTTTCTATTCAGTTCATTATTGCTTCATATCCAGGGATTGAATCCCCGAATTCTTTACAGCAAATGATTGTGATTTTTGTTACGTTTCAATTTTAGGAATCAATAAAGCTTTTTATAAAAGCTTGTAAATAAAAATTTACTAATTTAATGTCAGGATGTCGCGATCAGCTGAGTTCACTTGCGTGTTTTATTGCTTCTGTGGCTAACTTATGTATATGTACTATACTAATGTGTATATGTATTGTACAGCCTGGTATAATAGAGGGGCGTGCCTATTGAACAAAAGAGTTTGCTCATTTAGCCAAAAACGTACACTATTGTCACCTGGTATCATCATGATAGGAAAAGTGAACAAATTTGAGAAAAAGAAATTAACAATTTTCAGTTCGTTCAGTCATCCATTGAATTTTAAATGATATATTTCATGATTCATCATTGATTCACAGTTGCATTAGATGTGTGTTTATTTCAGTTAATAGTTGCATTGGATGTGTGTTTATTTGAGTTATATATAATAGCTGTTACTACAAGTAACTAGTTGCTAGGGTGATCACGTGACAAGTAACTAGTTGCTAGGGTGATCGCGTGACAAGTTACTAGTTGCTAGGGTGATCACGTGACAAGTAACTAGTTGCTAGGGTGATCACGTGATAAGTAACTAGTTGCTAGGGTGATCACGTGACAAGTAACTAGTTGCTAGGGTGATCACGTGATAGTTCGTTCAATTCTACTTTATTGTTTTGTAAATACATTTCAACTAAAGTGTTAAAAGAAAGAGCTTGAGAAAAGTTTCTGAAAATGTAAGGATTCAACCAAGAAATTCCAACATGCTAATATGCAGATTATATAATATATAATGCTAATATGCAGATTATATACTGTAAATATTCCGTTATGTGTATAGTACTGTAAACATCAGGTAATAATATGCTCTTACAAACTGGAATACAGTTAAACGTATTTTACTCGAATGTTACGTCCTTACTCCTTATGGCTTATATTGTACAGTTGTACTACATAGTGTACACGGCACGGTGTCATACACAAATATCACACAAACTTCACTAACCGCCACAATGTATTGAACTTCTAAATTTACTATTTTTGTCAGGATGTAATACTGTAATTCACTACTATATAAATGTGTACTTACTGTACTACTATGTTATAACATAGTATATAATATATAAGGTACTACATTGTAACTTTATAAATAGATGGTATCTACATATACAGAGTACACAAGAGAGCGAGAGAGATATAGGGAGGGAGGTAGGGAGGGAGGGAGGGAGAGAGGGAGGTAGGGAGGGAGGGAGGGAGGGAGGGAGGGAGGGAGGGAGGGAGGGAGGGAGGGAGGGAGGGAGGGCGGGAGGGAGGGAGGGAGGGAGGGAGGGAGGGAGGGAGGGAGGGAGGGAGGGAGGGAGGGAGGGAGGGAGGGAGGGAGGGAGGGAGGGAGGGAGGGAGGGAGAGAGAAAGAGAGAGAGAAAGAGAGAGAGAAAGAGAGAGAGAAAGAGAGAGAGAAAGAGAGAAAGAGAGAGAGAAAGATAGAGAGAGAGAGAGAGAGAGAAAGAGAGAGAGAGAGAGAGAGAGAGAGAGAGAGAGAGAGAGAGAGAGAGAGAGAGAGAGAGAGAGAGAGAGAGAGAGAGAGAGAGAGAGAGAGAGAGAGAGAGAGAGAGAGAGAGAGAGAGAGAGAGAGAGAGAGAGAGAGAGAGAGAGAGAGAGAGAGAGAGAGAGAGAGCTGATTTCCGTCTACAATAATTAGAAGAGTGTGTAGACAGTGAAGTTGCCAAGTTACAAGCCAATTAAATTCACTGTTACCATGACAACAGCCAATCAGACAGCGAATAAGATCATGTTTGATTTCCTGTCTACAAATACCAATGGGATATTGTGGGCTACTACTTGTATATTTTGATCTGTAAAATGTGGGCTACTCGTTAATCATCCAACTATTCCCCACATCTCAACTTTATAACATCTATATATAGAACATCTCGTGCTGTTTCGTTAAGTCAATGCAAGTCGTAACAATACATTGTTAGCATTCCTAAAATAGCGAGGAGATACCTCTATATTATATACAAATACCGGATCCCTTTGTGTGACTAAAGACACCTCATCTCAATATAGAGAACAGTGTAAATCAAGTGTAATGTATAGTGTAGGAGAACAGTGCAAATTAAGTGTAATGTATATTGTAGGAGAACAGTGAAAATCAAGTGTAATGTATAGTGTAGGAGAACAGTGCAAATCAAGTGTAATGTATACTATATAGTGTAGGAGAATAGTGTAAATAAAATGTAATGTATAGTGTAGGAAGAGACAAGGACATATGAAAAAGGAATTTAGGAATGTAGGCAAATTTTCGGCGGCTACATTCTTACAGTAAGAGCCTAGCAGGTCAATAGTAAAGTTAAGGGGGCCGGCCCCGGCGTCTTCATGTTAAGTTAAGGGGGCCGGGTCTTCATGTTAAGTTAAGATTTAGTTTGCACACAGTTAAGATATATCCGCTGATAATGCAATTTAATGAGCGATGATGCAGATGTGACACTAAATGTCAGGCACATCTTATTGAACAGAGGTCTAATGGTAATGTAAGCAAATCAGGCAAATGTAAGTTGAGTTGAAACCATTTCGGGTTAAATTCGCAAGTATTGAAGATTTATAACTGTAAATTTCATTATTAATATAGAAATAATATTGATATAATTGATTTTATTATGATGTGGGCTTTAAAGAGAAAATCAAAAAACTTTTCAAGCACTAAAATGGAGAAGACATGGACAACTACTAAACAAATTTATGACTTTCTTGAGAAGAAAAATGTGGAAGAGAAAGTGAAAGTACCTGTTCTGCTATGTGAAAGAGGAAGTGAAAGTACCTGTTCTGCTATACAAGCGTAACCTTTATCCTCTCTTACAAGCTCGTAGGTTTCTGCCAACAGAGGGTTGAAAGGTTTACTGTACCTGAAATTAACTTTGTTAATAGTCAGCTAATTATACTATTTGTGCTAGTGGCAGTAGAATAGTTTTGTGTACATTACATACCTTTATAAAGCCATACAACTCTAACTTACACTCGTACTAGCTTCTAACATACATTATAATAGTCCAGCGTCCTGCCAGCTTTAAATACTTCGTACAATTACCAGTAAATTATAAAATAAGTTATAAAGTAAGTTATAAGTAAAGGGCAGCTTAATAATGAGCAAGAAAGCTATTATTATATAACCAGTCCATATGTGCCAAATGTGGCAGTTTTTATTTTTAAGTAAAAAGTAAAGCTTTCAAAATGCCTTGTTTATATATTGTTATATCCTCTAGTAAAATCATTAGTGATTATTATATATACACTACATATTACATATACATATAATTAACATTTTGAGCAGCCCATTTGTTCGTGTTGGTGATTAACAGCTGGATTTCTCGTGTTCCTAAGTACCGTCTAGCTAGTTCCTTACATTTCACACTTTGCATAATAGCAGAGATAATTGCAACATGAGATGGGTTTTTAAAAGTATAATCAGTAAAAGCGTCATTATCACATAGCACGGCAAATACCGCTAAAAAAAGGTTACATTATACCCGGCTTTCTTTACAGTTTACAGTTTGCACTATAATGTATAGGGCTATACATCACAATATATCCATCACACTATACATTTCACACACTATACATTTTATGTACAGGATGGGCCAAAAGTCAGTGGGCATACGTTGGCCTTAATAGCTCAGTCACTGAGTGCCCAATTGAAATAATTCTTTCTGGTATGACTTACTACCACCACTGGTTCGAGGAATCTGTCAAATCGAAAAATGTTCGAGTTCATTTTTTTCAAATGGAGGTTCATTTTTGCATTTATTTGATAGTTTGGATAGTCGGATCGAGCTAAATTTTATTTTATTTTATTTTTAAACTTAGAAAAAAATCCCGGTCAAAATTCGGCATTTCAGCCGGGACCGGGATCCCCTGTTCCGGTCAATTTTTGACCGTTACCGGGATTAAGCCGGGATCCTGGTCGAACCCGGATAATTTATCCCTAATCTTTATACCAAGAATGCTTATTTCTCGGATAATGTTAGTAAAAGTAATGTTCAGTTTTCTAAAGATACGCTTTTGGAATGTCTTAATTGTTTGATAGATAATTCTTATGTTACTTATCAGGGTCAAATTTATAAACAAGTCATTGGAATACCAATGGGTATTCCATTGGTAATTTAGCATATTATTATGATACTAGTGTAACCCGGCCTTCGGCCGGGATTTCACTGCCGCAGTTAAAAAGGGTAGGAGTAATTACCCGCTGAGTCAAAACCCGCATTAGGTGAGCAATTCTATTCGGAGTTCCCTCACGTATCCAATAGTTTCTGTACCACGACTATTACACCTCATCACTCCCGTCTTAAACCGCTTTAAATCGTTTTAGAAATTAACCCTTATTAACTCCGCACCACACCCGCCTTATATTTGAAAACATGCATTACATTGTCGTATGAAAGTAAACAAACCGACCGCAATGAGTTCCTCCCCCCCCCCCCCCTAATAAACTTATAGTATTATATGCATAAACAATTGTCGTATGAAAGTATGAACTCTCTCTACAGTTAAACAGACCACAATCAGTGCCCAAGTACACTCCTAATATCACTTGCAGAGCTAACCTAATTACCAACGCTACAAAGAGAGCGAATAGGAAGAAAAAGTGAGCCATTTTAGTGGCTCACTCCATAATGTTGCATTAATAGTACAAAACCATCAATTAATCCACTTACCACCGGCCGATTTTTATAAAATTTGCTTATTGGCTTCGTTAGAGTTTTGTCGGCACTATACCGAAAAAACCAGTCCCGTAACTCTTACCGTTTTTTTTGTATAACCGTTCGGAAATTTCAAACATACACACACACACACGCACACACACACACACACACACACACGGATTTCTTGGTATTATTAAGGTGATTACATAATTTAGCATATTATTATTATATGAATTACTAAGTACTAACCTTCTACTGACACAGGCGTAAGGTATAGCGCTGAACACCGTAAGATACATCAACCTCATAGCAGAAGTAATACTCTCTGAAACAGTTAACTCTAGATAACATGTACACTGTCAACCCTGCAACTACTCTAATACACACACTTAATTGTTTTCAATACTATTATATAATATATCATTAAATACTACATATTTTCATCATTCCTCGCTGTAATAAACGGGTTATGATTTTATTATTTGGAAATATTTTGAAATATTTGCCTTAGTCCTCGTACAACAAACCAGCAAACTTTCGAATATTATTCAACAGGGTGAGGAAGAGGGTGAGGGTGAGGGTGAGGGTGAGGGTGAGGGTGAGGGTGAGGGTGAGGGTGAGGGTGAGGGTGAGGGTGAGGGTTTAATAATTACCATCGGATGCCTTGTCAAGTAGGTCTGAGTACTCCAAATCTTCAGACAATCTCTGCAAAACAAACAATCAGAACTTTAACTTTACCAGAATAGAGGTATATATGTATATATATATGAATAGAGGTATGTATAGTACATTGTACATGCCACATATACAATACAAGACTTCTGATCAATTTCGATACCCCCAAGAGACAACCATTGGCAATTTTATGTAATACATATGTTAATTTGTTGAGGAAAACAGTGAATTAGTTTAGGGACTGGCTAAACATTCAGCTGATAGAGTTAATTAGTATAATTAGTATAGAGACTGCAATCAGCACTATTGTTGGAACGGTTTAGATAATTGAGGAGAGATCATATATAACAGTATATCATATCCTGATAGTTGGATAATATATAATATTGAAACAGGAAGTTAGGAATGTAGGCAAATTTGTAGACAAAATATGTGTCCTTGTCTCTTTCAAGTTTCAACTGGATATTATCCAACAATCAGTATTTCATCATGAGACTAATAAACAGCGAACTACTCCAACATTTTATATAACATATCCCAAACAAAATATGAGGCTTCGTTGTACATAAAACGTCGAGCATAATGATCCCAAAAAGGGCGTATTTTCGATGCAAAACTACTGAAATGTACGGGTCACAATGAGAGTACCTGCAAAAACGTCAGGGGTTCGTTAAAATGCACAGGGATTGCTACTTTGGTCAGGTCTTTGCCAACAAATGATTTTAAAGTCCTCCACAAGCTTATTTGGACATCGTGTTTAGGGACGGGAAGTTTCATTCTCCTCTTTCTTTCCTTCATATCTGAGGAAGTTTTTGGACATTATTATAGAAAGAAGGAATTTCAAATCAAGAAGTAAATCCGTGCTGTGTTACACTACATACATATTATCAATGAGGAGTATTACCTAAGTACCTAGTATAGGAGTATAGGGGTTACCTTGAATATTGAGGAGTTTAAACTCTTCGTAAGCGTCTGGATAAGACATATCATTAGATAATTATAGCTAACTGAAACAGAGAATTATAAGACATATCATTAGATAATTATAGCTAGCTGAAACAGAGAATTATAAGACATATCATTAGATTATTATAGCTAGCTGAAACAGAGAATTATAAGACATATCATTAGATTATTATAGCTACCTGAAACAGAGAATTATAAGACATATCATTAGATAATTATAGCTAGCTGAAACAGAGAATTATAAGACATATCATTAGATTATTAAATAGCTAGCTGAAACAGAGAATTATTAGACATTATATCATTAGATGGTATTTGGACTTCATGATGAGAAAGAAGATCTTTCATCGAAGATCAACGAGTTTATGGTCTCTATTGGCCAAAAACCTTGTACGCATGACTGCGTTGGGTTAGGAACAATTTCAGAAGGTTTGGGCAACAGGCCAGTAAAAGTTGTCATGAGAAGTTCTGGTTCTGTTCAACTGAAAGCGATAGGGAACTTCAAAAACGTGTACATTAGTCCCGATCAGGCCTCCCACTATAAAATTCCCTAAAATTCGAGGTTTTCAAGGTGGTTTTCTTGGTTTTCATAATTGTAACTGAATTATAAGCTAAACCAATAGGATATCAATACAGAAGGTTCACAGCGGTTGACAACACACTTGGTTATTAGTAATATTTTGATTTCAAAACATTGAACAAATTAAGATTAAGGATGGCACGAATTTTAAGTTATTTCGGATATCTCCAGTCCATTGGGATTACTCAAAACATAAATGAGGGGACTGGGTGGTCAAGGCTGTGATTTTCAGCAAGAAAACTGCAGGAGGCGAAATTTTTGTAAATTTTTAGTTCAAGGTTTCCAAGCGTTTTTGTGAAAATTCAAGGTTTTTGATTTAAAATAGCAGAATTCAAGGTTTTCAAGGTTGGCTGGGAGGCCTGGTCCCGATAGAACATATAAAGAACGAACTGCACATCGCATGAACAACTTGTAAAAGAGATGAAGATTAGAATTCAGAGTGATCCAAACAACATCACTACATCAGGAATGGAACAATCATGAGCAAAGTTAAACAACCAAATGATAAGGACTGATATATTAAGTGATATACTAATGAGAGTTCTAATTTATTTTGATTATCATCAAGTTTTCAATATTATCAGCAGGTTTTGATCCTGCGTTTTACAGATAATTCTGTATTGGGTTTTCAACAAACGCCTCAAGTTTTTACAATTTGAATGACATTGTATGGTGTTACAAATTATTTATAAACCTAAATCTAAATCTAAAATTTAAAATCTTAGTGAAAAAAAAGGTCTACTAGGATAAATTGAGAAGTTGATTTAAGCTTTTAAGGTAATTATGAAATGTAAATCACTGAAAAAGTGGTCAGTGGTCTGGCACAACCGTCAGACTTTATCAGAAGTCAATTGGCAGATTCATTTTTACTTCAAAATTTGACTTTAAAGATGACAGTAATAAAAATAGCAATGTTGAAATTTCTACGAAAATTGCACAAAATCTGCATCAACACTTTATGAAACAAGAAATTTTCAATTAAACGAGAAATTTAATTTCTAGCACATTTAACAGAATAAAAAGTTGTAAAATAATTCATAAACAAATAAAGCCCATTTGGTATATGACCATTTGGTATATAACAATGACCCTATATAAAAGTTCAATATAAAAATTCAATCAAAATCTTAGTAAATTTTATAAAAACCCTTTAAGTAGTAAAAGTAGTCAATTCAATTTTTTGGCTCTAAATTTATATCTAAATCTGATATTTTAACGGCACTACCACTTTTTATTCTTCTTTCTCCTCTAAGAGCAATAATCGTTGTTCTCAATAAGTCAAATCTTATTCTTTTCCGGATAAATGTCATCGCCTCTTTGACCTAATTTTCTAAATAGTTTATCAGCTAACTTTTTGAAGAAAGTATTTGCTTCTTTTCCGGCCATTCCACCTATTGTTGATAGGACTATTCGTGTAAATGTTCCATGTTCCACTTCAACCAGTGCGCGGCTCTCCCTGTATCGTAGAAACTATACAGTGTGACCATAGTGAAACGACCGTGGGGGTCACGACGTGATACAACATACGTGTGGTTGCGAGAAGATGCGCGGCGCGGCCCAGTTGTGCATCGCGTTGGAGGAATTCGCCGCTTCGACGCGCCGCGCGAACTAGCATTCTTGCTTCGCAGAGCAACGATCTTGATGGGTTGACATTGTCAACCAATGCATCGCGCTACAAATAATTAACGAAAATTGTCCAATTGGTATTTCTGATTTCGAAAATCGGTAAAAAATTAATTAACGGCGTACGGTGGTACTCGTAAAATATTTGTTCCAATCGACGAGTCCAACTCGGCGCGCGTCCTGGTAGGTTATATAAACTTGATTGACGATGTCAACCCTTTTGCAGATTGTTGCTCTGCGAAGCAAGAATGCTAGTTTGCGTGGCGCGTCGAAGCCCTCCAACATCCAAGTTATAAACCTACACAAAATTAACAATTAAAATTTTGATAACGTAATCAACGACCAAACCCCCCCCCCCGTAATCAACCGCAAGCATTTTTTAAAAACCCTTTCGGCTGATTACGTAATATGTGAATGACATGATCCCTAATATAATACGTATATAGGCGAAATTTCTAATTTGGGAAGTTATTGACCATTGTTAACATGACAGTCTGGCCCGGCGCGCGCTACTTCGCACTTCGTAGCACTTGCCATCGGGCCAAGATGCATTTCGATTAGAAAGCAGGGCCGGGCGCGCTACTTCGAAGAAATTTAGACGATTAAGATCCGTATTCCGTCAAGAAGTTAGCATAAACATATTATTTATTGTATAAACTGCGGTTAACTTACTACTTAGCCATTAAGAAATAAAATAACCTGGACGAATAGAAACACTGTCACACGTTGTAAACTTAACCTACAGCCGTGCGCGGCTGTATCGTGGACTTCGCCACGATCAACGATAATAGTTGCTAGTGAAACGACAATGGGGGTCTCGACGTGTAATATAATAATAAAGGTAGTTCAGCAGTTCAGCAGCAGGAATGGTGATGTTATACTTATGACTTATCATATTAATTTGGAGGACTTCGCCGCTTCGACGCGCCGCGCGAACTAGCATTCTTGCTTCGCATCGTCGATCGTCGATCGTTGATCGTCGATCGTCGCTCTGCTTCGCAGAGCAACGATCTCGATGGGTTGACATCGTCAACCAACATATTAATAATAAACAATGTAAGCCTAATAATATTTATTTCATATATTTAATGCTCTGCTGAACTGTTGGTCTGCATTTACACTTCATATTAAATTAGTCGCAGAAAGATTTAGTCTCAACATTACCTGGGGACCACAGGCTATAATAGAGATTCGGCGGAATGACAGGCTGAGCGCCGCCCAGTAAGTCTCAACAATGAATAATTTTGGTTTACAACAATTTTAGTCAAAATTTTCATGACTAAATTTATGTACTACAAAAAACAGCTAGTAGTACTGCAAGATAGTAACAATAACCAATAAAAATTAAATGACATAGTAGTACTAGTACATGCCCTGCTTCCTTCCTTTCCTAAATTCCTTACAAGCTCCTCCTCTCTCACTTCTTTTCACTCATATCTTATTACCACAATATCTGCTGCAAAACCAACATGGCCCAAGTAGAAAGGGGCCTTGACGTTGTTTCCCACTTGGCCCTGCATCCCATGCTGACGGTCGGCCTTCAGTGAAGGCCGATGGTCAGCAAATAGCGATGTTAGAACTTGGTGGTAACAAATCCTGACCTCCTTTTACACCTTTAGGACGACCCTCGCAAATGCGAGAGGAATGACCCCGGGGAGGGCTCCATTGGTTTTAGTAGGTTGCCTATTTAAAAAATTAAAATTAAAAATTAAAAAAATACTAAATTTATGGTTCCTAAGGTACCACACTTTATTTAGTTCGCAAAATTTTATCAAACCTTATTTGGTTGCCAGACAACTTAGCCCTCTGAGGGCGACAAAACTGTCTTTATTTAGATGGTATTTCAACGCAACCCATTCGCCATGGCAACGAGACCGGTTAAAATAGAAAATCTTGACAATATACAGACTGGATTAAATAACGTATTGTATACAATGGTATATACTGGAACTTGTCGGTTGTTGGAAACTTTAAAAATTCTATAGAATGATACAGAAATGATACAGAAAACTAAAGCGTAGAAAACACGAAAAACGCTATAAAAATAAAAACTGTGATACATACCTACTAGCTGAACCAATTTCAGTACTGCAGAAAATAACCAATGTCAAATGTATAGAGACGAAGACAAATAATAAAGTTCTATTATAACAGACTGTAACTTCTGCTAAAAAAGCGCTCTGTAGAAACATACTGATACAACGAAGATGTTACATACGTGGAGTAGCGATTTGACTTAAACTTAAAGTGATATTATACATTATAGAACTCGTATTTCGTGTCTATTACATCATTAGATCACCATCAATCATAAACTCGGGCTTGTACAACAAAATTTACCGGCAGATCGATTCATTTTTTCGTGCGTCACAAAAACGAATAACTATTATTATTATCAACAATCAAGCAAACTTATCCACAAGTGTAGTGTACCCCCACTTATCCTGACTAAAAATATAACTGTTCATATCTAACTTCCTAAATCCAGTTCTGTTTTTAATTTAACAGTTTTGTTAAAAACTTAACGATTTTAAAAACATGTAGTCTGGTCAGTTATGCACGAAATGCATTTCATAGTAGCATTTCCAAGATTTATAGAACCGAAAACATCTGACCAGACTAAAGAGAAAAGCTAACAATATTCATATAAATCTCAGGGTCAAAAATGTACCCATAATATTCAAACTAATAATACACACACAGTCATACAAAAACGTTTCCATGATCCCGTTCAACTAATTACTAAACTATAAATCAGAACTATCAAAAATTGAAAAACGTATACTCTATAATTTGGGCACTATCATGACTGCAATTTAATCGTTATCGCAATAACCACTGCGATGATTAACAGTATTGCCAGTATCACTGCCGCACATATCACCTTTCTCTGAAATAGAAAATTAATTAACAGTAATTTTATAGATCGCCAAATTAAATTCAAACTATGATCATCATTATAAGTTATTAAAAGGCCAAATTATGAATAATTTTTGACAAGTCATTGAAATTGAAAACGCAAAGCTGGCTATATTATTTTATATTATTTTTATTTATATAATATTGAAACATTTAAATATATACCCTTCTGGTTTTATCAGTGATTTCTTTGGCTTCTTTGAGTTCAACCTCAGCCTGCTTGACATGCTCATGCGACTGATCCACGTTCTTCTCGATGTTGTTCAACATCTCACCCTGCTGCTCTACCATCAGCGCCAAGTCTCTGAACATTTCGTGCAATTGCTGAAATCGTTGTGGTCAGCACCCACAAGTTTGGTTTTTAGTATTTTATTAGTAAACGCACTTTTGGGACTTGGCACCCCTCCATCTCAAAACGAAGATCTGGTATTAACGAATAACATTATCACTTACTTTTAAGCTTTCGGCGAGTTTTGTTATGTCTTTACTTCGAGTCTCTAGTTCCTCCATGTCTTTCGGTTGAAATTGTGCCTATAAAGGATTGTCTGGATTATAGTTACTAGCAGGAACCCGTATAACCTTAAAATGGTGTCAAGGCTAAAGAGACTAAAATAATTATTGCCTATTTAATTCGCATTTTTGACACCACTTGGAGGTCCAAATTTTGGGCTCTAAAACTCCTATTTCTTGGCCAATTTTTTTCATGATAATTTGGAGGCCATTAAAGCATTTGACCCAGTGAAAAAAGTTTCAGTTGTATATCTTTTACGGTTTTTTCGGAAAGTCGCGTTAAAGTTGATGCCGTGGTGTCAGTAAAATGGTACGGATCCATATATATATATATATATATATATATATATATATATCGTCTCGCTTTATATATAGTAAGATTAGTATTAATTACGAAAAGTAGAAAGATGTTAATTTTGATAAATTAAGCTAAGAAAATATTGAATTATTACTATTCGGAAATAAGACAAAATTTCCCGATAAATGTAATTAGTCGCTAACTTTGCAATGAAATACATTAAAAATTAGTTTTAATACTTTCAACACTAGTACTATACTATATAACAAATAATTTGAGGCTCTAAGGATGTAGTTTTACGAAGATTTCAAGCCTTACGTTGTGTGTTTCCCTTCGTGTCCAAAGCATTACATTAAAAATCAATAAGAAGAAGAATTAGCGTACGTTATAAGAGAAGACTGTGAATTTTCCAGATTCTATCATATCGTCTATCTCAGCAGGCGTTACTTTCTTTTCCGCTGCAAATATATCATATATAATAATATACATTATCGGTATAATATTCTTTATCGGTATTTGGTATGTAGGGAAGAGGATTTAACATTAATAGGTTAATCCAAATTAATAGATCAATAGATTCATGAAGAAAAAAAACTGTATTAGAAATAATTTGACTTATTTACTTATTTGAATCTGTCGGGTAAGTTTCTCCTTGCATTTCTCTCTGTAATCACTCTGACACTCATTATACTCTGTCCACGTCTCAAAGAACCAACGTTGTAGAGTCGTATACTGAGAACTCATTATTCTGACGTCTGATGTACGATGGTTCTGGTCGGAGTCGTCCGCTTTTACAGCCTGTAGTGAGCATTTGTAGTGAGCAAATTGTAACGAGTTTATCTGTTTATTACATCAATCATACTTTGTCGAAACCGCTTTGGGTTGCTTTTCTAATTTTTAGTTTTGGTGAACAATTAAAAAAAAACTCAAATAACGGAGCGACAAATGTTTTAACTAACTTTGAACTTCTCATCGAGTGTTTTGAGGGCTTGTTTGACAGTGTCGAACATCTCCCTGATCTCATCCATAGCTCGGTTCAGGCTCTGATGGACATCTGGTAATATATTGTTTGGTTATTTTCATTGTTCACAGAGATCAGTCATTGTTCACAGAGATCAGTCATTGTTCACAGATATCAGTCATTGTTCACAGATATCAGTCATTGTTCACAGATATCAGTCATTGTTCACAGATATCAGTCATTGTTCACAGATATCAGTCATTGTTCACATTGCACTCCAGGTCACAGTGCTGGTAAATTACCTTCGTTTCTAGCAGCCGATCCAGTGATTTTGCCATGGTAACCTCGTATCTGATTGACAATACTTTCGATACCCACAACTTTATCTCGAACTTGCTGAGCATCTTTCAAAAACTTTTTCATTTCGTCAGCATGGTCGCCTCCTGAATGGACGTCCAGTATCGTAACTCTGCCATCATAGGCTTCATGGTCATCAGTTTGCTGAAATATCACCAGTATGTTATAGTTAGACGATAATCTTTTAAGTGATACAAAATCACGAATTATTATATTTTTGACGAAGAAATCTTGTGGATTACAACGAAGTGTCTTCATAAAGTTGAACATAAATCATCTCACGAGGAGTATTATTCAGTTTATCAAATGAAATTAAAGAAATTAAATCAACATGAATCAGATAACAGTCATTACACAGTACACAGTGTGCCACACTGACTTACTGTCAGATAACAGTCATTACAGTGCACAATGTGCCACACTGACTTACAGCTCGCAGATTTGCAAAAGATAAGTCATTGGGGTCCCGCTCCTGTAACGAATTGTTCTCATTTAACCTAGGTAACACCCAACAAGTTACCCTTCAAGCGATCAACACAAAACACTTTACCCGGTGTGTAAAGATCAGAACAAGAATATAAAATATAACAGAGATCACACAATATAAGGTAACATCTTACGAGTCTGAAGAAGTTGATGCGATCCCGCATAGTTCCTCGCTTTCTACTGCTACATCCTTAAATTAACAAGTTAAAGTCATAAAATAAATTTAAATCAGAATTTAAACCATTCCGTTATTATTCTCAACCAGTAAGGTGTAGAGAACCCCCCCCCTCCCCCATTCAACCAATCTTAATGTCGATATATTTTAAATGCACTTCTTGTGGAGGATGTCCGTAGTACCATTACCGATATATTATGCATAAAATGTAATTTTTTTCCACTTTTATAATTTTTGACGAAATTAGATTTTGTCGGAAATATAATCGAATTTATAATAATGACTAACAATATGACTAAAAGTTAAGTAAATATTGACACATTTTGATGAAAAATTTTTAGCAGCTGCTCCTTCATAATAATTGTTCATTATTTTTCACACATTTTATGCGGTACAACCTGTATTATATAAACCGATCGATTCTGACCATTTCCAGCTCAAAATATTATTTTTTGTTCATTCTGTTCATGAACCAGTGAGCTTGTTCGCCACTATTATTGCCTAGGTACACCCACAAACGATTAAGACTTATTTCATAGCAGTTATCTGAGAAATGTACGTATACTGATCACCACCCAATGTATGTATACTGACCTCAGCTCCACCCAATATGTATACTGACCCCCCCCCCCCTATTTTTAGTTTATCTTGTTCTAGGTGTGCCACTGGTTAAATCACTTCGGACTGTTCTAAAATTCCACAGTGAAAACTCCCATCAATCGAAATTGAATTGTAATAAATATTAAATATCGTATTGCAAATGTAATGCAGTAACGAAATAAAGTCACTAATACTCAAGATGATAAGAACTATCTCCCCACCATATTTATTGAAGTATGTAATAATTGTAAACATTCAAATATTTCAAATATTCAAACTATTAAAGAGCATATACAATCGATGTGGAAACACGTTAAATTTGTTAAACTCGAATTAAACTAGTTAAATTTGGATATTTAAGAAAACTCTAAATTTGCAGGCGAATTTCGCCAAAAATCAACATCATGAAAACCCAACAAATCTCTCTGTTTCTTAAGTTAGCCAGCGATCAGAGCAGCTGAAAATGTAAACTACACCCCTGAGTAAAACAATAAGTAAGTAGGTTAATTGAATTATATTATAATTATTACTGTTATTATTATCTGTGGCGAAATTTCAATTAGCAATTACAATTATATCCAAAAATAAAATGTTATTTATTAATTTAAATTCGAAAAAGATAGTTATTATTGGATCGTCATCGACTGCAGAACAGTAAAGATCGGACCAATCTAAATGTCAACTGAACCATAATGAAATTGAATTTTAGCTGATAAAATTAACAATATGCATTAAATAATGTAAATAATACTCTAGTTGCAGAGTAATTAGGTTCGTTACCAGCACGAACCTCTAATTAAATAACGTTACAACTTTGAAATAATCAAAAAAACAAGCTTGCGTGTCAGCGATTCTGTTGAGGTAAAATCAGTAATCAAAATAAACCGTTTAGTATATGGTGTGAAGTGAAATTCAAATACCCAGATTTCAATCCAAGCTCAGGTAGGATAACATAATTTATCACAAAATAACTGTATTATTACTCTTTATAGGTGGTACAAAATATTTGAGTGTATGTATAATATAATTGGTGGCATATTTACAGGACTAAAGTATTATTATGTACAGTTAATTATTTGGATTGTAAGTGTACTACTATAGCTATCACCGCTCCAACGATTACTACGATTATCAGTATCACCACACCGCAAATCAGCTTTTTCTGAAATTAAATACTATTAATATAATACTATTAATATAATACTATTAATTTAATACTATTAATATAATACTATTAATATAATACTATTAAGTTATAGTATTGTCCAATATTTTTATCCAAATTATTGCACGAACTATGTAAGGAATATATACGGAATATATACGGAATATGTTCTGAATAGTGAATATGTACAGAATATGTACAGAATATGTACGGAATATATATATGACATCTTGCTTCTTTTTATGGCAAAATCTAAGTTTGAAAAGTTCCTGAAACTTTTACGAATTAAGGTTACATATCAATTAAGTTCGCAATACTCCACGTGTATCAACCTAACACTCCACGTGTATCAACCTAATACTCCACGTGTATCAACCTAATACTCCACGTGTATCAAAAAAATGAACGTGAATATTGTTTGATTCGTTATATTGCTCGAATGAGTAGTAATAGCAACACCAAAATAGCTCAGTCAGGCACTCACTGACTGAGCTATTAATGCCAACGAATGTACACTGACTTTTGGCACCCCTCTGTACATTGTTTATGTTTTCGTTAAGGAATACGTTTTCACGGTGAAATCAATATTGCGGAAAAGTTTAACGCGAAATATTCAATCGATGGAATTGACGAATTGCAGAATATGCGGTTCCTATGGCTAAAACAGACAGGCTTGTTTTAGTGAGAAATGAGAAATGGGAAGTAAAAACTGATTATCGACCAATTAACTAATTATCAATCAATTAACAATTACCTTCCTCCACTTATTGGTTAAGTCTACAGCTTGGTGACATTCCCGCTCCGCGTCCGCAACGTAGTCACGAGCCTGGTCCACGTTCTTCTCGATGTTGTTCAACATCTCACCCTGCTGCTCTACCATCAGCGCCAAGTCTTTGAACATTTCGTGCAGTTGCTGCAATTGTTGACAGTCTTAGCTTTTAATAGAATAAATATTTGTACTCAGCTCTAATGGGGCTGAGTATGTTTAGGATGCTTGTCCCCCCCCCCTCATGCTTCAATGCTCAAGTAGATTTCCCACTTGAGAAACAAACCCAAAAGACTAATACTAATTGTTGTTTGCAGGAATTTCCCACTAGCGTTTTTTTGGGTCGCAGTTCACAATTGGAAACTTGCCTTTAAACTTTCTGCGAGTTTCGTTATGTCGTTGTGCCTACTTTCCATTTCTTCAATGTCTTTAGGCTGGAATTGAGCCTGAAAATGTTGTAGTGAAATCGAGAGCATCAGTTAATTGATAAATGAATTATTGGATTGACTAAACCGGGCTATTTTTAATTACTAAATAGTATAGTTGAATAGATAATCTATATAGATACATCAATCATTCTAATACTGTAATAAATTTATCAAGATACCGAAACCCCGATTTACCGGAATATTTCCCTTTCCCGATAAGTGTACGGTAAATCAGGATTTTACTGTAATTATAAAATTACTTCTTCGGAAGACAAATTATAAGGCACGTTTCCACGTCAAAAAGGATACACGATAACTAAAGGTGCAATCTTTCCTTTTATCGACTCAAAACTTCGTAAATACTAATGTTTAAGTCAAGATAGGAATATATGTATTATCAAAGAGAACGTTATATATAACGTTTAATTTGATATAAAGTTGATAATTTACAAACATTATAAGAGAAGACAGTGAAGTTTCCACTTTCGATCATTTTATTGATTTCTTCTTGTGTAACTTTCTTTTCCGCTGAAATAATCAACAATAAGATCTTCCTATTTAAAACAAATTTTGCTTAATATATAGAAATTTTAACGCCTAAAATAGTTTGCTTTAGGAAAAATATGAGATAGCATATTTCTAATTAACTAGAAGATTTAACATATTTTTTCCCTAATTCTGATGAAATTCATTCACCCTTAAAACCACTTTTTACTGCGCACATCCGCTACTCCGTAATCCGTATTCCTGATTCCTTAAAACATTTAATCCACATAATAACTATTATACCACACGCCAGCCTTATACAAAATTCTAATACTGATGACACGGCGACACTAATTTGCCCGAAAATATCACTGCAGTTGTATAAACTACCCAGAAACCAGGCCAACCAATTAAAAGGAACATACTAATCTGAATCTGTCGGGTAAGTTTCTCCTTGCATTTCTCTCTGTAATCACTCTGACACTCATTATACTCTGTCCACGTCTCAAAGAACCAGCACTGCAGAGATGTATACTGAGAACTCATTATTCTGATGTCAGCAGGTCGTTTTAATTCAGCATCCTTCTTCTGTGACAGTGACTGGAGATGGAGGGATATAAGCATCATATGGCACAAATTTCTTCATGACTCATACAGTAAAGCTACGATTTACCGCGGCCAACATATAAATATAATGTAACAATATAATGTAACTTTGTATAGAAGTTTTCAAAATTAAAAAGATCTGGAATCTGGATTCTTGATGATAAAATAAGTTCGGGTATATTCCAGATACTTAACAAATCGCTTTTCAGACTTTCCCCAAGGTAATTGTGCTAGTGACCTTACAAAACCGATAATTCGGTCACAATTCCAACATTATGATACGTTGAAATTGAAAAGTTGAAATTACTTTGGACTCTTGCTCCATTCTCTTCAAAGCTTCTTTCACTGTGTCAAACAACCTCCTGATCTCATCCATAGCTAGATTTAACTTTTTGTGAACCTCTGAAAAATGTTAGATTATATGACAATAACGAGTCACCTGATTATTGGTTAATCAAGGTTCGTTGACAAAACTGGAATTTCAAAACGAAGTTTTGGCAGAGGTAGAGATGTTTTATTAGGTATCTCGGTTTACAGTACCTTCATTTCTAGCTGCAGCTCCTGTAATTTTGCCATGGTACTCGCGTATCTGGTTCACTAGCTCTTCTATCGCCACTATTTTCTCCCTAGTGTGCTGAGCTTCCTTCAGGAACTTCTTCACCTCGTCTACACCACCGTCCGAATGAAAGTCTACTACTGTAGGCCTACCTTCATTTGCTTCTTGATCGTCAACTTGCTGAGAAAAATCAGTGATAAAGGTCCTGTCCGTTGGGGCTGACAATGAACGACCAGCAATGTGGCCCCCCCCCCCAATGTATGTACTTAGAATTCAGGGGGGGGGGGGGGGGGGGGCACACTACACTTAGAATTCAGTCCTAAAAACTCGCACTATAATTCCTTGATACCTAAAGAATTGAGGTATTTATTAAAACTGATTCTCAAAGGCATGCCCTATCTGAGTAGTAAATGGGAGTTGGACCTTAAAATTTTAATTTACATAGTACTACTAAAGAAGTGAGTTCGCCTGCAATGGATTGAAATCAATCAGGAAAATCAACTACAATCGGATGTGATTCAGCTTAGAACAACAAATCAAGTTTAACCCCTGTATAGCTATTATTAACTGTTATTTTAGAATAACAAATCAAGTTTAACCCCTGTATAATTATTATTAACTGTTATTTTCTGTAGGAACACTTACAGCCTGCAGATTAGCAAAAGAAAGGTCATGAGAGTTACTATGGTGGTCCTGAAGAATATAGCTCACGCAAAAATAACTTCAATATCGTATCTCTAAAAAAGGAAACTCTGAATTTAATAATGTAAAATAAAAATAGACGTACCCGGCTGAAGGAGTGAACACGGTCCCTCATACTCTACTCTCCGATACTCACATGCTATCAAGAGATTAATTAGTATTACGAATCAAAAGGACGCAGCATTAGAGAGGGTATTAAATAAGCGTACCTGGAGGGGGGTTCAGCCAGGTTTATCAGATATTGAGTAGGCTCGGAATGCAGTTTCACTCCCCTCCCCTCTCTCAGTTTCATAAAGCCGGCACCCAGTTTGTTCCTTATTTGCTAAACCTTACAATCTTGAAATTACCTCAAATTTCGTATCGGGAGATATGTTAGGCTGGCAGGACTCATGATAAGAAATCGGGTTAAGAGCTAGTTAATGTATTGGCCCGGCATTTAGAGAGGTTTTTCAAATTTATTAATGAGGATTTGGATCGACCAAATGTTTCACGGTACCTTACTTTTCTTCTGTAAGTAACCCTTCAATTTTTACAACGATTTCTATCAGAAGCATGGTGATATCAGGACTGCAGAAGTATCTAGTTACTCTGGTAGCACGGTGTAATTAAGTTACATACGTAATATAAGAGATCTGATCGCAATTGCGCGCAATTTAAGCAGTCGTTTGCGCGAACTTGAAGGTAGTTAGTATAATTTAAATTTATCTGCGCGTTCCATAAATGTTGTCCAATCGGCACGTAGCCAGTGTATGTTCTCTTTTCAGAATTGTAAATTTTGTCCCCCAAGTTTGGATCTGAAATAGCGAAAAATTTAGGTGCGTGCGGAAATTCACATCGATAAATAATACTGTTCGTAGAAGACTACCAGAAGAAGGCCTTGTATTGTATATTGTTTATGGGTCCGAAAAAATTGATATAAGCTGGAATGATCACACATTGACACATATTGATTGGAAATTTACTTTTAATAAACAGGTAACGAACAGTATTTTATTGAGAGAAGTTTCACCGATACAATGATAGAGCCCCACCACTCAGGATATACTGCAAAAGTGCATATGTACCGGTAACGGTAGAGATCTTAAGGTACTGTTCCTGGCTTCATTCGAGTCCATCTTTCTATATGGCTCTGAACCATGGACTATCAGCCAGACCCTCCCAAAGCGTATATACGGATGTGACATAAAAGCATAAACTGGAAAGAGCGGCCAACTACCGCCAAAGTGTATTGACACCTGAGAGTATCCGATAAGATAGCTGAGGGGAGGATGAGGCTCGCCAGACATGGCGGGTACATTTTTTTTATTAAATACTTTTCAAATTTTACAGAGTACAGCAATAGATGAATATAAAATAGAATCGTTCAAAATATCGCCCCCATCTGTAAAATATGATGGGCACCCAAACACGGTAAACACATAGTGAACTATGTCCGCAGTAACTTGGACCCATTACATCGAATTAATCTAAATCCAAAAATTTATGAAAAACTATTTAAGAACAAACAAATCCATGGTGAATAACTGTGGATATAGAGTCAAAATTGGTATTTCAATACGTCAAATTCCAGATACATTAGATACAGGTCTGAAATGGTCATTAATGTGTGAGAAGGTGTGCGGGTGAAGTGTGATATGAAGTTGAAAGTATAGGAAGGTAGATAAAAAAATTAATAAAACAAAAATAATAATAATATGGGGAGCAAAGAGACTAGGCTAGACTGTTGTTTCACTATCCAATAAACATTTCCATAGATGCTTAGTGACCTCAGCTTTGAAAAGACTAGTAGACACAATCTGTCTTACCTGTAAAGGGAGTCCATTCCACAGTATATGGGTTCTGTAGAAAAATGATTTTGCCAGAGGGCTATTTGAGGTACATGTGGTGTGTGAATTCTGACTTAACTTAGGTAAAATTGATGACACAATAGACAGACTGTCGAGGTGGCAACGTCTTAGTCGAGAAGTGCCCTGATATAAAGAGAGATAGTGAGGCAGCGATACAGGAATTAAATTGTTAAGAACTTTGTGGAAAAAAATAAGATCATTCAAGTCAAACTTTTGAGACAAAGGGAGAATGTCGACAAGCTTGCACTTTTTGACATATTGCTCAGGTGGATAACTGCGGCCCTCTTCAGACAGAATCCATTTAATAGCTCTCTTTTGGAGACTTTCTAATTTATCACTAAGTGATTTATTACAAGGGCGCCAGATTATGGAACAATTTTCGAATTGGCTACGAACCAGGGAGAGGTAAAGCGCCCGGCGACGTTTCTGATCAATGACAATATATGGCCATCTCTTCTGACCATACCAAGTTGTTGGCAGGCCTTAGTATAAATTCTGTCGCACTGACTATTCCAACTTAGCTTAGGAGTAACATCGACTCCAAGATCTTTTTCTAACTCTACATACACAAGAGGAGAGCCATCAAGATTATATGCGAATGGAGGAGATAAAGATGGTTTTCCTGAAACAATAAGCACTTTACATTTTGCTGGATGGAATCGCATTTTGTTTCTTAGTGCCCAGTCAGAGAGATAGTCTATATCCATTTGTAAATTAGTATTATCAGAAGATGAATGTATTTTACGCCAGATTTTTGTATCATCGGCATACAAAACAATATCAGTATTATCCGAAAGGCCAAGAGGAATATCATTGATAAACAATACAAAAAGTAAGGGACCAAGAATAGAGCCCTGGGGGACACCAGAATTAACTGAGAGGGTAGATGACATCTCATTACCAATAACCACTCTTTGGTAACGGCCTTGAAGGTAATTGGTAAGAAATTTGAGAAGTGTACCATCAATGTTATATAAGGTCTTTAGCTTATGAAGAAGGATATCATGATTTACAGAATCAAATGCCTTAGCAAAATCAAAATACACAACATGATTGATAATGTTTTCGTTAAGAGACAATGCCAGGCTATCACAAAAGTCAACCATATTGGTTGTGCATGACTTGTGCTCTAGAAAACCATGCTGCCTGGGATCAAGAAGGGTACTTGTCAAAGAAAGCAGTTTACGTTTAACAATGCGCTCAAAAACTTTCATGACTAAACAAGTAAGGGATATTGGTCTATAGTTTTCAACCTCACTTTTCTTACCTTTCTTAAATATTGGGACAACATTTGCAAGTTTCCATTCTTGTGGAATGTAGCCGCTGTTGTAAGATCCACGAAAAATGCATGTTAGAGGGTAAGCTAAACCTACGGAACAATTTTTGAGAATTTTACCGTGTATGCCATCTGGTCCCTGGGCTTTATTTGAATTAATATTTGAAAGAAGCTTACGAACATCCCGATGATCGAAGTCAATATCAAAATCAACATCATTGACATAGGAGATGTCAGTGTCATAAAGTGAAGGATCCGAAAACTGGTTATAAAAGAAAGAATTGAAAAGTTCAGCTTGAGCTTTGGGTTTGAACCGAAGCTGTCCAGAATAACTAACACAATTAGGAATACGGCAGGAGTTAGATTTATACTTAACATGTGACCAAAACTTCTTAGTTATAAGCGCTGGATCATCACTATTGAAAAGATTGTCTCTTATTTTGGCTGATGAAAGCCTCTTAAAATCTTTACGGCTAGTAACAAACTTTAACTCATCAGAAATAGAACCAGAAATTTTAAATTTAGCTCTGAGTCTATCTTTTTTACGGCATGAAGAAAAAAGTTCACTATCGAACCACGGGGGTTGAAACTCTGATTTAATAGTTACTTTAGGAATATGTATATCAACTAAATTCATAATGCAGTCTTTAACTAACTTCCAAGACGAATCAGGATCTAGGCATTCCAGGACTTGCCAATTAATCGAGCATAATTCACGATTAATCATGTCCCAGTTTGCTTTCTTATAATTATAGATTTTACGTTTAGGAGTTTTCTTGCGGGAAAAGGAGCTTTTAATTGAAAAAGTGACAGGAAAATGATCAGATTTGCACACGGAATGAGGATCACAGACATTCAAGTTATCGATTGTGTTATCATAATTACTGAGAAGAATGTCTAATGTATTACCACTTTTATGGGTGGGTGATGTGATCAACTGGGAGAGAGAAAGATCACTGAAAGAATCTATGAAGGATTGCTCAATAGGTACGGTACTGGATGAAGATAGCCAGTCTGTATGGGGGAGATTAAAATCACCAATAACATAGATTTTAGGGGGATTCTTTTTGGAAACTAGCTTGCGAATATAACTAACTATGACATCATGATTAGGTAACCCAAGAGTTCCTACTCTATAACAAGTACAGATTACAATACTCTCTTTGTTAGGAAAAGCAATTTTAACGGCAAGCATTTCTGCACCTAGGCTAACTGGTAGTCGGGTTGTAGTGGCATCGAGATCAGACCGAACAGCCAAAAGAACACCACCTCCATTTTCCCTAAACTTTTTAGGGTTATTAGGATCTTGAGGATGAGTCTTTCTCGTGCGGTCATTGCGGAAGATTTCATATTGAGAAGAAGGAAAGATTTCGTTGCTAGAAATAGATTTTTTGAGCCAAGTCTCATTTAGGGCAATTATGTCAGGCTGCTCTATGTTAGCAAAGGATTGAAGTTCGGAAATCTTATTACCATCAAGAAGGGGATGGGAGGAGCTTACGTTACTGAAAGGAATAAGACCTTGGACATTTTGGTAGAGTACAGATAGGGAGTTGGGACCTGGATTAAGCATAGAAGGATTAACAAGAGTTATCAAAAGAAAGTTAAGAGAGAAAACCCAAAGAATGAATAAAGATACTAGACGCCTGAGGCGGCTGGAATACTTGACTCTATTCATCTTACCAGGGAGAAGAACATTTCTTATAAACCATGAGGAGATAATTACAAAGAAAAGTTTGATGTGGGAGCAAGCAAGAAATGGTATAAGATAACGTGGGCTGTCAAGGAGTAGAGAGGAATGAATATTATAATCTAGGGGGAATACGGTGTTCATGGACCTAGTCGTGGAGAGAAGAATTGGGAGAAGGTAAGTCATGATGAGAGAATAGAAGAGAAACATATGATTATGAGAATTGTGGTTGATGTGTGGAGTGTATGGGGACTTGAATGTGTAAATTTTGTTAGGTATAAACGTGTTGATATGTATATGTGCATTTCTTGACTGTGTACGAGGCCTTTTGCATGCAAAAAGACCTATTCTAAGTCTAAACGATTCATTGTCTAACATATGGGAAAATGGGCAGTGACCGAATGTACCTGAAATAGGAGGCATAAAATTGAGAAAAAGATTAAATCAGAGATTTGTTTGAGTTTTAATTTTAGGCGCAACGTCTTAATCAAAATATTAAATGAAAGAAAAGATCAAAGATTTAAATTCCCAGAAGATTATTTACAACCCTGTCAAAACTGTGTTCGTTTACAACAAACTTAAGCCAAGTGGACAATAAACCTACTCCTCTCATGTTGAGATGAAGCCAATCATGGTATAGAAGTTCATTACAGGATCTAAAGTCTCGAGTTAAAAAGTCTGAGAAACAGTCTAAGAACACGCAATTATTATTTAGGCATAAGTCTTTAAGTAGATTATTAAAATCTAGAACATTCTTTGCTATGTAGGAATATAAACACTTAATAGGAAGACAACATTGGATAATTATAATTGCAGCGGGAAATAACTGCTTAGTGGTGTCAATTAAGTCATTAAGATACTTCCTAAGGAACTGAACCCCATACTTAGAATGTTTTATGTCATTTGTACCAACACTCAATATAATCTTTTCAATATCGTCAGCTTCTGCAGCTGCATGAGTTTTATGAAAATGCTGAATATTTTCAGTGATATCTCTAATTTTTGCACCACTTTGGGACACATTGATTACTTTCCTTCCCCGGAATCCCAACTTATTTGTCCGTACGAATTTTGTCATTGACGTACCAAACAGGACAGTGGTTTTTCTGCTCTTCGGTTTTCTTGGAGCATTTCGGTAGTAAAGGGTTGGTGTTGAGGTGGTGGTGGGCGGCATAGGAATTGTAGTGAGAACATTCTGCTCCCTGACTACATTTGTATCTGTCTTCGGTATCTGGCAGCGAAAAGATAAGCTATACCGAGTCTCCTTAGCTGATCTCTCTGCACGAACCTTGTGAAGACAATATTCCTGACACCCCGGTTTCATAATATACAAACTACAGTCCTTTGGGGTGATATGGCATTTACTGTTACATCGCTTATCCCCATTTTCTGGAATTATGTCGAGGGTCCTCTCAGCTCCAAATGAAACTACATAAATACCTTGCGACTGGTCAAGAGACACCTCGTCGTCGTTGTGGTACCTAGTTGAACAAGAACCAGACTTGTACATGCTTGCTAGGCATGAGTTTAGCTTGCAGCCAAACTTGGAGTTGATATCATGCATAAGCTCTGATATCCCAGATTGAAATATTGCAAACCGTTCAAAACTTTCGTGGTAAAGTGGTTTACTACAACCTCCGGGCGTGCTCCTGCCGCGATTACATCATCAATTATAAATTACTTAAAAATTACTTATCTCCGCATGCACCTAACTTTTTCGTTATTTTAGATCAAATTTGGGAGACAAAATTTACAATTCTGAGAATAAACCTTGGGCGAAATTTGGGGACATTCTTACAATTTCGCTTACAATTTCGCTAGAACACCTCCTCTCACGTAGCTATATTTATTGTTATTATCTAGAGACCGACAAAAAGTCATTGTCGAACCTGTACTTAAACTATGTAGCTCCCGCCAGCAAGTCCTGGTCTTGAGGTCAGGGCCACTGAGGACTGCTCCGTTTCATAGCTAGCTGAGAAAACATTCATTAGTTGATAATTCAAGTTATGTATTCAGTGGTTTATATGTATAATGGTTATATCTCTTTTATAAAATATTAACCTATAGATTTTGAAAATGGTAATTTTGAAATTTGTAGTTCATCTTGTATTGTAGTTCATCTTGTATTGACGGTTGAGGCGGTCGACATAATAATCTGTAAATCCAATCAGTTAAGGTAAGAAAAGCTGAAACCCGAAAATTCTGAACATTACATACACATAGCATACACAGTCAAAACTTAGTCATTCTTATTCAATATGTACCAATTCGAATTTAAAACTACTACTAATAACCACTACTATAATATGATATATCTACAATTTTGTTGAAAACAAATAATTTAAGCTATTCTTTATAGAACCACACCGACGTAAAACAAAAGTTTATAAAGCTACTGCTATACTATATTAATTATACCAATATTAACTGTCGCACTTGACTTGAGAGAGTAGGGGGAAAGAGTATAAAATTCAGTCAAATGATCTATTCAACTTATAAACACATAAGTTATACAGACTAGTTAACTTATAAAGTAGCAAATACATTGGGATTTGAAAGTAATATTGTAAGTTTGACGGTTCTAAATAAGAATTATATAATACGTTACAATTCATCGTGAGCAGAATTATCTTCATTGTTAGGTAGAAACATAACCGCCTCTACTGGTTTCCATAGTGACGCATCTGATATACCACTGTGTGCTGAAGTAAAAGGTAAGTGTTACCAAGTTCAATAAAACTGTGTAGTAAGTAACTCGGGGGAGGGGGGTTTACGAAAAAAGGGCGATATTTTAAGATTCACGTTCGGAGAATTGGGGCTCATAATGCTATTATTCCAAAAAAAGAACTCATCATAATATGCTGTGTACTTTATAGAGTATAGTGTGTACTAAATACTATATAAATAATAAATATGTACACATTAGGTTAGTAGCTTCTTTACTTTTGAACAGATTTGTGCTGCGGAGCTAACTGTTTACATAGAAATTAGGTTTATTTTTCATCCAACTTTTTAACTAACACAATTAAGTCTTTATGTCGAGTGAAATGTATTTTCTTGCTTGAATTTAAATACGCTGCATATCTCATGAAGTCAGATCAGATCGCCTAGATGAAATATAAAGTGAAAATAGCACAAGCAATTGCGAAAAGCTTCATTTCTTGTTTGGATATCAGACCCTAGTATATCATACACCCTTGTAGGTGTACCTACAAGGGTGTACCTACAAAGGTAGGTTATGGGGTTGCCTCCCCCGATTTGATACATTCCTCGAATGAGTGGTGATAGCAAGTCATACCAGAAATAATTATCTCAATCGGGCATTCAGTAACTGAGCTATAAAGGCAAACGTATGTAAACTGACTTTTAGCCCCCCTGTATATTCGATGAATTCAGTTAAACCCGTTAAAAATAACTGTCAAAAATTATGAAATAGTCACACAAGCTGATTTCCTTACCAGTAACTTCATACTGTCCAGCAATGGGTCGGCCGAAGGTTTGTCCCGGGACGGTGAGGTATTTGGAGGTTACCACGTGACGCAGTCTGACGGGAGAGGTTTTATACCAAATCTCAGAAGAGCAGATCACTTGCCAGTTATCTCCGTCATCACCTAAACCACCCTCACCAAACGCTGATACCTGGATAGTGGGTCAGGTTACCAGGTTAGTTTACACTGCTACCTAGGTGAGGTTACCAGGTTAGTTTACACTGCTACCTAGGTGAGGTTACCAGGTTAGTTTACACTGCTACCTAGGTGAGGTTACCAGATTAGTTTACACTGCTACATAGGTGAGGTTATCAGGTTAGTTTACGCTGTTACCTAGGTGAGGTTACCAGGTTAGTTTACGCTGTTACCTAGGTGAGGTTACCAGGTTAGTTTACGCTGTTACCTAGGTGAGGTTACCAAGTTAGTTTACGCTGCTACCTAGGTGAAGTTACCAGGTTAGTTTACGCTGCTACCTAGGTGAGGTTACCAGGTTAGTTTACACTCCTACCTAGGTAAGGTTATCAGGTTAGTTTACGCTGTTACCTAGGTGAGGTTACCAGGTTAGTTTACGCTGTTACCTAGGTGAGGTTACCAGGTTAGTTTACGCTGTTACCTAGGTGAGGTTACCAGGTTAGTTTACACTGCTACATAGGTGAGGTTACCAGGTTAGTTTACACTGCTACATAGGTGAGGTTACCAGGTTAGTTTACACTGCTACCTAGGTGAAGTTACCAGGTTAGTTTACGCTGTTACCTAGGTAAGGTTACCAGGTTAGTTTACACTGCTACATAGGTAAGGTTACCAGGTTAGTTTACACTGCTACCTAGGTGAAGTTACCAGGTTAGTTTACGCTGTTACCTAGGTGAGGTTACCAGGTTAGTTTACGCTGCTACCTAGGTGAGGTTACCAGGTTAGTTTACACTGCTACCTAGGTGAGGTTACCAGGTTAGTTTACACTGCTACCTAGGTGAGGTTATCAGGTTAGTTTACGCTGCTACCTAGGTGAGGTTACCAGGTTAGTTTACACTGCTACATAGGTGAGGTTACCAGGTTAGTTTACACTGCTACATAGGTGAGGTTACCAGGTTAGTTTACACTGCTACCTAGGTGAAGTTACCAGGTTAGTTTACGCTGTTACCTAGGTAAGGTTACCAGGTTAGTTTACACTGCTACATAGGTAAGGTTACCAGGTTAGTTTACACTGCTACCTAGGTGAAGTTACCAGGTTAGTTTACGCTGTTACCTAGGTAAGGTTACCAGGCTAGTTTACACTGCTACATAGGTAAGGTTACCAGGTTAGTTTACGCTGCTACCTAGGTGAAGTTACCAGGTTAGTTTACGCTGTTACCTAGGTAAGGTTACCAGGCTAGTTTACACTGCTACATAGGTAAGGTTACCAGGTTAGTTTACGCTGCTACCTAGGTGAAGTTACCAGGTTAGTTTACGCTGCTACATAGGTGAGGTTATCAGGTTAGTTTACGCTGCTACCTAGGCCTAGGTGAGGTTACCAGGTTAGTTTACGCTGCTGCAGGTAACTAGGTGAGGTTACCAGGTTACTAGGTGAAGTTACCAGGTAACTAGGTTAGGTTACCAAGTAACTGGGTGAAGTTACCAGGTGAGGTTACCAGGTAACTAGGTGAGGTTACCAGGTAACTAGGTGAAGTTACCAGGTAACTAGGTTAGGTTACCAAGTAACTAGGTGAAGTTACCAGGTGAGGTTACCAGGTGAGGTTACCAGGTAACTAGGTGAAGTTACCAGGTAACTAGGTTAGGTTACCAAGTAACTAGGTGAAGTTACCAGGTGAGGTTACCAGGTGAGGTTACCAGGTAACTAGGTGAAGTTACCAGGTAACTAGGTTAGGTTACCAGGTAACTAGGTTAGGTTACCAAGTAACTGGGTGAAGTTACCAGGTGAGGTTACCAGGTAACTAGGTGAGGTTACCAGGTAACTAGGTTAGGTTACCAAGTAACTAGGTGAAGTTACCAGGTAACTAGGTTAGGTTACCAAGTAACTGGGTGAAGTTACCAGGTGAGGTTACCAGGTAACTAGGTGAGGTTACCAGGTAACTAGGTTAGGTTACCAAGTAACTGGGTAAAGTTACCAGGTAACTAGGTGAGGTTACCAAGTAACTAGGTGAAGTTACCAGGTGAGGTTACCAGGTGAGGTTACCAGGTAACTAGGCGAAGTTACCAGGTAACTAGGTTAGGTTACCAAGTAACTAGGTGAAGTTACCAGGTAACTAGGTTAGGTTACCAGGTAACTAGGTTAGGTTACCAAGTAACTGGGTAAAGTTACCAGGTAACTAGGTGAGGTTACCAAGTAACTAGGTGAAGTTACCAGGTAACTAGGTGAAGTTACCAGGTAACTAGGTTAGGTTACCAAGTAACTAGGTGAAGTTACCAGGTGAGGTTACCAGGTAACTAATTCTAAATAAAGCTCACCTCCTGATGACTGCCAGTCATGGGTGCAGTAAAAGTGTGGGAGTGCAGATTGCGGTGAGTTGTGAAATGTCTGAGTCGTATCACATCACCACACTGTATCTCTTCTCCACGCTTACATTGCGGTTTGTTACTCCCGTTCAAGATTACCCAGTAACTGTTCACATCGTCTCCATTAGTCACACCTGGTAACAAAAATATTAAAAGTTTATATAGTAAAAAATAATGTGCACATTATTTTTAAAATAATACACCAGCCTAGGAGTGTATTATCCCACGAGTTTGGGAGTGGTATGTGTTAACGAGATATACTTTAAAAGTGCTAGGTTTTAATGTTTATAATATAGCCTATAGGGTATTACCATTGAGCTTTTCGTATTAGCAACAACTATAAACCGAACCCCTAATGTCTGCTAACAATATTCTTTTCCGATCCTAATATGAGCCTTGTCTTGAAAAACTCATCTGAACTAGCGTTTCAGTGTGTGCAAAAGCTATCAGGCATGCACAATCCTTGCCCTGTTAGTTATCTGTCCTTTCAAAATCAAACTAACAGTCAAGGACAAAAAGTCATATACCGAATGGGCATTATATTTTGTTCCCTACTATTGCCGGAGTATATAAAAGGAGTCTATTTTTCAAGGTAGACCGAACCCTATAATTATGTATATAAAAGGAGTATATTTTTCACGCGCGACGCCAGTTATGTGTTAATTAATTACACGCATGGCAACCAGTTTTTGGTAGTTGACAACTGTTACACTATGCACACAGCGCAACACCGGTTTCAAATAAATTCCATTTTACTGGAATTCAGGAGTATAGCGTATTAGTCGCCAATGTAAGTATTATTTTAGTGAAACTAATTACCCAGTGCTTAAGTTAAGCTGTCAAAAAATTCCATTATAACATCAGGCATCAACTGATAAACTTATGCAATGGATGATCAGTAATAACTTGATTGTAAGTATGGCACTAAGAATAAATAATTGAAAACAGATCGAACCATGTAAGCAAATAAGATTGCTTCCTGAACGTAAATAAGATTATTAGTATTATATAGATTATAGATAAATAAAACATACCTGTAACCGACTGTTGTCCACTACCACTTCCATATTTCACTTCATGAGAATGAAGTCGAACACCACGTTGAATGTTTTGCAGCTTGATGATGCTGGTGCAAGTGACTATTTCATTTCCAGCAGTAATGTCCAGGCAGACAAGTGCTAACACTGATATCCAGATCATATTTCTAGCTAATAACAGTTTCAAGTTAGTAATAAATGAATTGATGTTTTATGGTGACTACCTGGAATCTGCCTTAATATTAAAATTGCTAGGAATTATTATACACACCCCATGGGCTGATCAGGTATACATGATCAGGTATTCATGATCAGGTATTCACATGCATTTTTAAAATTTTGCAACACTCGCCACTGTTTGTAGGTGTGGTTGTCATACTCATAACATAATTACACTGATAATTACAACATTTTTTTATTGAAATCTTTCAAATCAATCAATTACATACAAATTTACACAATGAATGAACAACATTAAATCTTCTCAAAAGTATAAGACTCCGATAAAATCAGATTTTCTAGGACAAAATGTATGTAATGAAAGGACCTGAGGGTCACCAAAACACAGATGTTGAGAGCAAAATGCACCTCCTGCACAAGTATGGGCCCACTACACGGAAATCGTGAATTTCAAATAGAATTTCAAATAGAATCACACAAAAATATCAAAAGCAATCAAATCATATAATAAAGTGAAATCCATGATGTGATGATATGCACTAAAATGAGAAATGAGAAATACAGACAACAGGGATTTAAGCTCTTATGAACATATTGTTAGCTTTAGGTAGACTGCCTCACATCTCTGTCTCGAGGGAATAATCTAGATCATAATCAAAGTCCTCCGGCAGAATTTTATCCCGCATGTAGGAGGTCAATTTGCTTTTGAACTCAGAAATAATCTCTATCTCACGTATAGCTAGAGGAATATGATTCCATTTGGAATGGGTCCTAAAGTAAAAGTTCTTAGCGAAAGCGTTAGAGCTTGCTCGTGGTAAGATTGAGCTTACAAAACATAAGGGGTCCATTTGGCTATTTCTTAACCTTAAGTGGCCTTGAAATGGTTGCAAATATGACAAACATTACAACTGCCGTTGTGCTGCTACTGTATTTTTTATTTCATACAAGTAAAAGTACACGATGGAGGAAAAGGATAGTCTTCAAAGATTGTCAGATTACTCTTGCTACATTACTAAAGAGCATGAGGACTATAACGGGTGGATCAGTAAACTCGCTGAAGCTACGTACTGCAATAACAAGTCAGAGTTTTCAGTTGAAACGTTCAAAAAGCCAGTGAAGGGAGAATAAGTTAAACTTTTGTATAATGCGTATCAGACTACCAGTGCTCATGTAAGTACATTTCTGGATATCAAGAAAGATATGGAGGAGTTGAAGAGCCATCTTACTGATCGCAAGGTAATGTTATCAAGCTGCAGTCTCAACTTCTGGAAATCAAATGGAAGCAGTTGGAATCCGTGCACTCCACCGTCAAGACCGCCGTTCAAGACACTGTCCAAGCTGAGATGAAGACATACAGTCAAACTGTGTCTAAAACTGCACCTGTGCTTACAGAAGAGAGTTTGAAAAAGGTTGTACAGAATGCTGTATCAGAAGAGGATCGCAGTAGGAATGTGCTCACCTTTGGTTTGAAGGAGACTGATGAAGAGAAACAGTGAGATTGTTTTAACGTGATTTTTCAGTAGATTGAAGAAAAACCACGTTTTGGAGCTATCCGGATTGGGAGGAAATCAGCCGACAAGACGAGACCAGTCAAAATTTCGCTAGGTAATTCTAGTACCGTTCATCAGATATTAATATGAGTAAATGCCAAAAAACTGAGACTGTGCGAAGATCATAAAACTGTTTTCATATCTCAAGATGGATCACCTGAAGCTATCAAGCTATCCATCAGCGGTTGGTCTTGATTCACGATGTCAATCCTTTGCATCTCGCAACTTGCGAGAAGCATTATTGGATGCGCGCGCGGCCAAGTATTGCATCGCGCTACAACGGTTGGTCTTGGAGATTCGATCAAGAAAACAACATTATTATATCAGAAGTGGTAATATTTGAAGTGAGGACAAGATGTTAGACTAGAAAGTGATACATAATAATGAGTGATATACGTCAATTACGTAAAATTGATATTGGCAAAGGAACGGAGCAAGGACACCCCCTATCACCAGACCTTTTTAAAATCTATATTAATAACTTGTCATCTCTTCTGAAATCTGTTGGTGATTATCCAGTTCTTGCTGACGTTCTAATATCACATCTGCTCTGGGCTGACGATCTTGTCCTTCTTGCTCTAAGTCCCAAGGCCTTGCGAGTCAATATCAACATTCTATCTGACTTCTGTAACTCCATGGGCCTTGAAGTAAATATAAAGAAAACTAAGATTGTCATATTCAGCCCTCCCAAAAAGAAGCAGTCCCATGAAACATTTACATTGGGAGGTCAGCCCATCCAGCACACCGAAAAGTACTGCTATCTTGGCATAATATTCCACAGAAATGGATCCTTTACGGCGGCAAATACTGAGCTGAGGGCCAAAGCTCTCCGTGCTCTATATGGCCTTAAAGGCAATATAGTTAAAGATGCCCTCTCTCACCGTGCCCTTAATATTCTATTTGATTCCTTAATCAAACCAATCCTGCTTTATGGCTGTCAAGTCTTATGCCCCCACTCTAAAACAATGAGATACCTTTCAAAAATAGATGACAAAGCCAGCCCCCAGCATACCCTGAAGTACATTGCACAGGACCACTATGAGAAATTCCACCTAAAATTTATCAAGTGGTCTTTGTCCGTCCATTCAAAAGCATCAAATATAGGTTGCTGGGGCGAAAGTGGGCGCCACCCCCTATTTTTTGAAGCCTGCAAACTTGCAATAGATTACTATAGTCGCCTTGAAAGCACCGAAAATGAACTACTTTGTGCTGCATTTCACGAGCAGATCATGCTGGGCCTTCCTTGGTATACCAACATCTCAAAGCTTCTCACCAAATACAACTTCCCCCACTCATCTTCATCAAAATCTAAGCTCTCCACCCAAATCAGTCATAATATGAGGGAAGAATTCGTAAATACCTGGAAATCTGCCAAGGCCTCCTCACCAAAACTAGAATTCTATAACTTAATTAAACATGATTTTGAACCAGAGGCATACCTACGAATAATCAAAGTACCTGATTTTCGAAAAAGCTTGACAAGGTTTCGTATCAGCTGCCACAACCTCTACGTTGAAAGGGGCAGATACGAAACCCCTCTTGTACCAAGAGAAGAACGTTGGTGCACTTACTGCTTTTTCAGTAAAGGGCTCAAACCTATCGAGGACGAAAGCCATGTATTAATTGACTGTTTGCTTTACTCCTCAGTTAGGGAAAAATTCAACTTTTATCCCCAAAACATCACTGACCTAGCCGGTCTGCTCTCCAACAAAAATCTAGATCCTACCAAATTTACTGCCACAGCAAGAGCAATCCATTCAATTCTCTCTGTGAACGAACAATATACAGCCTATTATAAGAGCCCAGATTTCCACTCAAATACTGGCAAGTGCATAATGCTCTAGGAACTCAAAATAAACTCATGAACCATACAAATTTGATTTACTTAAAGAAAATAGCATTATATTATAACATTTCTATTTTATCCCTACACATTTGTAAATGATTAGAAGTGTGTAACTTAAATTATTTCAGAATTATAACTTTTGTGAACTCAATAAAATAATTATCACTTTTGTATCCTTGTATCCTTGTATCCTTGTATCCTACGTCCTAAATACGTCCTATCCATACATTTTTACTGTGTGTGATAACTTTGTTGTTTGTTTAAAAAGAAGTCAAGTAAGTACTTTTGGTTTTTAAAGTTGTAACTAGTACATTCATATATTAAGTATCTAGTTTTTGGATTACATCGCAAGCTTGTAGCGCGATGCCGTTACTGTGCCGCGCCGCGCACTCAATGAGGCTTCTCACGCTAGATCGGCGAGATGCACTACTGTGCCGTTTTAAATATTACAAAAGAAGGTGACAATTCAGATGTCAAAAAGTTTTATTTTGGACCGAATCAAAATTGACATGACTTTAATTTTACAAATCAAATTCCTGTCCTAGACTAAACTGTGTTACGTGTTAATTAACGTGACGATGTCAATTCATCGCAGCTCGGCGCGGCACAGTAGCGCATCTCGCCGATCTAGTAGAAGCTTCACATAGCCATGTGTATCTGCGTACTGCGTGACGCGCTTGTTTCACGCTACTGCAAGCGAGAGGGCTATGGTTAGAGCAAAGTAAAAGCATCACTGAGTGCGCAGCGCGGCACAGTAACGCATCGCGCTACAATGTCACGTGCAGCTCCTAAATTGCGTTCACCTAACCATGTGCTTTCGCGCCACCTCGGCTGCGCTTGTTTGACAACTGCTACGATTGTAGCGCGATGCACTACTGGGTCACGCGCGCATCCAATAATGCTTCTCGCAACCACAGACTAGATGCAGATCGGCGAGATGCGAAGGATTGACATCGTGAATCAACTGCTACGAAAGCGCATGAAGAGCTCTGGATAGCAAGGGATCTGGATAGCAACGCGCCGCGCATCCAACAACATAATGCTTCTCTTGCTTATACGTAATATCGTTAAGTAGGTATTTAGGAGTTTTGTGAATATTTTGAAATCAAATTCGAGCGTGTATTTTGTGATTTAGCGAGATGCGCGGAAAAAGCAAATAACCGTCAGCACATGGCCATACAGCCTTCATAGTGGCATCTGAGATCGGTTACCGATGCGGCACTATCCTTTTTACAAAAATACGTCGAGAAGAATCCAGGTCGATACAGGATCGGAGACAGTGGCGTAACTTAGGGCTCCGCAGACCCCGCTGTGCGGGGGGGGGGGGGGGGCGCCGTACAAGGGGGGCGCAATTTTCCTGAATTTTAGGCCCTTTCACTGAAAAAACGCCTTGTTTGTGTATTTCCCTGTCCAATTTAGCGTTCGGTCGACCCTTTTTTGCTTCAGGGGGGGGGGGGGGGGGCGCAAAAAGCTGTATGGGGGCGATACGAGAAAAAAGTACCCGACCTTTTTTTTTTTTTTTTTAGGGACACAAAAAATTTTAGGGGGGCGCTTTTCGTCACTGAGCAGGGGGCGCCAACAGGCAAAGTTACGCCACTGATCGGAGAGTGCAGACCATAAAGTTTACGTTCCCACCTTTGCCTCCTGAGTTCTTGGTTGGATAGAAATTTATGCAAACTTGGTCGTTTATATAATACTCCAAGTTCCTTTGTTAAAAAAGGGTAATATTAACTATGTCTAGAGTTATCTTCGTTCAATAATAACAATATCAATATAATCAATATCAATATCAATATCAATATCAGATAAACTACCGAATAAATTATTAAATATCAATTAATTCGTTCCGATAAAAATTTTTATAAATTTAGATATTTAGTATATAAAAACATTACAACAAATGGTTAAAAGCGCCCAAAATCGATTTTAAAGATTTTCTGTCTATAGTACAATCATGATAGTAATAGTAAGTGTGTGCCGCTGTAATTAGATTTGATTACTGCAATTCAAAATTGTTTGGAGTCCAAGTACCTTTTAAGTCAGCTGCCTGTGCTTGTATTAATAGTGCTTTGGTTCTCAATTTTATCAAGTTAATGGACGTTTCTAAGCTCTTTGATATATAATACGTCCAACCAGTACCCTTTATGGAAAAAAAGGAATGGGGCCAAATAAAAAGGTGTGTGGTGGGTTTTTGCCATGAAATTTTGAACGCAGACACTGTAGCATTATGCCATTTGATTTGAAAAGTTTCAAGTTGCCAAATCTAATTTGAGGCCAGTCTCATAGGGGCCGTTTTTGGGACACTGTGTATTAAGTGCATACCATTTACCTTGTAGTTTATTGTATCAAGTCTTTACAATTTTCTATGGTTTGTAACCTAAATGTGGATTGCTTTTCAGGTTTTCTTGTATCCTGACTTGTTTTCGTGGCACACCTGTGCATTTTAAGTTGTTGTGTCACTATAATCTTTAAGTTTAAATTATTATTATTAGGGTGGTTCAGAAAACCCTAAGTTGCTCAAATCTTTCTGACCAAAGCTTATAAGTAGATGCCTTTGTTAAAAAAACCTTGTCTCCGTGCCACAACCTTTAAGGTGCAGTCACATCTCAACTGTTGATCATAGAATTTTATATCTTGAATTATTAGGAAACACGGTGCAATACATTGCATTAGATTATTTGATGGGTTCAATAAAAGAATTGTGTAATGCAATGTAATATACTATTCTTGTGCTGTTGAAAAATGCAACCTGAAAGTACCTGAGGGTTTCATTAAATAAAGGTTTCATTATAAATATTTTATTTTATTGTTTAATTAAGTATGCTTCTATTCTCTGTCTTTGGACATTGGAAAATTGAGTCGAGGATATCGATCTTTTCTCATACTGATTGTACAGCTAAAATTACTGACCTATCCTTCCTTTATATTATAGAATATCATGATTTTAACTCTCCCTCTTATCAAAGGTATGCCCCCAGCTGGAGTCACGACTCCTGCGGAGAGAATGATTGTGGAGCCAGTTCTCGTTGACAATCTCAAGCCTCAACATGAACGAAAACCAGGCCATGCACCTGAAACAGAGGAATTTGAGTATGCTCCTTTGTCCATAGCACTGATTGCATACCTCAATCTGGGGTTACTTGTTGTGTTTGGTTATATCAGGGATCTCATGCGACTGTTCGGCTATGAATGCACTGTTGGGGCTAAAGAGTGGGGCAATGAGGTAAGACTTTAGTTAGTTATTACTCTGATTTGATTGTTTTGGGTAGAATGATCAGACGTAATATTATATGTTGTAGTGGTTCAGTAAGTATTTTATAATACAAACCAAATATCTTATTTCTTAGACAGAACACATAATATTAAGTTAATAAATTTGCATGCCTTAGCATCATTTGGATTTCTGGCCATCAATCGAATGACGGGTCAAATGTAAAGTCGGAACTTCAAAACTGTATATTACTGTATGTTGAAGGAAGCACTCAGTTAAATTTCATGACATTTCTGAAACTACTGACATTCTATCCTTTCAGGGGTATCCTCCGTTATATCACGAGTTTGAAAGTTTCTACCATAGAAATGTGTACCACAGAGGCAGCAGACTCACAGCAGCACCATTGGCTGGTGTACCGGGAGCTGAGATTGATATCATTGACCGGGACTGGGCTGACGCTTCTCTTTCTTCGTTCAAGTTAGTTCAATGCCGTGCTTAGTATCAATACTAATTATCTCAAGATGTGTGTCTGTCTGTCTGTCTGTCTGTGGGTAATCACCAATCGGCTTAATCAAGAAAACGGTAAGAGTTACGGGGGTGGTTCTTCGGTATAGTGCCGACAAAACTCTGACCAAGCCAAATGATAAAGGTTTTTTAAATCGGCCTGTGGTAAGTGGTTTAATTGATGGTTTTGTACTGCAAATGTGATATTAAAGTGACTCACTTTTTGTCCCTCTCTCACACTTACTCTCTCTCCCCATTTACAGCTCCCCTAATTACTGCTTTGTACATAATTAGGTAATTTAGCAGTGGAGCCTATTATGTATTAAGTATTACTATTGGATACGACGTGTGTATTACGTGATGGGCGCTCAAAATTAAATTGACTCTAATGCGGTCGGTTTCAACTGAGCGAGTTTATACTTTTGCACAATTTTAACTTTTGCACTGTTTGCAATTCAACTGCGATAGTAAAGTCCCGGCCGTAGGCACGGGTTACACTAGTTATAATATAAGTGAACTCACGTGTTGGTATTTACTACTTGTGTCAACTCATGAAAATCCAGCAAATAAAAATGTTACACTTTGTTATTACTCTGCAAACGCAATGGTACATATATTATCCGGACATACCTGTCTTTTCCATATTTATGTAATCCTGTTCGTTACGGTCGAAATACAATAACTAGGGAGATCAAATATCACTGAAAATCTTGAACTTTACTACTAATCTAAATTTGAGCTGTGACATAGAAACTAAAGGTCGTGACTTGTGATCAAGCTATACGTGATTGCAGATCGTGATGCGTGATTTGATGCACGCTTCGAGTTTTGTTTACATATCAATTTTATGGTACAAAACATAAAGGTGGAGATTTTGTAAATTATAATCATTATTCTTAACTTATCTGCATATTTTATATTAGGCTGTAGCTAAACAAGCGGTCATACACCCGGATCCCGATGTCACCATGGCGGCACTCTCGTGGCACTCTTGTGGCACTATGGCGGCAAACAAGCTCAATAAATCCACCGTTTCTTAGGCTGAGTGAGAAGAAACGAAGGTACCTGAACGTTGGTAGTTACAATTACTTGGGATTCGCAGAGAATGATGGCTATTGCTCCAAACAGACTATCCAAGAGATCAGAAGAAATGGATGTGGAGTCTCTTCTCCACGACAGGAATTAGGTAGCGAAAATATATGGATCATCAATTTATGCAAAGTTTTCGTCTAAGATAATCTCAATTGAAAAGTGAGTACAAAAATGTAACATTATAACGTTTACACCATATATATTATCTATTTCTAACTATCTTCGACTCTGCAGGTACCCTAGAAATTCACCGACAACTAGAAATTTTAGTAGCTCAGTTTCTAGGAAAAGAATCTGCTTTGTGTTTTGGGATGGGATTTGCAACAAACTCTCTGAACATTCCCGCCATTGTCGATGAAGTTAGTTTGTACAGACGATTATGAGTTATAAGACATATGTTAAACATTGTGTAAGCGAACCATCTCTCGTGCTTTTTTGAACAAGATCGAATTGAAAGCTATGCTGTGTATTCAATATGCATAGTTCGAAGCAAAACATGAAAAAAATCATTATATCATGTTGATTATTCAGAAATTGAGTATTTTGAATTTAGGAGGATGGGGATGGGGATTGGGGCCTGGGGGCCGGGGGGGGGGGTTTAGGGGGATTAGACAAAGAAAACCACATCAGATAATAAACAAATTAAGCTCGGCCGTGGGGCGACAGACTTCAATACGTTATTATGGAGCCGCTAACAGAAATGGAGCCACTAAAACCCTCTCAAATGGGCATTTGTTAATAACGAAAGCGTTACACATGTAGTTGCAGATGTAGCATTCTAGCAACTTCATTAACTTAACTAGTTGATAGGCAATACCTCAGCTTCAGCAAATTTCGTATCTAATAAATATAAATTATTCATTTTCAAATTAACAAACACACGATAAAAACTACACTAATTCGTAGTTAAAATTTCATATTTGTTCAGGGCTGCCTATTGATAAGCGACTCTCTCAACCATTCCTGTGTAATCCTGGGTGCACGACTATCTGGAGCTAAAATAGCTGTATTTAAACATAACGGTTAGTTCTGTTTAATTTCAAAGAATAATACTTTACAGTTCATTTTACAGTATTTATATTATTGTTGTCAACTCGTGAGTAGGTATTTGGGGACAGAGTAGGTACTCGAGAACACGCCAGATTTTAGCAAAAGTATAGACCCGGGTGTGCTTCGCTATTTTTAAGGCATAATCATAATGGAGGATATTAAATATATATATACATGATATACATGTTGCAGTTCTATTGAGAGATTTAAATGCCTTTGAAATAGTGCAGCACAGCAGAAAAAGAGAAATAGAGAAACAGAGAAACAGGAATTTGAGAAAACTTAAATTTCAGCTATCTCTGACTTTTACTGCTTTACCATCTAAGCATCTAGTATAAAACTTATTGATATTTTTTATCAGCGTGCTGATGAAACATAATCTCACTTAAACTTACTTGACATGGAAGGGATAAATTCAATTTGAATTTCTCATTAGATTCTGAAGGTGAAGTCACCGATAGGATTACTAGACCTGCATGCGCAGTACACACACTGCAGCGCATGTATAATAATATTATTATATTATCCTCTATTATACCCTGTAAAATACCCTGTAAACACATAATATTGTCCATAATCTAAATACACAGGCCGCAACTATAGAAGCCTCTTTAAGGTGATCTAATTATCTTATTACATTGCTGTGTAAATTTGATCCTAATCATAATTCTAATCTGAATCTGCCCCCAGATATGGAGGATTTGGAGCGGGTACTGAAGCGTCACATAGTCATGGGGCAGACAAGAACAAGGCGCCCCTGGAGGAAAATACTCATCTGTGTTGAAGGTAACTAACTCAGATCTGTGTAACTAATACTCATCTGTGTCGAAGGTTTTTCTAACTTTTACAAGCTGTGTTATTATGGTAGCTTGATGGCACCGGGGTAACATGTTCATTAGGCAATTATACCCGGCCCTCGTGCGGTGTATCAACAATGACGTGCCTGTAAAGTGTAAGGTTATTGTTAGGGGATGTTGTTATGTTAGGGGATGTGCGGGTGTACTATTTGTTACAGAAGCGGAGCAAGTGGGTGAGATAATATTTCACAAGTGAGATGTTTGATTTTGTATAAAACCAAGGTTAAAGTATATATAAAGGTTAAAGTATTATATACAAACTTTATTAAAGTATATATAAACCCAGAAAGTTTCAAACGATATATCGTTTGAAACTTTCTGGGTTTACCACATGATGGTTATTGGGCACGTGAATGTTGGCCAACGAATAGTTGGCCTATGGTGGCAAAAAGGCAAAAAATCATCGACTAATTCAACTTTTGAAAACTTTTGAGATGTTCCTCTGATTCTTTGAGATACCTTAAAAATCAAAAGCGAAAATATCTTTCAGGTCAAAATGCTAAAATGTCGTGAATGTTACATTTGGTCACCTCATGTATAATTGCGTAGTACGGTAGTTACAGTGCTTCTACGCCTGTGTATGCGTGCGAAGTGGAAATGGCACAGCCGTTGAGTGCTGTGAAAATAATACCGTGTCAAGTTGCAAGACGTACTTAACTAGAAATATCACATCATTATATTCCGATAATCCGATATGAGCGTCTTTGTCAAATTTAGCTTTAATTTTGTTCAACTTGACGAGAATCTTAGGATTCAAGAATCATGATCTAACTATCAAAGGTCAGCAATCTCACCTGAAGATAATGTTTGACAGATCACTATCATTATAATATTCAACAAGTCTTGTGGTTGACTAAATGTTCACTGTAACAGGCACCACTGTCCATTAAACTTGTGTGATGTTCAGTGAACATCTACTCAATGTGATTATGTGTGCTGACTCACTAATAGTACTAGACACATAATACTCAACTACACCGAGCTGTTTTATCTAATTATAACCTGATTTCTACACTGTGTGATTCAGTGAAATAATGATTAATAATTTCGTAGCGCTGAAAATTAAACTGACACTCGTTATTTCGAACCTAATTTCTTAATTTGTCACACATATCCAAAAAAGAAGAAATATGATACATTTCTGTGATGTAGTAACTGTTGCTAAAATTAGGGAATTCAATCTTTATTTGGATAACCTGGTCAACAGACTGACTGCAGAGTTCAACGGATGAAATGTCCCACGCGATTGTCGATGTCATTTTCTGGGATCATTTTATCATGTTTATTATATCTACAAGCCGCCATGTCATTTCGCCTCATTGAATTAAGTATTTTATATGACATATTGAATCACCCTTGTACACATTATAAGTCATTATTATATGTGTATAAATTCAGTGTATCCACAATCCACATCCAGATGGTATGTATGTTCATGTTCTATAAAATATAAAATACCCAAATAATTCAAGAATCACATCCTATCCCAATCCGATTATCAGAATTTGTGAAACTATAGACATTAAATTTTATCTAGGCACTAACTTAAAGTTAATTAACAATCACATTATTTCTCAAACATCACAATTTTATTCAAGAACACAAATAATATATCCTCCAGTAATTTTCCAAACAAATGAAACAGTGGAGTGTGGACAGTAATATTTATCTTATAATTCACATTATTTCATGATGAGAGTATTAAGGCCAGAGGGGGGGGTAAGGGGTCAAAAAAATCGACCAAAATATTATTTTCTAAATCAATTTAATTTTCGATGACAAAAACATTGCTGCTATTCACAAATTTGTAGCTGCTTAACTTTTTTTTATAATTGAGGTTAACCGATTTTCACAAAATTGATTATACAACATTGAGGTTAATAAAATTGAGGTTAATATTTTATTACACTCCATAATTTTTTGTTTTTTCGGTCAGAAAATGTAAACTCTAAATTTTAGGTTCATAATTGTCAGAAAAAGTAATATCCAAACGTGATTAAATGAGGTTAACCTCTTAATTTAGGTATAGCGAAAATAGATTAGATGACAGAGTTGTTATTTTTATCGTAAGATTACGACATACAAATTTCTTAATAGATGTAGTGCTGATTTACTTCATTTTATCTCGAGAAAGTGTTGAAAATGAGGTTAACCATATCATTTGGTAGTTTAAGAATTATTTACACAAGATTCTTACCTTTGTTATGTACCACAATATCGCAGTGAGGTATCTATTTGTATTCCAATACCTCAAACATGATCATGAGACAAAGGTGATTAGGACTGACCATATATAAGTAGAAGAGTTCACCCATAAATAGCTAAAAAATGAGGTTAACCTCTCATTTGTTGAATATCGACCCAGTCAATCACATGTTAACCTCAAAAACTTAATTGTTACACTGGGCAAATGTTTCATTACATGTATAAAAATACATTGATAAACCAATTCCATTGTTATATGGTCTATAGCGAGGTTAACAATCATATTTTTACTACTACTACCAAATATCGTGATAGTTAACCTCATTTTTAGACAAATTTTGGTTTATGATATTGATTTTCTCAACATAAAGTATCTCAATAAACATCTTCTCACCTTAAAGCTAAAATTGTATGCGGACGCTACTAAATACGAAAAATAATGCACAATTTGAGATTATGGCAGTGAAATAAAAACACCAAAACTCTTTTTACTCAAAACAGTTTTTTTCATACAAACGTCCCTTAGTTGAGAATACTGGCCACACCCAGAAGCTGAAACTTGGCACAGGTGTTCCTTGGGTTGTCACCCACAATTCTATTGTACAAAATTTTGATATTTGCCTCTGTTATTGAGTTATGAGGTTAACTGTCGAAAAACTGTCGAATTTGGGGTAAAGTTAACCTCATATCTCAAGAACAGAAGTAAATATCAAAATTTTGTACAATAGAATTGTGTAAAACAGTCTAAGGAACACATGTGCCAAGTTTTAGCTCCTGGGTGTGGCCAGTTTTCTCAACTTAGGGCGTTTTAACTTTTTACAGTTTAAGTTTAAGTTTTACATGTAATTACATGTAAACCTCAATATTTGGCGCGCGATATCTTAAAAACGCAAGGTCAGATTTCGGTCCGGTTTTTTTCCTCTTGTTTGTCTCCAGCAGCTCTAATCAAATATGTGAAAACTGGAAAATCGACTTTTACCCCCCCCTCTGGCCTTAACCAGTTACAGCAGGCTTTGATATGTATTACTAACAATAACCGTGTGATATTATACAGTAAACAAATTACAAGACCAATACAATCTAGTGGATACTGGATATGACCACTAATACATGTGGTAATACCACTACCAGTTCTCAGATCATGGTTATAAACATGTCTGATGATCAGTGCAATTAAGAGATATATCTCTTATAATTATATATAATTATAAGATTGGAGTCAGCTCGTGTATAATTCCAATCAATACATTTGTGTTGGGTTCGTGGCCTAGGCCACAGGTCCCAGCTGGCCTAGTTAAAACGTGTTGTGTTTCACTAACTCGGATGTACACTGTACACTAGTTTTATCCTCTGCCCTGGACTGGCTGTAGATTAATTAGCCCAATGTTACACTCAGTGTAAATGGTAGTGTGTAGGTATTTGCATGGTTTGCTGGTCGTGGTTTAATGTTGGGATCGCTATTTATTTATTGTTTTTATCCCGGATATTCTTCATTTCTCCATTGCATTGAGCAGTCTCTTCTAAAATTTCCATCGTTGAGATGAGCAAATTTGACGGCGAAAATGTCTCAAATTTTGAAGATTTCGTTCGTCATTTTCAGATTAACCGCATTAACTCGAGAAATAGCAAAAAAGTGGTTGGTAATAAGGAAGAGTTCAATGCTTCTCAGACTTCCTTTGTCAAAATTACGAGAAATTACCGAAAAGAATAGACAACACGCCCCATGGTGGTCTCAATATCTGATGTTTCACGGATATTTTATACCATATGCTATGATAACATTAACTTATCTTCATATTATGAACTTATGTCGGACTGAGATTTCTAAAGACTTCCGTGTATCAGATTACACAAAATTGCTCTGCCATCGAGAAAACTTTGAGGGCCACTTAAATTGTCTGATCGAATTTTCGACTTTCCGAAAAAACTACTTGTGTGTAATTCTTAGGAAACTTACACTATACATAGATTAGTTTTAAAATTCTTCCTTCCTGTAAATCCTGCGTAATCTGCAAAATATAACATGTTTGCTCCATGTTTGCTCCTGCAAATTCATAAGCATACAATTTCGTTACATTTCCAAACTCCACCGAACGTCTCTATGTGCAGAATACATGTTGAGCGGAAATTACCTGAATTTGATTAGGTTTTTTGTCAAAGGAAAGGCAACAGCCCATGGCAAATTGAATAATTGTTTGTGGACTCAAATTGCAGAAAGCAGATTACGATGTTTTTACATAATTATGATAATGTTTGTTTCACTTCATTTACCGGTTTTCGAAATGGCACTGAACGTTTTCGAAACGCTGCTACAATGATTCTTAAACTTCGCGATAGATATAAAATATAAAATGTGAATTTAATTGTAAATGTGAAAATATATTCGAGCCCTAAAAAAGTAAAAAGGCGAAGGAATTTCAGTTTAGCTAGTCGGATAAACTTGAACCAGGCGGATTTTGTAAAGAAATTTTCGTTTTACAGCTACTCTTAACACGAATTACAGCCGCAGATTGGATTAGTAACGACTGTCATGTAACGACTGTCATGTTTCAGGGCTGTACTCAATGGAGGGAACAATGTGTAATTTACCTGCTATAGTGGCACTTAAGAAGAAATATAAGGTAAACATAGTTAGTATTTATTTAAAACTCTTTTTGATATTTTTGTTTCATTACATAACATAAGCGAATATCGCAATACTTTTTCAATCTTACTGTAGTACCTTCGTTGAACCTGAAAGCTTGAATACTGAACATACGCCAGATCACTCGACTATATCTTGTAGTCTGAATTTAGATGTAGTCTGAATTTTAGATTCAAGTCTAATTAAAACAAAGAATTCCAAATGTAACTTTCCGTTTCTAGTTAAAACACATCAGTTATATAGCAATAACATTGTTTTAAAGGTTGGCCCATATTTCAATCAGTCCAGTGATTGATTGTATATATAATACAAAGGGTACATATTGATCGTGTAATGGTGGTGTGTAGATTAGAGCTATTATAAGGATTGGTTATCATTAGAAATTGGCTGCTAATGACAATTGGAAATATTGTGCGCGGTCGCAGTTTCCACACGGCAAACTCCACATGGTTACCAGCTGGTTCAAAATATCATATTTCATGATCAGTAGAATACTGGAGTACGTGTGTTCAGTGTTACACTTCTTCTGGTTTTTTGTTATTCTCTACTAGAGAGAAAATTAACCTTTTTTCTTAATATCATGAATTATAATAATTGAGCTAAATGAGCCTGATACTCGTCAAAGAATTAACAGTCGGACCATGTAACCATGCAATGAATTCTACGAAAAGCTGTGTGTCTATCCTGGGCGATAAATTAAAATGGCGAACCATCAGTATTCTATAAATTTATTTTAACCTTTTACGGTACGACCTCTGCATAATGAGCTGACGACCACTTTGGAGCCTTAAAACAGTGTCAACAATGGCCTCTCTGTATCGTAATGGTATTGCTCGGGGTGCAGTTACTACTTTCGTGACCTCTATTTGTCACGTGATACTATATATAGTGTATATTTATCACGTGACATTCTAGTAACTACCAGGACAATTCCTCTAGAGAGGTTATTATCCCTCTCCAGGAGTGTCCATTTATTGAACTTCAATATTCAGACCATAATGTTATCTTAGAGAAAATAATATCAACATAATTTTATATATATGGGCTCTGGTAGTATCCGTTTTAATGTACAATTCATCTTGCTGGGCTGCCCCTAAATCAGTATTGGAAAAACTAGATATTGCTCACAGACGTCATCTGCGATCAATTTTGAATTACAAATACCCTCACATCATCTCCAACAAGAACTTGTATAAACGCTGCAATAGTGAACCATTGTCAGCTAAAGTGGCTCGTAGTCGGTGGAGGATGCTCGGACATGTACTGCGTGGGCCTACAGATGGCCCAGCCTATTCGTCGCTTGTTTTTGCTGTCAACACCTTACAGCTTCAAGGGCGGCGTGGAAGACCGCAGTCAAACCTTTTCTCACTGATTCTACACGACCTTAGTGTCCGAAAATTATCGTTAAATAATTTATTTGATTTGGACTATTTAACGTTAATTGCTCAGAATAGAGTTAAATGGAGAAGTATGCAAATTGCATGACTTTTGTTTGAGAAAGATTAGGGGACAGAAATGTTTACTTTGTTTACTATCTGTTTCTTAGAGCTTTTGTTTATATATATTAAGGAGGATATATCCTCTTAGGATATATATCCTTAGAGCAAATATTACCAGTATGTACATGTGAAAGTGTGAAATTAGAAATGATGCAGATCTGAAAAATTCGCCTGTCACTGTGACCGTATTTAGGTGTATCATAATATATTGCTTATATATATAATTAATTGGAAACATTGACCACTCTTTATTTGGTTGAGTTTAAAACTGGACAAATAAATGTGTTTAAAAATTGCCACACAGTACGAATCGTTTCATCTTTTATCTTAATTTCAACTTCCGCCGACCTCTAAAAGTTTGCCATGACAAGTTATTAGCAACGTTAAAAATATTTTTAAAACGATAAATGTTTACCAAAAGTTGTTATGTTTTAAATTTATGTACGTGACGCAAAATATTAATACATGCGGCTAAGATTGCAGCTACCAATTCTTGTCATGATGTTTCTATAAAACATATTGCTCTAAATTCCCCTAAGTTGATGAATACAAATTGCAGGCGTATTTGTTTATCGACGAGGCACACAGCATCGGAGCCATGGGAGAAACTGGACGAGGGGTGAGCGAGCATTTTGGAGTAGACACTGCAGATGTGGACATCATGATGGGAACTTTCAGCAAGAGTTTCGGAGCTTGCGGTGGCTATCTTGCTGGCACCAAGGTTTTTATTTACATTTTCAATAATATCACCATTTCAAAATTCAAATACGTAGTTTATAAATATTCAAAATATCTTTTATAAAAAGTTTTTGTCATTTTATATTGTCCATCGCCTCATGCTGAGCATATCAAATATATTATTTACAAATATATCTACAAAACTCGCCACTGTAACACCAGTAAACAACTCTAAACTTTCTACAAGTCAGTAGATTCACCAAAAGTAATCTCATCCATCATATCCCAACTCTCACCCCAATCTCCTGCCTCATTTAACTCATCTAAAAAGCTCTTCTCGGTACCCCCCAGAGTGGAGGGTTGGAGTGCGAGACTCTGGTTTGGAGATCCCTGCGTCGCCTCCCACATGTCATCTTCCTTGTTACGGCGCAGCTTGCGCGCACGCTCATACACTCCGTTGAAACTGTAGTCTCTGTTTCTGTAGGAGCTTAACATCTTTCGGGTCCGAGACTGTCGGTCTCTGAGATTGGCAGCAAGCTGCTTGAGATTGTTCAGCTCGTCTTGCATGAGGTCCAGCTGGTTGCACTTCGAGGCTGGAGGGTCGGAGTCATCAGAATTAGAAGAGAAACAATCAGACGAACATTCATCGATAACATACTCTTGATCAGGATCAGAACTAAGAGATTGAGATAGCTCTGGGATAGAAAGCTCTGGAACCTGAATCGGAATGTGTGATAATTCCTGAACGTGATCTGATTCGATAACCGCTGGAGAAGTGTCCTCGTCTGTTATCATGATAACAGGGGCGGGTTTGTCCGGGGGAGGTTGTTCGACTACTAACTTAGTAACCGGTAGTACTACTTCCATTCTCTCTTCACTTGTACTAACTTCCGCAAATTTTGAACTTCTCACACCAATCGCCAGCTTTTCGTGAGAGGGTTGCCTTTTTGGGACTGCCCTTAGTTTTGTCAACGAGTGATCTCTCTTGATTACCGGACTTTCTTTCTTCGAAACTTTCCTCTTCTTGAGCTGCTCCTTTTTTACTAACAGCACATTCTGTGCTTCAGCTTCAGCCCTAGCTTCACTTTCCCTTCTTAACAAAGCCTCTTTCTTTTCAGCAAGTTGCTTCCTGTACAACTGATCCTCATCTACAGTAACTTTTCTCCTCCGAGGTTTGGGCCCCCTTTTCACCGGGGCCTGCTCCCCAAATAGAGCCAGTAACTTGTTCACATTTTTAGATTTCTTGAGACTCCCAAAAACCTGACGGTCTTCTTGGGGTTCCTCTTCTTCGTCCTCTGATATCGCCAGCGTTGAAGTGACCAGCGTAAGGGTTTAAAAAGTGAGAGAGAGAAAAGTAGTTAGGGTCCTGGGTGGTGTTGGGTCCGGGGTGGTAATGCTAGGTGTAGCGGTGCTGGTGAACTTGCTGAGACTCGTTCATCAAACCTCAGGTAGCACTACTGCAGAATAAATATGTTTTACTTGCTGGAGAGAGATTGAGAATGTAATGAAATTTAATCTAGAAAATTACAGTTTGTCATGCTCGGCGCGTTGTATAGTGCACCGAGAATTAAAACTTTACTGCAGTATATAATACTGTATTAGATATTCGCTATTCAGTTTTATTCGGGTGATGGCTAAGAGTTTTATACTTTAAAAAAGTCTAGACCTCTTAGCTATGATGAGAAGCTACCAACATTATTCAAACTGAACGTTAATCACTGTATGCCTTACATGTTCATATTTTTAGAATATCAACATATTCTAAAAATAAACTATAAATGATAACGGAAGCAAAAAGAACAAATAAATTCAAACATTTATAACATATTTCGGCATTATATAACATAATTCAAAAGAGATTTAATTTTATCAAAGCTAAGCCATTCAAGCGACTCTCAGTCTGAAATATCAAAATAATGCGCAATGATATCCAAAGACATAAACCAGTGAGTGTACCTCAAAGCTCAAACTATTACGACATACTTAGATGTAAGTAACAACGCGAATCAGGACAAGAGCAACGAAAGAGAAAATTATCTAAACGAAATGATCGGAAACAAACATTAGTGTTGGGTATTAAACAATCTTCATTGTATTACATCTATGCTGGAATGATAAGAGGCCACTATTTGACGGTAATTGCCTCTGATGAAATCGTTTAATCAGTATCTGTGTCACAGATATATCACTTCTTGTCTTTCAGCTGTAGAATCGAATACCAACGGAAAGTACAATTTCACCCATGTCTTATTGATAAAATTACCCAATTGCTTCACATGACCTTAATAAACTTATTTAAGCTATATGCTACGAACATGATCTTATAATACCGTGTGCTTAATTCGATACCCATCAGCTGGTAGCCAGCTTCAACGAACGAATGCTCTGCAGTCTCCTTCGAGGCAATTTTATAATCACTCGATCAAATAATATGTTAATATCAATAACCCTATTATACCTCCTATAATTAGTATTACAGTCCTGATCAGTCGATTCTTACAAAGGATTACACAGGATTTACACAGGATTACACAGGATTTACACAGGATTATGAACCCCCTAAGGCTTGGAAAGGTGTAAAAGCAGTCTCGCAAACGCATATTCTAGAAATAAAGTCATAATTAATATGGATGACCTCTGTGCTGGCGTAGCGGCAAACAAAGCTCTAGAAACCCTAACATGGGTTTTGCAATTAGCGTAAGCCGTAAACCTTCTTGTGTTTGGTTCTTGATCAGCTGAAAATGGAGGATGGCTCATGATTCAAATAGAAAAGCATTTAACTTTCAACGAAACCTTTATCTCCCAAACAGCCGGACGAAAGAAACATAAATTAAGAAAAATATTTAATTACGAATAAACGCTACCTAATCGGTCTCTAGTGACCACTCAAATAACTGCTAAGCACTGCGCTATAACAGGCTCTAGACAGACAAGCCAAATTAAGTAGCACACTAAATATGGAAACGTAAATATTTAAATATATCCAGGAAGCAATCAAAGCCAAAACGAGCCAAGGACAAACTAACCCAAACTAACAAGATCACAAGCATATAATTACTTGAGCTGACTAATGAGTCAACAACATAACAACCAAAGTTAACGATGAGATGGTTCGTGTCGTAGGTAGAGAAGAGAGACGTCTCCCGGCCGTGCTATCTCTACAACTACAATTACCAAATCAACACTGACAGGACATGTGTAGTGGAGAGTGAGGGAGAATGGTGAGGTGTGTGTAGCAATTTACCAACTTTACTTAGTGCTACGTATTCAGGACAGCAGCCTGTAGTTGAGGGAGCAATAATGAGAGTTCTATTGGCACACAGTCCTGAGTACACCATGTAAATATTGTGTAAAGTAGCCGGGGCATACTCTCTGTTATTATTATAGTCCGTACAATGCAATGTAGTAAAGTGACACGTTATCATACTTAAACGTTTGAAATGTGTTCATATCCCGTGTGGCCGTACGTTACAGCAGAAAGACAGAACGTTACCTCAATTTAGTAGGACTAATAATAGAGTATTAGTGCATCTCCCTGGGTTCTACGTCAACGGGTCAACCTTATATATAATCACCTTAATCCATTATTCGGGTACCAAAATGGTAGCGTTCAACCAATAACAGTGACACCTCATATTAAATATCGAATAAAGACTGTAGTACTACTAGTACGCCAACACAAACACACGAGACGAAGTAAAGAGAGACTGACATACTAAAATATATACACGAAACACAAAAGAGGGAAGGGAGAGGGTACCCTCGCTCTCAAACTGCAATTAGACAAGCACGTTAGTTCCGCAGTTCGGTCTACTCGTACTGAGAGCGAGTTAGGGTGCTCCCGGGCACACTTACAAACTGTACAATAAGCATTAAGCAACTAGGAGAGAGGGAGAGAGAGAGAGAGGAGAGAGGGAGAGAGAGAGAGAGAGGGAGAGAGAGAGGGAGGCACATATTATATAACATATACGAGAGAGAGAGAGAGAGAGTTTGTACGTTTGCTGGAGGTATTTGTACGGGTTCACCGTACGAACTACGGACTCTCCCGACACACAAGTTTAACACTGTCACCTAGTGCTTTTACCAGTCATCGCCGCATATTTTACAAAACTTAACATTCCCTGAATTTTACTTGACCTATGCCAGGGCACTCGGACAGGAATGACGGAGATATATTATAAGTTGTATGATTTAACAGGTTGTGACGTCCGTCTTGTTTCAGGACACGATAGCGCACCTGAAGCGAGAGTCCCATGCGCACACGTACGCATCGCCAATGTCTCCTCCAGTCGCCAGACAGATTATCGCCTCCCTGACTATGATCAGTAGCACTGAGGAGGGCAAGGGAAGATTACGGCAACTGGCTGAGAATACCAGGTTTGTTTGTTTGTTGGTTTGTTCGTATGTTTATGAGATTCAGAATTATATCAACTGGGCGGCGATCGGCCTGTCACTCCGCCATATTTGCATGCTTATAAACAGTAAAGACTGGGGTCCCCAGGTGGTATGGAGTATGATAAAATACTCCATCACGGATCGGGAAATTGAGCGGCCATCCACAAAAGAAAAGCGGCCGCATTTCTTGTTGTTATTGTTCACGTCATGTACATGTATTATTATGGTGTGCTTTGTAAATCATTCAACTGTGTGGTTATGTTATACTGTTGGATAAAAAGGTTTCGTTGGATAAAAAGGTTTCGTTCATGTTTTTCTTATAGAACGAAATATGTAGAGTGATGAAAGTATGCGACTGTTAACGAAGACATACCAATAGATACATTGTCTGTGATAAGCAATTCTGAATCAGACTAGTCTACATTTTCCAAATCACCTGTAGCAACATTCTGGCTGGTCAGTGGTCACACAGTTCGTTTCCTTAAATAAATGAAGTTATCGCAACCCTGGATCAGCAAACATGTGTAGAAATGTCAGGATCTTCATTTGTGAAGCCAATTTATGCTCTGGATGAAGTAATGACCCTAAATAACTGGAAACTTTATCTCATTAAAACTAATTTAAAGCTTCAGTTCTTACAATTAGTCATGGCAGTCTTACTCTTGTCTGCTTCTTTCGTTAATTAATTAATTGGCCAACCAGTCTTATCATTCTGCACTCTACAGCAAACTATTAATCAGATTATAAATCTTTAATATCTAGCTAAACCTCATGACTCCTCACTCCTGTTAATGACAGTTGAACAGGGAATTCTAGAGACTGCATGCCTACCATGATAACTGGTATTCAAATCATGCACAGTAAGGAAGGGAGTATTGTGGTAACTAACCCTGTCACATACCTTTGAAATATTAATCGTTTCATAACCAGTCGTTGTTTTTCCTGAATATTTCATTATCAAGTGCCCACTATAACAGCCTTCATAATACTCGCATACTTAGTGGTAACCTTACAAATTTGTATTTATAAAAGCTAAAGTGACCAGCTGTTGACGGGTAAGAATATTAGAATATTTTTCTGCATCTCAGTTGATGGACAATTTACGCGGTTCAGACTTCACCAGCTCCGGTTATTATTAATTTTTTAGTAAGCTCTCAAATTCTTTCTTCCGGGTAAGTGTAGAGTAGGCTGAACTGTACAGTGTAGATGCTATTTCTTGAGCCCTGATTTGGGGTGGGAAAGTAGCATTGAGTTTCATTAGATAAGCAAATTGTGACGTCATGGTTATAAATAGAGTCGTTAGCCTGCACTTTTTTGTCCACATTTTTAAAGCCTGACTGGATTGTCGTTTTGAGCATGCAAAAATGTGATGATCCGTGATTTGTGGGAATGTTTGCAACAGTTCGTTGATTTTATTTCAAAAAGTAATTGTACATAGGAATACGCACTACGCAGTATAGAAATGCTGCACTTTTAATTATTCTGCCTTATGCGATATTTAAAATATGTTAGGCAGAGAAATTCAGAACTTTTCGATGGTATTTCGAATCTGATAAGTTGAAATATGCGCTCGTGAAGTAATTCGACTTCATGGAGGGTTAAAGGTTGAAAGATTGGAAGGTTGAAAGATTGAAAGGTAAAAGGTTCCAAAATTTGATTTCAGAAACCTAGTTGCAGGTTTTTTAGTATAGATTCGAAATGTTATCATTGACATTATCGAGCATTTGGAATGAAGTATCTGCATGCAAATCTAATAAATTCTACCACATGTTTTTATAGCGCGATAAGAACCTTGCCTACGACTGCACCTGCAGCTGCCCCCATATAACATGACTTGTTTCATCACATTTCATGTTTGATAATGGACGGTTTTGTAGATAGAAATGTTGATAACTGTGATATTAGTGTTGCAAGCTAGGACTTGACTGCAACCAAAGAGCACGAGACTACATGTACTAATAACTGTAATTTTTTGTGTATGACCGGCAGTCACTGTGTCCTCTACTGACCGGCGGCACTGTGTCCTCTACTGACCGGCAGTCACTGTGTCATCTACTGACCGGCGGTCACTGTGTCCTCTACTGACCGGCGGTCACTGTGTCATCTACTGACCGGCAGTCACTGTGTCATCTACTGACCGGCTGTCACTGTGTCCTCTACTGACCGGCTGTCACTGTGTCATCTACTGACCGGCAGTCACTGTGTCATCTACTGACCGGCTGTCACTGTGTCCTCTACTGACCGGCTGTCACTGTGTCATCTACTGACCGGCAGTCACTGTGTCATCTACTGACCGGCTGTCACTGTGTCCTCTACTGACCGGCTGTCACTGTGTCATCTACTGACCGGCGGTCACTGTGTCCTCTACTGACCGGCTGTCACTGTGTCATCTACTGACCGGCAGTCACTGTGTCATCTACTGACCGGCTGTCACTGTGTCCTCTACTGACCGGCTGTCACTGTGTCATCTACTGACCGGCAGTCACTGTGTCATCTACTGACCGGCTGTCACTGTGTCCTCTACTGACCGGCTGTCACTGTGTCCTCTACTGACCGACTGTCACTGTGTCCTCTACTGACCGGCTGTCACTGTGTCCTCTACTGACCGGCGGTCACTGTGTCCTCTACTGACCGGCTGTCACTGTGTCCTCTACTGACCGGCGGCACTGTGTCCTCTACTGACCGGCGGCACTGTGTCCTCTACTGACCGGCGGCACTGTGTCCTCTACTGACCGGCGGCACTGTGTCCTCTACTGACCGGCGGTCACTGTGTCCTCTACTGAATTAGGACTGAAGTTGTCACGTACTGTTGGTCATTGGCGGATTAAATCTGTAGTTCAAGAACCCTATTATTAGTAACTACAGTACCCTAGCCTGGTCTATCAGAGTTTTTCTTCAATACATTTTCAGAAGAATAGTTTCTGAATTGTCCCATCCGAATGCAGAACAAAACACACGACTTCACACCACTATTTCAGGTACTTCCGGGATGAGTTAAGAAAGCGAGGATATATTATCTACGGAGATTCTCACTCGCCGGTCATTCCAATGATTCTCTTTACCCTCGCTAATATATGGTGAGTACCGAACAAGTTCAGTATTTGAAACATTTTGATTAACTGTGTTTATAAGATAACTTTGTGAAGCCTCGAAATTAACCCACATAACACATTCGTGATCTGTTATTAATTCCGAAACCAGGCTGCAGAATATCAAACTAGGCAGTAGATAATCTGAATTAATACGTGACCTCTAATACATGACCTGGATAAGAAACATCATTAATTAAGCCGGAGTATGGAAATGCTACATCCGAATGCTGGCGTGTGTATTAAAACTCCAGACTTTCCATCGAATTTTAGCAAAGTTTTCATATAATAATAATATCTCACTAATTACTCACTCGGAATATAAGAGTATCACAGAAAGTACACAACTCATATTTATTTATTCTGTCCTTTATTCACTACATATCATATTTGTGATTTATCTCTCGATCATTTTGAAAAATGTCAAATTTGCGGCTAGGAATAACTGAATATAAGATAAATCAAAAACGGCATATCAAATATTCCAAATGTAATGATTGTTGCTTATCTGGGGATTGTTCACCTGCTTTTCGCTGCTTAGGCTTTGGTTTGTCTTTCCGCCAGAATTGGCCATAGTGTGACATTTATCATTTGGCGAATGAAGCGATTCGATGTAAAGAATACCGTAATCAACCAGATACTATTGTGGCAAATTTTGTACCAGAATGAAAGAAAAGAAGTTTCATTAGAAGGAATGCGCGCAAAATTCTATTGCAATAAAAGTGTACAATTAATTGTAAGCATCTACCATAACATTTAATAATTTTGCCCCGCGCGCTCTTTTGTTGGATCGCGCGATCCTGGGCCGTTTTAATAATTATAAACGACTTCAACCGTTAACTTTTAATACAAATGAAATGGTACCAGCTATTCCTACTTCAAAGCACCTGGCTTTATATTTCACTGATAAGTCTAACAAGAAAATTAAAGTTCACTCAGTGTGAATATAGCGATTTAATGAATTATTGTTTGACATGCCATCAAAGAGACATTAAATCACCTGATTATGATGAAGTGTTTGCAATGAGCTGACTCTATTGTATTAAGTGGTAGTCGTACAGCCGTTACACTCGCGACAATTTCAAAGTGTTGGACAAGCACAGAGATTTTTTATGAAAATGAGGTGATATCTCTATGTCACCCCATTACAAATATCGTCTGATTTTATCAACTCAATTATCTTATTAAACTTGCTGATTGGGACAGACATCGGGTGATATGTTAATCAGGCAAAATGAAAATTGGTTGACTGATGATCAGGAAATCTTACTTGATAGAAATATCCAAATGATGCAACAACATCACAATTAATATTATGGAAGTTTTATAAAGTTCTAGTTGCGACCAAATGTTCGATCGCGAGCACGCATCCGTGTTATCTAATATTATAATACTTAATAGTATTAAGTATAAAATATGTATTATCTGGTATTCATCACAATATATTCGAAATGATCATGATAATGTTACATATATCCTGTATTATGTATAATATTATAACATTTTCACGTTTCAGTGCGTTTGCAAAGGAGTGTCTAAATCGAGGGTTAGCAACTGTTATCGTAGCATTTCCTGCCACCACCATGTTGGGTGCCAGAGCGAGGTTTTGTATGTCAGCATCCCATACTCGGGAACATCTCGACAGGGTAAATAATTGGGACACGTTTAATGACTCATAATGACTCATAATTAATGGCTCATTAGTTAATTAGTATTTAATTAGTAATTAGTCGAACCAGCCTGTTTAACTAACCGGGCAATATATTAATGTACGGCCTCTCATAGATAATGTGTTGGTGCGTTTCACACTTAAACATTTCCTTTAAATAATAAAAAGGCACATTTTTGCGGGGTGAACAACTCTTTCACCTCGCAAATGTATACTTTTTACTTTTTCCTTCTTTTCCTGTCTCTTGGGGTTATCTCAGTTAGATTGCTTGACAAATGACAGCCCTTCTAGATAACAAATTATGATCACCCAGGTGCTGGCCATCCTAGAGGAGTTGGATCCTATGATAAATCTCAAAATGTCAGCTAAAAGACCTACCTCAGCCTTTATGGACTTTTGGAGACATTTCTTTACTCGACCAGCCATTCCTACCAGGGCTGTAGATGAAGAAGGTTGAGGAATCATTCCATGCTGTTTTACTGAAAAAAGCATTCCTTCCTCCTACGACCCCACAGTGATCGGAATTATTTGAATTTCATCGATATCGAATCGCCCGGGTCTTGATGTGATATCGAAAAACACTGTATTGTAATTGATTATCGATTTGTAAACTGTTTGTAAATTATGTCATTTTTTATCATTCAAGCCTGTGCCAATAGATTTATAGTTTATTGACAGCTTAGAATACTTAATTGATGCTAATAAATCGATTAATTGATTCAACCAAGCCAATGTTGATCAGTTGGTTGATATTGATTGTTTCACAGATGATATGAGTTCTAGAAATTTTCCTTGCATCGTTTCTTGATGGAAGAAGTTTTGGCCTTTTCCATTGTGTTTGGTAACAGTTAAGTGTATTTGTGCCTAAAAGTAAAAGTATAGCAGCAATGAACCAGAATAAAGAGCGAATTTTGATATAGATCAGATATTTTCTTAAATCGTCAATGGAGTTCGACGCAATGAATTTTAAAAGTTTTGATAGATTTAAGTTTTATGGAATTGTAGTTGTATAACGTATCCTCTAACCCTCTGATTAACGAGAGTCATTCAGGAGCTAAAAATGTCATTGCTACCTAATCGACGAAAAGTAGAAATAGAAGACTTTTTATGATAATCTATCAATTTTTAATTTGATTTAAAAAGATGGATGATTCTTATAAAGCTTCACTGCAATAAAATTAGCCCCCTCACATGCATAATACTAATGATTGTTTTACATGTGTCATGTACGATATTGATATTATATTTATCACAATTGCAGAGGCCACATATTTTGAATTTTCGTAATTTATATCAGAAATGAGAATATGCCCTGGACTTGATCATCATGTTTAATAACTGAGAAAAATTGTTTTACTCGACCCCCGGGCCCCAAAACTGTCACTTATGAACAGTAGAGCTCCTCTTGCCCCCGGAGGTAGCTGCAGAAAGGCTGAGAGTAGAGGGAGAGGTGAGGGAGGAGAGCTTGTTCTTGCTCCTTCTGCCGCTCAGTTTCACCACGCTCGTAATGTCCTCTATGAACCTCGCTTCTTTGCTGTCCACCCCTAGACTTGTCCGGGTGGACGCGTAGCTCGCCGTGCCTATTCGTTCTTGTTCTGGGAATTTAGAGAGTCGCGTTAACATGGCCGGTAGAATTGACGGAGTTAATGCTGCTTATCTTTTATTTTACGTCACTGAAATCTAAAACATAAAAGAAGATACTCTATCGTGTTAATGATCAATTATCCTCTGACATGGTAATAACCAAGGAGGCAAACATGTGATTCTCTACTTTAAACTTTATTGACGGGTTATAACCAGACCTCTGAGCGCTTTGACAAACTCCTTGGTCTGCAGACTGTTGTGACACAGTGGAAAATACCGGATGTAATTGTCATTCCCTGAAAGTAAAACGTTCTTAGTTCTTAGTTGACTACAATTAGCTATTCGCCATGCTTTCAGCTTCGCTACCATATTAAATTGGATGAAGCTACTTGGGGCATGTGAAATATTCGACATCAGCCAGCCGGACATATCTTTAAAGCTACTAACTGATCACTTTGACGACCACATAAGTAGTTCTGTCAGTAAGAAAAGGGCGGGCACTGTTCCTCAGAGCAGTGTTGGTCAGGTTAGCCACCACCCCTTGAAGCGTGCACAGATCCAAGTCTCCCGGCTTGTCGCTAAGGAAACAGAGTTGTTTGATCACGTGCATCAGGTTTAGTATTGAACAGTCTGGGTTCAATAAACTCTGATCCAACTTCTGAACTGTAAAATAAGAATTATTATAGCCAGAAGGTGACAAAATTTAAACTTATTTGCATTTGGAATTCAAAGTGTAGCACTGTGGTGTCATTATCAAAAGTTCAAGTTCAACATAATTGATTATCCAAGAAGATTTGATTATTGTTCAGTGACTTGAATGTGGATAGCACACACACGACGGGTAACTAATAACTATGGATGACAGGAGAGCCAGTTGAAGTACTGAAAGTTAGATTCCGGACGAAGAAACTGAAAGCACCTCAAAAGGGAAAATCATATTGTCCAATTCTCGTCCCATTTTCGAAGATGGTGAATTTCAACTTTAAAATGCCTGGACGCAGATATTTATTATCTGCAGACATATTAGTATTACATACCATTATTATACATATGAACCTGCAAATGCAAGAATGGGCTAAGTAGTTTCTGGAAGTTTTGAGATAAACGAAAAAAACTATCCCATTTCTTCAGGAATTTTTTTGGTCTACGTTACCTACCCCGCAGAATGTTCTATAAATCAAAATGGGTGGGCCAAGTTACGTAGACCAAATCAGTTTATTGGAAATAAGTTGGGCCAAGTAACTTGGCCCATATCACCCTGCTTTTAAAAAGGAGTGAAGACCAAAAAAGTGTAATTACTTCGTGGGCTATGTTAGCTAACCCATTCTTGACCTGCATATCTTAGGTGGAAGTCGAGATCCATGTTATACTTATATAGCACGTTATTGCATTCTACAAAAAAAACTGATTTAAAAAAAAAGAAATTTAAATCATCTTCAAATTTCACATGCAGATATGATGCGTCTATGGATCCTAATGACCTCTAGCCACAGAATGAAAAAATGACCCAAGTAACTTGGCCCATTGTTGCATGTGCAGGTTCATATTATGCTCCTAGTTAGATGTATACAAAACGTTTTCTGTTCGGAGGATGACAGGGACTCTATCATATTAATTAATTAACATTAAAAATTTGTTTTATCATAAGTTATTTATTTTATTTTAAGGCGTTGTTAGTGGCGATCCGGTTAGGCTCAAGTTCAATCAACAACAAGCTTACCTCCGTGATAAAGAACAACAAACATATCGCACTATCCGGTATATATCTGCATGACTCTCGTAACAAGCAACTAACAGTGTTAGTAACACTACCCCTCAAAATCTACAATCTAACCACTAACAAAATAACAAACCTGCAATGTAACAAGCTGGCGCTGATTAAAATACAGGCCAAAGTGCTCTACTCAATCACTCCTTATAGTATCATGTATTTAACAGGTCAACGATTTTATTTTTAGAGGTCAAAGATTATACAGGACAGCTTTTATGGTGTGTGTGTGTTTTTTCTCAACACATCATGCTCGCTTTTACATCTTGATGTTAAAGTTTTTTAGATTAAATAAGGCAAAAACACAGTGTTTCCAACAGTATAAAGTTCAATTATAATAATAAGAATGAAACTGTTACAGGATATAATCTTATCTACAAAATTGACTGAAGCATGGGAAGAAATACAGAACCATCACAAGCTATTCTCAACGTTGAACACAACATATTTATTCCCAACAATAGTAATAAACGGCATGCAATTGCCATGGTAATTAGTAAAATATTATAATCTTGTTAGCGAGAGTAAATTTTGCAGACAATAATTTAATGAAATAACAAACAAATTAACCTACAGTTCCATAATTATAACAAATTTTACGTGGCCAAAGCTTTACGTTCGTTTTCAAGTTCCCAACTTCAAATTCATAAGCGGGCAAATCTTTACACTCTGTAATAGCCGTAGCAGTAGATTTTCGTGAAAAAATAGTAAATAGCAGTATCAATAATGTAGAACTTGTGACACCACTACACTGTGACACCACTGTGACACCACTACACATTACACAACTAGGAAAGCATCCCTAGGAAGTAGGATAGCGCCCTGAAATAGCACCCAATTTACATCTCGTTATTGACGCATTATATAAATTCGATATAATCCTTAGTGAAAGTAAATGAAGACTATCGGTATCATGTGTGACATTTAGGTGAGAAGCAGTTCCAGAAAGATTGTACAAAGATTTCTTAAAAGAGTTTTGATTTACAGAATTCAAATATTTCTCGAAGGGTTCCAGCAGTTTTTACATAAATAATCCCTGTAATTTTGGAAGTTGGTACGAGTTTTGATCAGAATTGAAGAATCCTTGGAATCTAAGAAGGGTTGCACGAGTTTTGTAAACTGTCCGGGTCGACCATTCCGAGCATTGCGTTCTGTATCATTGCAAACGTTGGAATAGATTCTCGGCTATCCATCTGAGACTGCGGGAAAATAACGTAGGAGTTAATCGGAATAGCTCATATCCTTGTTAAATTCGTGAAGAAAGTATTCAATATAATATGGCAAACATCACAAATTGCGAGCATAACATACTTTTGCTTTGTTTACCAAATGTCAATTTTCCATCAGGTTTACAATAAACATAGCAAATTTTCACTCCTCACATGTTTCCTTTTCTACTACCTTCAATAAACCAGATGGTACGGAAATTTACAGTGGTAATCGATTGTGAATATGTCGAGTGTAACTTAAACTACGTCATAAAGTTGCATTTGTTGTTGGTGTGCCTATTATTTATGGAAGCTAATAAATGCTGGAAATTGTTCTCCGGATTTGGGCCCACCTCACCTTCCACACTACCGCCACTCTCAGAATCTGAGTAGTAGGGGATTATTGCAAAATCTAGTGGAGACCAAACTTCTGATTCGCTTTGTTCTACCTAAAATGTAGAGATTTGTCTTGAAAAATCATCGTTCATAGATTGAGATGACCCCAAATCACGTCGACTTTAACAAAAACAAAAGAGAAGCAGGTTGTCATCATACTCAGTTGGGTAATGGGTATAGCACACATCTGCACAACAGAATATATCGCTAAACTGTTGACACTAGATTTTATAAAAGAAAAACTTAAGCAGTATAAAATTAAAAATACCTGATTATTCCGGACTATTTCGTTGAGGGAGATTTCGTCAGCATTGAGTAGTCCAATCTGATGATCGCCATCATCAACAACCAGATCTTGAGACTGAGGTGACCATAACTTCACCACTTTTTCTAGACCTGCAAGTTAATGTGTAGAAGACTTAGGGGCATTGCAATAAAGTACCGGTTCATTTGTAGCCTCATGATTCTTATGTGATCCGTACAATCTGATTGCTACTAAGGCAGGACCTTAGGATCATAGGATGTGTACTACTGTGCGAGTCACGAGATCAGGTCTTCAATGTTAACTAATTCTGTCACGAGTCGAACAAACGTGCATTGCCTACCTAGTTCATAAGTACATACCCGTATAACAATGAACATAATCTGACCTGAAGAAGCTATGATGGGAAGGTGAGGATTGGGCTGAACACAGTTCACCAGAGAGTGGTCGCCTTTGTAAACCCTCAACACTTCACACGAGTTCCTGTCCCAGAAGAAAATGTGTTTGTCGTCGCTCCCCGCCATGATGTACTCCTGGGAGACAGTCGAATAGGGAATTGGGCTAGGATTATGAAGTTAATTTAATAATACTCCGACTAATCCAGAGACTTGGAAAAGAGATGAAGGCTTAAAATGTGAAAATCCGTTCAGTAGGTCATAAGTAACATCTTACTATGTACATCTAAATTAAAACAGTGTAGGAACGTGAAACTATGTACAAATTGATAAAAACGTATCATATTTATTCGTACTTGGTCAGGACCAAAGAAGTTAGCCTCTTTGATATCAGTTTTGCAGTTGCAATGTCCCGTATACCTCTGAACATAATCCGCACAGTCAGACAAGTCTGGTCGAATTGGCGGGTCTGAAAATGTACACTTTTAATACAATAGTCAGGATTATTTTCATGGCAGGATAATCATATAAAATTATCACTTTAATGGCAAAAACTGTTACCAACAATATTAAAACTATTACCAATATGAATATACTCAAATTTATGTAATAGTTTTAAAACCAATTTTATGATCAAAAGCTTTTTAATCGTCGGAAGTCAGAACAAGGGAGAACCTTTCTGGTTGTTTTTGATGGCTGTACTGATTTCATCAGATATAGTCTTCAGGGCACTGTCAGTTTCAGGTGTTCTGGAGAATTTGGTTTGGAAGTGTTTTAACTTGATCTTTGCTAGTTTGCTGTACTTCATTGCGTGAAGACTCTGGATCTGTAACGGGATGAACAGTGATTGAATTATTTACATTACTCACTCGTATCTACGAAAATTGAAGTGTTCCAAATATTTAATTATAGTGAATCTCATAGTGGGTCATTGTTACTGGTTACTGGATGTACCTGTCTAAAGTGAGCCTTCTCATTATCAGGATCAATGTTAAGGGCGGTGGAGGAGTCCCTCAGGGCTGCGTACTCGTCTCCCTTCCACTCCCTTTTAAGTAACGCTTGAGCTCTGTTGTTAAGCAAAACCACGCTATGCGGGTATCGAGCTGAAATAGTGGGATTTGATGTTACAAATGTTTGTGCTGCTAGCGGATATGATGCTTCAAATTTAAGCAACAAGCTTCAAATTTGGGGTGATTGGGGGGCTAATTGTAGTAAATTATTACCAAGGCATTTGGAATACGCGGTAATTGCTCGGTGATAATCCTTTTGTTTGTAATGAGAGTTACCCTCTTCTTTTACTTCCGTTGTATCAGTGTCCAGTTCGACCAATGATCTGGGTGGTAATGGCCTGAAGAATAAGGGGTTAAAAATAGGACGTGCAATAATGGAAAGCCATAATGGTAAGCCACGTATATTAAAATACAGCAATTTTTCTGACTGATAAATTATAATATGAACGTTTGGAGACCAATTTATAGGGCTTGTTGATCGTTTGAAATATGTAGAAAAAGAAGTGGTTTTAGTTGCTGATTAAGACTGAGCATTTACTAACATGCTCGGAGATTCAACATCTGAAGCCATCTTCTCAAGCTCGATTACTTTTAATTTGCCTTCCACATCATACAAATAGATCTGAAGAATAAAACTTACAGATCAGGAAAAAAAACAATTATAATATCTATAATGGCCAATGGGCAAAATGTGGTCTTAATTGGTACTATAATATGTCACCACAAGTCAGGGCACCTGCACACTGCCAGCAGGTGCCTCGACTTGTGCACAATGTCAGTAGGTGCACAATGTCAGTAGGTGCACAATGTCAGTAGGTGCACAATGTCAGTAGGTGCACAATGTCAGTAGGTGCACAATGTCAGTAGGTGTGCAATGTCAGTAGGTGCGCAATGTCAGTAGGCGCACAATGTCAGTAGGTGCACAATGTCAGTAGGTGCACAATGTCAGTAGGTGCACAATGTCAGTAGGTGCACAATGTCAGTTGGTGCACAATGTCAGTAGGTGCACAATGTCAGTAGGTGCACAATGTCAGTAGGTGCACAATGTCAGTAGGTGCACAATGTCAGTAGGTGCACAATGTCAGTTGGTGCACAATGTCAGTTGGTGCACAATGTCAGTAGGTGCACAATGTCAGTAGGTGCACAATGTCAGTAGGTGCACAATGTCAGTAGGCGCACAATGTCAGTAGGTGCACAATGTCAGTAGGTGCACAATGTCAGTTGGTGCACAATGTCAGTAGGTGCACAATGTCAGTAGGTGCACAATGTCAGTAGGTGCACAATGTCAGTAGGTGCACAATGTCAGTTGGTGCACAATGTCAGTTGGTGCACAATGTCAGTAGGTGCACAATGTCAGTAGGTGCACAATGTCAGTAGGTGCACAATGTCAGTAGGCGCACAATGTCAGTAGGTGCACAATGTCAGTAGGTGCACAATGTCAGTAGGTGCACAATGTCAGTAGGTGCACAATGTCAGCAGGTGCACAATGTCAGTAGGTGCACAATGTCAGTTGGTGCACAATGTCAGTAGGTGCACAATGTCAGTAGGTGCACAATGTCAGTAGGTGCACACTGCTAGTTTACCCTCATCCAGTACCTGTTCTCCACCCATGTTACAGAGGAGAAAGTTGCCAGTAGGATCGAATGTGCACCAGGTGATGCTGGGACCGGAGTAGAACCTATTCTCATCCTCCTCCTGGTCCACGGTAGGGTAAGCCAGGTGTCCCGGCAAGTACCGGGCTAGTTCTGGGGTTGAGTCAGGACTACCAGCCTGTTCGGGATATATGTTTTGTTAAACTACTAGTTGCTTTTAATTTTAAGGGCCTTGGAGGAATATCAGACAATACTTTATAGTTTTTCTAGTTCAATAAAAACGCCTGGTGCGGTGGCTGAAATGTCAAGAGTACGCCATGAAAACAGCCACGTCATATAAAGTATGATAAAAAGGTAATGAAAAACAGTTCATGGCTAACATGAGTAAGCGAGAGCATGCGTCTATCGTAGACTCTGGCAATGTCATCACTTGTACCGACACAAACCAAGTGTGTTCTGACTGGGTTGCTGTTGATACTTTTTATCTGAAGCAGACATGTTTTAGCCTCTACGCTTTAAAATTACATGAGCATCTTCCCAGAGAGTCTTAAATGGTTAAACAAGGCCTCCGTTATGTGAACGATCCCTTAGGAACCGAATAACCCAGAAAACTAGCAACTAAGAAGTAAGCAACCTAGTCAACCAGTAACAACTCACAGAGCAGTGTTCTAGGCTGATCAGAGTGTTGGAACAGCCGGAATCAGTTGAGCTGCATGTGTGCCCTTCCCGGATATCAAATTGTCTGAAAATTTGACTATTAATATCCGTTCATTCCTAGTTGGCCCCCTCTAGGGACCGGAATGACTGAGAAGAGCAACTGTGCAGAAAGTATGCAACACGGTATCCTAGTAATAACCTGGTAACCTAGTAACCTGGTATCCTAGTAACCTGGTATCCTCCCTACCTGGCAGTTCCGTCCTCGGAGGAGCTGATGACGAGGTTGTCGTCGTCCTCTACCGTACAGCACCTCTTTACTCGGTGCCTGAATTTAATGCAGGGTGACGTGAGCTATTCGACGTCTTCATGAATACTTTCGGCCGAGAATTTAGTCCATTAGAAAAGTACTATTTGCCATCTATTTAAACCATCTAGTTAAAATCTATTTATAGTTTGTATTGTACAACTTTCGGTCCTGTGCTTTTGCTTGAATGATATCATTACAGTATTGTAACCTGTGGCAGCGCCATGCTGAGAGAACACTAGCAGCGGCGATATCAAGATGCCGCACCTCGCCATCCCCCGCACCACTGATAACTTGCTTATCTTTGTTTACGAACTGTGGAAACGGAGCTGTGTAACAAGGTGGACAAGATATGTATATTATGTAACACGTTTTAGGTGTTCGATAGAGAAGTCTCCTTTCCCGTTATAACGGTTCTAAGCAGATTCAGGTGTATGATTGTTGTTAACAGATTCAGGTGTACGATCGTTGTTAAGTAGTACGAACTATGTTTGGAATGTACCTTGACAGAGAATATGTTCTCGCCGTGATGGGACGGTATTTGAGCCAGTAGTTTGTGCTGCAGAGGCTCCCATACACATACCGTCTTGTCGTCTGAGCCACTCAGAAGTAATCTGCCAGATTTACTCCACTGTAAACAATTCACGCAACCACCATGACACTGAAATATTACATCATTAAGAAAAGTATTGTTTAAACAAGCTCCAATACGATACGATAAAGAATATTCAAAGAATCCCTGACTGGTTTTAAATTTAACACGTCGTGATAAAATAAAGTTTGACTGACTTTTAGTGTTGTCTCAAGGTTGAGCTTGTTAAAGAAATAACCACGCCAAGCTTTTTGAGAGGCGCCTCCATCCCAGTTCTTGAGCTGAAATATTGAGTGAGCAGTCAGTAAAATCTAAAAAACTTATCAATGTTACCATAAATTTATCCGAATATATCAGGTGCAAAATTGGAGGAAAAAAAACATAAACAAAAGTAAAATTCACCTGTCTGTCGTAAAGGGCTTGCAGAGGTGATTTCATGACAAAGCCATCCTGTATATATTTTTAGTTATTATTTAATTCAAATTAAATAATAATATATGATTAATGTTATTCTAATTAAATAAATATTTAAATATTTATTATCAAATCGTACGTGCGCGCACAACAACCTACAAGATTAAGTGTCGCGTTTTACAAACATGACAATTGCCATGTGCCATTTCTTGCACCAAAATCAGCTCATTATCTATCCAGCAAATGGAATCATAATAGCACGCCATAACAGAAGACACTTTTATTACATTGGGAAAGAAGTGATTAAACGAAATAAACAATAGAAGAAGGTTGAATTTTTTATTTCAGTACAATGCACATTTACATTTTACAGTGTGACAAGCAGTCAACACAACTTCAGTCATGGATTCTCAGTAATCAATACTGGATATGCTATATGAACGATAAAATTTGTTTTTAAAGAAATAATGATGAAAAGTTAAACCTCTCTATACCAGTCTAGTTAGGGAAAAGAAAGTGCACGGTATAGAAAAAAAAAACTGGTATAGAGATGTGATGTATGTTACAATTTTGAAAATCATAACATTTTAAAACGCAGAAACTTAAAGTTGGCTCAAAATTGTTGAAATAATCGAAGTAATATCTAGCGACACCAGTACAACCTACCCATCAAATATTCAATAAATTACCAGATTTAAAATAGCGTGACTAGGTAAATTATAATATTATAATAACACAAAAACATAAAATCCAGTTTTTTACGATTACAGGAATCACTACTAGCTCCCAGGTGTTGTAATTCATTCTATGTGGCCGGAACAAAATTCCTTAAAAACGCCATGTGATTCTAGCGAAAACGTTTTGTATCGGAAGACAGAATTTTATTTTAACTAAGTAACAACTAACTAGAGTGCAAACTAGGAGTATGGAGTATTCTCCTGTTGACACATTGACTAAAATTGAATGTCGTTTGATTCAGCTTTTACTAAAATTCAGTTCCAAAACTGATGTTAGATTTAGGAAAACAAATTGTTTATAAATTTTCATCTAAGGCAAGTGTATATCCGTTTGAACTATTTCACATAATAGTAGTCGGATAATTGTATGCGAGGCGCGAGCATTGTGTATTATGTACAATGTACATCGTAATACTTGATTATGCGTTTTATTCATGTCATCTTAACGATAATCTAATATTATTGTAAATGTACAAATATATTCTCAATTCTTAATACATTGTACCTACATTGTTATATAAATGTTATAAATTACACAATAGTCTGATAATATCACATAATTAACATTCTATTTCAAATGTTAATCTTGATAGCTACATAATAAATCCTTATTCTACAATCAAAAGAATTTAAACTACATAATTATAATATTACTACATAATTTGCTACATTTTTGAACCATCAATATAAAAAATCAACAAAAAAAGCATTGTCTTGAAAAAAAGATAAGCCACATAACAAATTATTTTTTCTACATTTGTCAACTAAATATTAAAAATCAAACAATTTTTATTTTGAAAAACTAAAACCATAAAAATTAAATCAGTTTTACTACAAAATACCATGTACATTCTTTGCGTAAGTTGCATGCAAATAACTACCTACAATTAATAAAAATATGCAAACCACAATGAATATTATGCACAATAAACGTAAGATTTTATTGTAAGCAAATACTTTTTTCTTCACTGCCCCAAGTGTACTACTATAAATTGATACAACCACCATTATACAAATATACTTTTGTGGTTGAAGTATAATAGTGGAGCTATGAAAAACATTTCGAATTTATGAAACACAAGGGGCACTTTCAAGATTTCTCATGGAGAACTTTCGGGTTACTCGAATATTTCTTAATTTCAATGTAACACTATTTCCATTTACCACTCAGTTTCCACCTAGTTACCACCTAGTAACCAGTAACCACCCAGTTACCACCTAGTTACCAATACGGAGAGACACTAGGAACCCTCCTCTCCCCCACACTCATCTCCCTACACTGACTAACCCCCTCCACAACCATCACCTTATAATTCCTCCCGTAGTTATTATCCCAGAACTCCTCTCCATCAACCGTCCTAAAACACAAACAAAACTCAAGTTCACGGCCCACTATAAACTCACTAAACACCAGGTTGAACTGGAACAAATCCACCTGACGGTTGACAGGGTTGAGGTAAGAGCTGGAGACATCGTGGCTAGACCGCCATCTGTCGGTAGAGTATCGGACGAAGACTGTCTTCTCGAAACATATGTTGTGGATGAGGAGGGTACCAGAGAGGGTATTGTCACGTGGTGTGACTGTGGAGAGCTGGAGGTGGGTTTCTAGAAGTTTCCGGTGAGAGAGTGGTGATGCGCCGATGTTTGACTTAGGGGGAGAAGAGTGGTGTTAATATCACTATTAGACTGAGATATTGATATGGAGAGCGTTAGGTCTTAGATTTGAAATCAATGTCGAATCGGCGCTGATCGGCTATACTATAACATTTGTCAATATTCTGAGAAATATTGTCGCCTGCAAAACTGCCCGAAATCGCCGCCGATCGGTGTCGAAAAGGCCTTTCAAGACTGAAATTTGGCATGCGATTACCAGTTTTAACTACGACAAAATAATCGACAACAATTATTTTTACTTAATACTCATCGAATGTCGTAGTCGCCAAATCTAGATTAAATCGTTGATCAAATTTGCGATTGAGTTTTTAATTGGCTGAGAATAATTGATTGATAAGTTTCTCTTATGATGAATTGTTGCAAAATGATAGCGGTAGAGTAAACTGCCCTCTCGCTACAGCTGATACCAAAATATATTGAATTTAAACAGAAATTTTGGTGTATCATTTTTTGGACCACAGAACAGCTAGTGGTATGATTTTGGAATCAAATTACTTGATTTTCAGACGCATTGCATGTGAAGTGTGAAGGGATATGAAACTTGATAAAATATGTAGACAGAATGACATAGGACACCATTTGTTTCAAATTTGGCCAGGATTCGTTCGAGTAAACCGCCCCTAAAATGTCACCCACCCCTAAAACGCCACTCTTGATTGATTGGATTCCATCTTCTTAGAAAGTATCTTACCTAATCATTTGTAACTCCTAAACATAAAAAAATATCATTCAGACCCTGCCACATCCTGAAATTGAATCTAAATGATGCCATAAGGGCATTTTTTTCACTTTGTACGAATTTTTTACTTTTGAAAAAAAAAAGCGCACAATTTTATAACTCTGGAATTCATTAATATTAACTCAGTTTTGGTCTAGGATAGTTATATTTACATATTTTAGCAACTTTGTACATATGACTGGAGATATGGAAAGTTATACATTACTCAATATTACTACCCTCCCCTAAAATGTCACCTGGCCGCCCCCTAAAATGTCATTTTATCAGATTCTGGCTTTGAGACTACAATACAAGCACCATAAAATGGAGGAACCCGCCTATTAAACATCATATTTAGCATCTAATGGTAATATTAGAAAGCTTTGGCAGCTCAAGGAATTAGTTTTATTTTATTAATTGCAATAAACATCCCCTAAAATGTCTAATTATCCCCCCTAAAATGTCATTTTAACATGATCAAATTACTCAGGCTTTTCCTAAGATGCAATGCATACTCACATTTCGTTAATAGTTGATGTTAATAATTAACAAGTGCCAAAACAAGAGCTATTATCGCACACCATGCGAACAAAATACAAATTTGAAATTTTAGGGGAGAAAAAAATGACATTTTAGGGGGCATATCATAGGTTTACCATAAACTAGTAAGTACCAAAAACCGTAGTTTTTGACATTCAATTTTGCTAAAAGCAGTCAAATCTAGTCTATAGAGAAGGTCAGATCGATTACTGGGTTGGATTAGTTAACTACAGGTCACTAAAATTGCCAAAATGCAGGATGATGTTAAAAATCCCAAAAAATGAAATTAAAACATGCAATTTGCACAAGGTTAAAATCACATTGAATCCATTTCTTTTGTGCCAATTGTTAGTTTATAACTAGATAATCTAACTACAGGTGTTAATTTTGTTGACTGAGTTACTGTTTTGCCGTAAGTTCTGGGTATTTAAAAAAAAGTCCCCAAAATGTCACAAAAAGTAAATTGACTAAATTCCACCATTTTTTTTCAACAGAGAGAGAAATTCTGGTCGACACCTCTCAGAAATAGGTTATATTTGTCCCAGAAGTGGTTAAAATTAATAACTGAGCAACATTCTGAGTGCTACACAACCTGTTTTAGCTGACGTTTTAGGGGTGGTGCACGTGACATTTTAGGGGGTGATTACGGTTCCTTCAAAATTTCAAGACGACTAAAAAAGAGCAACCGGCCGAAATTTGCTAAATTGGGAAAAGTCACCGTAACGGTGGTGATATGTTGTAATTGATCATGCAAATTATTAATTGAGATTTAAACACACACCTGAACAAAACACAGTTGAAGCATCGGAACTGTTTTAGGCTTAGCAGCATGAGTAAGGATGCGTGTAGGGGTCAAGTTCAACTCATCTTCCGCTTTGAATTCCTTCGACTGAGAGATATAATGATAAAATTAAATGTGTTTTTATCTGAACCGCAGTAATTTTCAAAATGGGGTCAACTGGTTATAGCCTATAAAGTATCAGTGCCAACATGTTAATACCTCAAGCTCTAATGGGTTTGGTGCATATTCCGATCATTTTAAATCAAAATAAAACCCACCTGTACCAGAGGGAGACCCACAGAATCAGCAAATCTGACACATTTCTTCCTCTTTCCAGGACCAAGTGATTTCGTTTTCAGTACGTGCTTTTGATCATTTGAGTTCGGTGAACTCAGATCAAATGACCATATTTTGGAGATGTCAGATCCGGGGAGTAGAGGCAATGTGATGGCAGGTGGATTAAGTTCTGTTATTGCCACGGCACACATTCGGGACAGGTCGGAGGAATTTGGTTGTTGGACCCTGGACTCACGGAACCTATCCTGTCATATTGAGATTTTAGAGACACATTTTATTAAATATTACTATACTGAGATGGTGGTGATTGATCATTTTAATATTTAATTCATTATTCATATTTAGGAATGCAGGAATTTAGTAATCATAAACTTGTGTATTGCATCAATTGTATCAAATTTCAAATATCAAATATTAAATATCATCATGATTAAAATAACTAAAAATAGAAATTAGGCTCATAAAACGTTTAAAATATGCAGTTAAAAAGTCAATCACTTTGAATCGAAAAATCCAGCAAGTCTCTGAATCTCAGCAAACAAGTCAGAACTGGTGATATGAAAGTGAGCTGCAACATCATCTATAATAATCTGCAGCTCCAGCGGCAATATTGAATCTTCCAATAATTCATCAATAGGGTAGACTAGTATTTTTCTATCATAATGTAACCCATCTGACTTCTTCTTGTATTTCCGTTTAGCACTGTTTTTAGGACAGTCATTTTCATGTTGTTCTTCATTCTGCACAATTTGATCTTCAGATTTAACATCAAGAAAACTTGAAAACTGCTGTTTGAGTTCGCTTGACAATTCGGAGTCTTTTAAGACTTTAACATTCTGGGATATGATGGCTTCCACTGATTTTAAGTAATCTTCGAGAGGCATGTTTAAGAAATGTTTTTCGGTGACAAAACCGTGCCTTTCCACTATAGATTTATCAACTAAATTACATACACTGTTTTCATGCCTAGATTTAAGATATGGTAAAAACCAAATGAGCCATGGTTCTTTTGGTGAATCAGGATTTTCAAATTGGAAAAAGAGACGTAGAGCAGTAACAAAGCACCCCGCTATGATAAGTTCAACATTTACCATGGTTTGGTTTTCTGCCCTATAAAACTTTTTGAAAAGTCCGACGCACAATAAATGGACATCATTAGCTGAGATTTCAAATTTAGTTCGCAGTCTATTGAACAGAGCTGCTAGAACACTAAAATGAAGCTTGGGTTTGGGAACATCATCTAAAATATCTGAAACAGCCAGGACCCTTTCTTTCAAACTTTTTAACGTAGGTAGACTACGAACTCGGAGTGAACTCCCCAGAAGCTTTTTTGGTTTGAAGTATTCAGGCAACAATCGAGTTGTGTTGAAATAGCACAAAGTCCCATCACCTATCCAACTCAGGATATCACAACACAGCACCGGATAGTGTATAGAAAGTAGGGATAAATACAGGATAGCCAAGTTATCAAAAATACTGATCTTATAGATATCAGTCAAAACAACTGGCTCCACTTTCGGCACGTTTATAGTTCCGATCTTAGCAAGGAACCTGAACCAGAGGTTTCCTACAACGTTTGTTAATTGCTCCGGGACTCCTTGACTGATGAGACCGTTGGTTTGGATCAGGAGGATTGCTTGTACGGCTTCTGTTACCGTCCATATTCTGTCCGGGATCCCAGTGGTTTTGGTGCTGTTCAAACCTTTGGCTACTCGCCTGTAAACATTTTGTATTAATTTATGACCAAAGTTTTTGATATGTGTGCGATGTTATTTAACTAGACATTTGATAAGCGGGACTGAGAACGGGATAAACAATTCTTTTCTCATGTTCACTTCATTTGATAGAAAATCATCAAAAAGCAAATCACAAATTACACGATTAACAGCTGTATCCATGATGACCCCTAGTAACGTCTCTATCCCAACTCACCTGACACTAGCGTTATGTTGGGTGAATAAGGTATCGTCCAGTTCCACCACCTCCTCTCTGATGTCCTGAGACTGGGTACCACACACTCTGCAGTAACCTGTACCATCACCCAGCTCGAAGTCATTTGCAGTTCCACATTCCTGACATCGCAGCATTCCTACGACATTGTTGAAGGATTTGTGGGTTATCTAATTATGTATTTGTGGGTTATATCTAATGTGAATTTGTGGGTTATATCTAATGTGAATTTGAATTATTCGACTGTTGCAGCTGCATGTCAATTTTGAGTGGAGACACTTGATTTTTCATATAAAAGACATTATCAGCATGCTGCTGTCGGTGGTTTTCATTTACAAACACAAGTAATACTGCCCATGCTGTCATACAAAATAGAAATATTTATCATCGGATAAAATTCACAGTAAAACACCCCAAATCAGACGAGTTGGTTTAAAACGTAACTGTAAAAGGCAAAACTTAGGTTTTCAAAACATTGGCGGTGTACATTTTAATGTAGACTATTTAATCAATTGGTCAAAATGGTAAATATCTGTACTTCTGGTTAAAACGTGTGTCATGCAATAAAAACATCGTGGCCAGCACATTTAATAAATTAATTGATACAAATCGATATTATATCTAAACGTATGAAACGAAATTATGCATCTTAATCAACAATCGTCAACAATCTATATTATAATTAATAATTTTGTATCTAAAAGCAATCACCAACAAGTTAAAGAAGGTTAAAACAACAATAAAATTTCTGTTGAAATTCTAAATTGATTCATCATCTGTCAATTCAACGAAGAAGTAATGTCATTTATATAAGCATTCATCGATAAAAGCCAATAGAGATCAATCAACAACGAACATTTTCTATGTCTATGACTAGTAGTACCTGAAAAAAATGCTGTCTTTCATTTCAAAACCATGATGTTATAAATATGGTTCGAGATTTCAATTATTCTAAACTTTTAAAAATTTCTTGGTTTAATTGGATGATGATGGTAAGTCTAAAAGTGTCTGGAGCGAGATTATTGTTTTACATCAATCTTTGAATCAATCAATTTGTTTCTTGAAGAAAACAAGTTGTAATCAGAATGACTTTAGGATCTTATATTATCTATCAGCTTATAACGACAAACCAGAGCTTAAAAAGATCACCAAGAATTCAAGATCCAAACAAAGCATTAAAAAAAAAAAAAACAAAGAAATGTTAACAAAGTAAATAAGATCCTCGAGAATTCAAGATCCAAACAAGGCTTTTTTTTTTAAAGAAAAAAAATGTAGATGACAATTATGAAGTAAGCCTGATGGGAAACAAGGAGGCAGAACCATAGAAGTCATACTTGAACTCAGTGCTGAGGTTGTGGGAGGTGGCGAGGAGAGAGGAGGTGGGGTTGAGGAGGAGAAGGATCTGGAACTTGTAGATCTGATTATCGCACTGTTCTTCAGGGCTTGTTCCGAGAACAGCTTCTACTGAGCACTGTGGGTATTATAGACTGTTAGAGGACAGCACTGTGGGTATTATAGACTGTTAGAGGACAGCACTGTGGGTATTATAGACTGTTAGAGGACAGCACTGTGGGTATTATAGACTGTTAGAGGACAGCACTGTGGGTATTATAGACTGTTAGAGGACAGCACTGTGGGTATTATAGACTGTTAGAGGACAGCACTGTGGGTATTATAGACTGTTAGAGGACAGCACTGTGGGTATTATAGACTGTTAGAGGACAGCACTGTGGGTATTATAGACTGTTAGAGGACAGCACTGTGGGTATTATAGACTGTTAGAGGACAGTACTGTGGGTATTATAGACTGTTAGAGGACAGCACTGTGGGTATTATAGACTGTTAGAGGACAGCACTGTGGGTATTATAGACTGTTAGAGGACAGCACTGTGGGTATTATAGACTGTTAGAGGACAGCACTGTGGGTATTATAGACTGTTAGAGGACAGCACTGCGCGTATTATAGATTGTTAGAGGACAGCACTGTGGGTATTATGGACTGTTAGAGGACAGCACTGTGGGTATTATAGACTGATAGAGGACAGCACTGTGGGTATTATAGACTGTTAGAGGACAGCACTGTGGGTATTATGGATTGTTAGAGGACAGCACTGTGGGTATTATTATAGACTGTTAGAAGACAGCACTGTGGGTATTATAATTTATAGACTGTTAGAGGACAGCACTGTGGGTATTATAGACTGTTAGAGGACAGCACTGTTGGTATTATAGACTGTTAGAGGACATCACTGTGGGTATTATAGACTGTTAGAGGACAGCACTGTGGGTATTATAGACTGTTAGAGGACATCACTGTGGGTATTATAGACTATTAGAGGACAGCACTGTGGGTATTATAGACTGTTAGAGGACAGCACTGTGGGTATTATAGACTGTTAGAGGACAGCACTGTGGGTATTATAGACTGTTAGAGGACAGCACTGTGGGTATTATAGACTGTTAGAGGACAGCACTGTGGGTATTATAGACTGTTAGAGGACAGCACTGTGGGTATTATAGACTGTTAGAGGACAGCACTGTGGGTATTATAGACTGTTAGAGGACAGCACTGTGGGTATTATAGACTGTTAGAGGACAGCACTGTGGGTATTATAGACTGTTAGAGGACAGCACTGTGGGTATTATAGACTGTTAGAGGACAGCACTGTGGGTATTATAGACTGTTAGAGGACAGCACTGTGGGTATTATAGACTGTTAGAGGACAGCACTGTGGGTATTATAGACTGTTAGAGGACAGCACTGTGGGTATTATAGACTGTTAGAGGACAGCACTGTGGGTATTATAGACTGTTAGAGGACAGCACTGTGGGTATTATAGACTGTTAGAGGACAGCACTGTGGGTATTATAGACTGTTAGAGGACAGCACTGTGGGTATTATAGACTGTTAGAGGACAGCACTGTGGGTATTATAGACTGTTAGAGGACAGCACTGTGGGTATTATAGACTGTTAGAGGACAGCACTGTGGGTATTATAGACTGTTAGAGGACAGCACTGTGGGTATTATAGACTGTTAAAGGACAGCACTGTGGGTATTATAGACTGTTAGAGGACAGCACTGTGGGTATTATAGACTGTTAGAGGACAGCACTGTGGGTATTATAGACTGTTAGAGGACAGCACTGTGGGTATTATAGACTGTTAGAGGACAGCACTGTGGGTATTATAGACTGTTAGAGGACAGCACTGTGGGTATTATAGACTGTTAGAGGACAGCACTGTGGGTATTATAGACTGTTAAAGGACAGCACTGTGGGTATTATAGACTGTTAGAGGACAGCACTGTGGGTATTATAGACTGTTAGAGGACAGCACTGTGGGTATTATAGACTGTTAGAGGACAGCACTGTGGGTATTATAGACTGTTAGAGGACAGCACTGTGGGTATTATAGACTGTTAGAGGACAGCACTGTGGGTATTATAGACTGTTAGAGGACAGCACTGTGGGTATTATAGACTGTTAGAGGACAGCACTGTGGGTATTATAATTTATAGACTGTTAGAGGACAGCACTGTGGGTATTATAGACTGTTAGAGGACAGCACTGTGGGTATTATAGACTGTTAGAGGACAGCACTGTGGGTATTATAGACTGTTAGAGGACAGCACTGTGGAGTTTGGGTGAGGATAGTTAGAGCGTTCAAATATTAAACCATGGATCTTAAACAAATTGTGTGTCTAATTACCTCTTTGTCAAGTAGCAAGGAGTAATATTTGTCTAGGAGCTCGAACGCTAGCTCAGAAACAAGACCTGACTGAACCACGCTGAACAACGTTCTTTCTGCGGAAAGTATTGATTTGTCAGCTTGTAGTAATAATAGTAGTAATCTATTGTAGTAATTTATTGCGACAATATTGCCCTAATTCCTCCGAAAATATTGCCCTAATTCCTCCGACAATATTGCCCTAATTCCTCCGACAATATTGCCCTAATTCCTCCGACAATATTGCCCTAATTCCTCCGACAATATTGCCCTAATTCCTCCGACAATATTGCACTAATTCCTCCGAAAATATAGCCCTCATTCCTCCGCCCCGAACCCAACATCCTACAGTCTGTTAATACGAATAAGGCTGCTTTTTTCCAAATTATATTAGCCCTATAATATGTTGATAAATCTTTGCAGGTAGCGCTTTATTCGCCAACTCAGGAAATTCAGTGTAAGACATTAACCTTATTTTGGTTTAAAAGTTTAAAAGGAAATAGCTGCAGTAGCCAGTAAATCGGGGTATGTGGTAAATATGGGTGTGATAAATCAGAGTTTAATCGTGCCACGACAACTTCTACCAGATGAGATCTGATTATATTAAATTATATTGATCCTCACAATATCACTATTCATCCACCCAATATAATTAGTCAATATCCACCCATATGGCGCATCAGACAGATAATGCAAAAAATCATTTACTTACCATAATTATTAATTACGTCCTTATTTTTCCATTTACTATCATTACTCCATATAAATGTCGGCATATTCTGTTCTTTTTTTAGATAATTTTTCGTTTATTTTTTAAATGTTACTCGTTTATAAGAAAGTGAAGATGTGAAAACAGCTTACTCAGGCAACAATCGAATTGTGTTGAAATAGCACAAAGTCCCATCACCTATCCAACTCAGGATATCACAACACAGCACCGGATAGTGTATAGAAAGTAGGGATAAATACAGGATAGCCAAGTTATCAAAAATACTGATCTTATAGATATCAGTCAAAACAACTGGCTCCACTTTCGGCACGTTTATAGTTCCGATCTTAGCAAGGAACCGGAACCAGAGGTTTCCTACAACGTTTGTTAGCTGCTCTGGGATTCCTTGACTGATGAGACCGTTGGTTTGGATCAGGAGGATTGCTTGTACGGCTTCTGTTACCGTCCATATTCTGTCCGGGATCCCAGTGGTCTTGGTGCTGTTCAAACCTTTGGCTACTCGCCTGTAACCATTTTGTATTAATTTATGACCAAAGTTTTTGATATGTGCGCGATGTTATTTAACTAGACATTTGATGAGCGGGACTGATAACGGGGTAAACAATTCTTCTCTAATGTTCACTTCATTTGATAGAAAATCATCAAAAAGCAAACACAAATAACACGATTAACAGCTGTATCCATGATGACCCCTAGTAACGTCTCTATCCCAACTCACCTGACACTAGCGTTATGTTGGGTGAATAAGGTATCGTCCAGTTCCACCACCTCCTCTCTGATGTCCTGAGACTGGGTACCACACACTCTGCAGTAACCTGTACCATCACCCAGCTCGAAGTCATTCGCAGTTCCACATTCCTGACATCGCAGCATTCCTACGACATTGTGGAAGGATTTGTGGGTTATCTAATTATGTATTTGTGGGTTATATCTAATATGAATTTGTGGGTTATATCTAATGTGAATTTGAATTATTCGACTGTTGCAGCTGCATGTCAATTTTGAGTGGAGACACTTGATTTTTCATATAAAAGACATTATCAGCATGCTGCTGTCGGTGGTTTCCATTCACAAACACAAGTAACACTTCCCATGCTGTCATACAAAAATAGAAATATTTATCATCGGATAAAATTCACAGTAAAACACCCCAAATCAGACGAGTTGGTTTAAAACGTAACTGAAAAAGGTAAAACTTAGGTTTTCAAAACATTGGCGGTGAACATTTTAATGTAGACTATTTAATCAATTGGTCAAAATGGTAAATATCTGTACTTCTGGTTAAAACGTGCAATAAAAACATCGTGGCCAGCACATTTAATAAATTAATTGATACAAATCGATATTATATCTAAACGTATGAAACGAAATTATGCATCTTAATCAACAATCGTCAACAATCTATATTATAATTAATAATTTTGTATCTAAAAGCAATCACCAACAAGTTAAAGAAGGTTAAAACAACAATAAAATTTCTGTTGAAATTCTAAATTGATTCATCATCTGTCAATTCAACGAAGAAGTAATGTCATTTATATAAGCATTCATCGATAAAAGCCAATAGAGATCAATCAACAACGAACATTTTCTATGTCTATGACTAGTAGTACCTGAAAAAAATGCTGTCTTTCATTTCAAAACCATGATGTTATAAATATGGTTCGAGATTTCAATTATTCTAAACTTTTAAAAATTTCTTTTAAAAGTGTCTGGAGCGAGATTATTGTTTTACATCAATCTTTGAATCAATCAATTTGTTTCTTGAAGAAAACAAGTTATAATCAGAATGACTTTAGGATCTTATATTATCTATCAGCTTATAACGACAAACCAGAGCTTAAAAGATCCAAACAAAGCATTAAAAAAAAAAAAACAAAGAAATGTTTACAAAGTAAATAAGATCCTCGAGAATTCAAGATCCAAACAAGGCTTTTTTTTTAAAGAGAAAAAAAATTTAGAGGACAATTATGAAGTAAGCCTGATGGGAAACAAGGAGGCAGAACCATAGAAGTCATACTTGAACTCAGTGCTGAGGTTGTGGGAGGTGGCGAGGAGAGAGGAGGTGGGGTTGAGGAGGAGAAGGATCTGGAACTTGTAGATCTGATTATCGCACTGTTCTGCAGGGCTTGTTCCGAGAACAGCTTCTACTGAGCACTGTGGGTATTATAGACTGTTAGAGGACAGCACTGTGGGTATTATAGACTGTTAGAGGACAGCACTGTGGGTATTATAGACTGTTAGAGGACAGCACTGTGGGTATTATAGACTGTTAGAGGACAGCACTGTGGGTATTATAGACTGTTAGAGGACAGCACTGTGGGTATTATAGACTGTTAGAGGACAGCACTGTGGGTATTATAGACTGTTAGAGGACAGCACTGTGGGTATTATAGACTGTTAGAGGACAGCACTGTGGGTATTATAGACTGTTAGAGGACAGCACTGTGGGTATTATAGACTGTTAGAGGACAGCACTGTGGGTATTATAGACTGTTAGAGGACAGCACTGTGGGTATTATAGACTGTTAGAGGACAGCATTGTGGGTATTATAGACTGTTAGAGGACAGCATTGTGGGTATTATAGACTGTTAGAGGACAGCACTGTGGGTATTATAGACTGTTAGAGGACAGCACTGTGGGTATTATAGACTGTTAGAGGACAGCACTGTGGGTATTATAGACTGTTAGAGAACAGCACTGTGGGTATTATAGACTGTTAGAGGACAGCACTGTGGGTATTATAGACTGTTAGAGAACAGCACTGTGGGTATTATAGACTGTTAGAGGACAGCACTGTGGGTATTATAGACTGTTAGAGGACAGCATTGTGGGTATTATAGACTGTTAGAGGACAGCACTGTGGGTATTATAGACTGTTAGAGGACAGCACTGTGGGTATTATAGACTATTAGAGGACAGCACTGTAGGTATTATAGACTGTTAGAGGACAGCACTGTGGGTATTATAGACTGTTAGAGGACAGCACTGTGGGTATTATAGACTGTTAGAGGACAGCACTGTGGGTATTAAAGACTGTTAGAGGACAGCACTGTGGGTATTATAGACTGTTAGAGGACAGCACTGTGGGTATTATAGACTGTTAGAGGACAGCACTGTGGGTATTATAGACTGTTAGAGGACAGCACTGTGGGTATTATAGACTGTTAGAGGACAGCACTGTGGGTATTATAGACTATTAGAGGACAGCACTGTGGGTATTATAGACTGTTAGAGGACAGCACTGTGGGTATTATAGACTATTAGAGGACAGCACTGTGTTTGAGGATCATAGTTAGAGGGTTCAAATATCAAACCATGGAATTTAAGAAGATCTTAAACAAATTGTGTGTCTAATTACCTCTTTGTCAAGTAGCAAGGAGTAATATTTGTCTAGGAGCTCGAACGCTAGCTCAGAAACAAGACCTGACTGAACCACGCTGAACAACGTTCTTTCTGCGGAAAGTATTGATTTGTCAGCTTGTAGTAATAATAGTAGCAAACTATTGTAGTAGTAATTTATTGCGACAATATTGTCCTCATTCCTCCGCCCCGAACCCAACATCCTACAGTCCGTTAATACGAATAAGGTCGATTTTTCCAAATTATATTAGCCCTATAATTATATGTTGATAAATCTTTGCAGGTAGCGCTTTATTCACCAACTCAGGAATCCAGTGTAAGACATTAACCTTATTTTGGTTTAAAAGGAAATAGCTGCAGTATCCAGTAAATCGGGGTATGTGGTAAATATGGGCGTGATAAATCAGAGTTTAATCGTGCCACGACAACTCTACTCACAACTTCTACCAGATGAGATCTGATTATATTAAATTATATTGATCCTCACAATATCACTATTCATCCACCCAATATAATTAGTCAATACCCACCCATATGGCGCATCAGACAGATAATGCATAAAATCATTTACTTACCATAATTATTAATTACGTCCTTATTTTACCATTTACTATCATTACTCCATATATAAATGTCGGCATATTCTGTTCTTTTTTTAGATAATTTTTCGTTTATTTTTTAAATGTTACTCGTTTATAAGAAAGTGAAGATGTGAAAACAGCTTACTCAGGCAACAATCGAATTGTGTTGAAATAGCACAAAGTCCCATCACCTATCCAACTCAGGATATCACAACACAGCACCGGATAGTGTATAGAAAGTAGGGATAAATACAGGATAGCCAAGTTATCAAAAATACTGATCTTATAGATATCAGTCAAAACAACTGGCTCCACTTTCGGCACGTTTATAGTTCCGATCTTAGCAAGGAACCGGAACCAGAGGTTTCCTACAACGTTTGTTAGCTGCTCTGGGATTCCTTGACTGATGAGACCGTTGGTTTGGATCAGGAGGATTGCTTGTACGGCTTCTGTTACCGTCCATATTCTGTCCGGGATCCCAGTGGTCTTGGTGCTGTTCAAACCTTTGGCTACTCGCCTGTAACCATTTTGTATTAATTTATGACCAAAGTTTTTGATATGTGCGCGATGTTATTTAACTAGACATTTGATGAGCGGGACTGATAACGGGATAAACAATTCTTCTCTCATGTTCACTTCATTTGATAGAAAGTCATCAAAAAGCAAATCACAAATTACACGATTAACAGCTGTATCCATGATGACCCCTAGTAACGTCTCTATCGCAACTCACCTGACACTAGCGTTATGTTGGGTGAATAAGGTATCGTCCAGTTCCACCACCTCCTCTCTGATGTCCTGAGACTGGGTACCACACACTCTGCAGTAACCTGTACCATCACCCAGCTCGAAGTCATTCGCAGTTCCACATTCCTGACATCGCAGCATTCCTACGACATTGTGGAAGGATTTGTGGGTTATCTAATTATGTATTTGTGGGTTATATCTAATATGAATTTGTGGGTTATATCTAATGTGAATTTGAATTATTCGACTGTTGCAGCTGCATGTCAATTTTGAGTGGAGACACTTGATTTTTCATATAAAAGACATTATCAGCATGCTGCTGTCGGTGGTTTCCATTCACAAACACAAGTAACACTTCCCATGCTGTCATACAAAAATAGAAATATTTATCATCGGATAAAATTCACAGTAAAACACCCCAAATCAGACGAGTTGGTTTAAAACGTAACTGAAAAAGGTAAAACTTAGGTTTTCAAAACATTGGCGGTGAACATTTTAATGTAGACTATTTAATCAATTGGTCAAAATGGTAAATATCTGTACTTCTGGTTAAAACGTGCAATAAAAACATCGTGGCCAGCACATTTAATAAATTAATTGATACAAATCGATATTATATCTAAACGTATGAAACGAAATTATGCATCTTAATCAACAATCGTCAACAATCTATATTATAATTAATAATTTTGTATCTAAAAGCAATCACCAACAAGTTAAAGAAGGTTAAAACAACAATAAAATTTCTGTTGAAATTCTAAATTGATTCATCATCTGTCAATTCAACGAAGAAGTAATGTCATTTATATAAGCATTCATCGATAAAAGCCAATAGAGATCAATCAACAACGAACATTTTCTATGTCTATGACTAGTAGTACCTGAAAAAAATGCTGTCTTTCATTTCAAAACCATGATGTTATAAATATGGTTCGAGATTTCAATTATTCTAAACTTTTAAAAATTTCTTTTAAAAGTGTCTGGAGCGAGATTATTGTTTTACATCAATCTTTGAATCAATCAATTTGTTTCTTGAAGAAAACAAGTTATAATCAGAATGACTTTAGGATCTTATATTATCTATCAGCTTATAACGACAAACCAGAGCTTAAAAGATCCAAACAAAGCATTAAAAAAAAAAAAACAAAGAAATGTTTACAAAGTAAATAAGATCCTCGAGAATTCAAGATCCAAACAAGGCTTTTTTTTTAAAGAGAAAAAAAATTTAGAGGACAATTATGAAGTAAGCCTGATGGGAAACAAGGAGGCAGAACCATAGAAGTCATACTTGAACTCAGTGCTGAGGTTGTGGGAGGTGGCGAGGAGAGAGGAGGTGGGGTTGAGGAGGAGAAGGATCTGGAACTTGTAGATCTGATTATCACACTGTTCTTCAGGGCTTGTTCCGAGAACAGCTTCTACTGAGCACTGTGGGTATTATAGACTGTTAGAGGACAGCACTGTGGGTATTATAGACTGTTAGAGGACAGCACTGTGGGTATTATAGACTGTTAGAGGACAGCACTGTGGGTATTATAGACTGTTAGAGGACAGCACTGTGGGTATTATAGACTGTTAGAGGACAGCACTGTGGGTATTATAGACTGTTAGAGGACAGCACTGTGGGTATTATAGACTGTTAGAGGACAGCACTGTGGGTATTATAGACTGTTAGAGGACAGCACTGTGGGTATTATAGACTGTTAGAGGACAGCACTGTGGGTATTATAGACTGTTAGAGGACAGCATTGTGGGTATTATAGACTGTTAGAGGACAGCATTGTGGGTATTATAGACTGTTAGAGGACAGCACTGTGGGTATTATAGACTGTTAGAGGACAGCACTGTGGGTATTATAGACTGTTAGAGGACAGCACTGTGGGTATTATAGACTGTTAGAGAACAGCACTGTGGGTATTATAGACTGTTAGAGGACAGCACTGTGGGTATTATAGACTGTTAGAGAACAGCACTGTGGGTATTATAGACTGTTAGAGGACAGCACTGTGGGTATTATAGACTGTTAGAGGACAGCATTGTGGGTATTATAGACTGTTAGAGGACAGCACTGTGGGTATTATAGACTGTTAGAGGACAGCACTGTGGGTATTATAGACTATTAGAGGACAGCACTGTAGGTATTATAGACTGTTAGAGGACAGCACTGTGGGTATTATAGACTGTTAGAGGACAGCACTGTGGGTATTATAGACTGTTAGAGGACAGCACTGTGGGTATTAAAGACTGTTAGAGGACAGCACTGTGGGTATTATAGACTGTTAGAGGACAGCACTGTGGGTATTATAGACTGTTAGAGGACAGCACTGTGGGTATTATAGACTGTTAGAGGACAGCACTGTGGGTATTATAGACTGTTAGAGGACAGCACTGTGGGTATTATAGACTATTAGAGGACAGCACTGTGGGTATTATAGACTGTTAGAGGACAGCACTGTGGGTATTATAGACTATTAGAGGACAGCACTGTGTTTGAGGATCATAGTTAGAGGGTTCAAATATCAAACCATGGAATTTAAGAAGATCTTAAACAAATTGTGTGTCTAATTACCTCTTTGTCAAGTAGCAAGGAGTAATATTTGTCTAGGAGCTCGAACGCTAGCTCAGAAACAAGACCTGACTGAACCACGCTGAACAACGTTCTTTCTGCGGAAAGTATTGATTTGTCAGCTTGTAGTAATAATAGTAGCAAACTATTGTAGTAGTAATTTATTGCGACAATATTGTCCTCATTCCTCCGCCCCGAACCCAACATCCTACAGTCCGTTAATACGAATAAGGTCGATTTTTCCAAATTATATTAGCCCTATAATTATATGTTGATAAATCTTTGCAGGTAGCGCTTTATTCACCAACTCAGGAATCCAGTGTAAGACATTAACCTTATTTTGGTTTAAAAGGAAATAGCTGCAGTATCCAGTAAATCGGGGTATGTGGTAAATATGGGCGTGATAAATCAGAGTTTAATCGTGCCACGACAACTCTACTCACAACTTCTACCAGATGAGATCTGATTATATTAAATTATATTGATCCTCACAATATCACTATTCATCCACCCAATATAATTAGTCAATACCCACCCATATGGCGCATCAGACAGATAATGCATAAAATCATTTACTTACCATAATTATTAATTACGTCCTTATTTTACCATACCACCCTATCATTACTCCATATAAATGTCGGCATATTCTGTTCTTTTTTTAGATAATTTTCTTTTATTTTTTAAATATTACTCGTTTATAAGAAAAGTGTAGATGTGAAAACAGCTGCACTGCATTCATCCACAGTCGTTGGCACATGGCAAATAAAATATTTTTGGTCATTAGTAATCTTTCGCTAGTTTGAGGCCTCATTTGAAAGATTTGAAGATGTGGGTTATATAAATTAATCAAATTGATTTGTCTAAGTACACAATATCCAAGTCGTATCCTGACCCAACGTGATAAGTCTGATGAATGATGAATCTGTTTAAATGTCAGGAATAAGCACGACTAAACTTTTCTCAGAGGTCGATCGTTAGTCCCACATTCACAAAGGCGGCAGATCAGCTAATAATCTGAGACCTGGAACTTTTGGATTTTTGAGAAAATTTTTCGAAGATGTGACCTTTTTTAGGGAGGAAACATTGATATCTGAGAGGAAATTAAAAACTTTCAGGATGTGGGTCGTTAGTTGCAGCATTTTAAATCATCATAGTTTGTATTGCTCGCTTATTTAAGTAAGTAAGTAGTTGGGGGTCGTTCACATATGTTGTAAAGCTGAGGGGGGGGGGGGGGGTAATTACACTAGCGGGGGGTAATTACACTAGCGTAATCGTTCTGAAACCCCCGGGGGTTTCCGAATTATTACGCTAGTATAATTTTGACACAACAGCTATGTGTAAAACTGATTACGGAGGGGGGGGGGGGGGGGGGGGTTAAAATTTTCCAAAAAATGGTTACGTAATATGTGAACGACCCCTTAATAGTAATACTATTACACATCTTATACTGTTATAGCTACAGCTTTTATCCCTAGTCCCTACAATATATTCCTATAGTTCTATAGAGGGGGAATACGTTCGCCACTCTGCAGGTCAACTAACAAGGTGCTTCAATAGTATCTGAGTATCTCACTCTTCAACAGAATATGTTATATGATCCACAACAGATAATCTAATGAACCACAATGTGGCCGTGAACAAGTCCAGAAGTTGTCTTCTAAACGACTGGACGTAATAATACTATTTCCACAGCCCCCGCCCCACAGGACATTAAAACTCTTTATTTAAAAACAACAATAGCATCAACACTATTTCACTGTCCACTGCGTTCAGTGACGAACACACTGTGCCCATCTCCGTTACCTAATCACCATATTATTATAAATAGGTAACGGTCTTTGTCATCACATTTACTGACAGTTGGTCAAACTTTACGGTATAGTGTAATCTCACATAATAATAATGGTAGAAAATGCATCATTCCGTCTGTCCATTTGAGATTTACAAATCGGTTAATCAAGAAAACGGTAAGAGTTAGGGGACCGACACAACTCTAATGAGTAACTGGTTTAGTTGGCAATGGTTGGATTTATTTTGGTCGATTTATTTTTATAACGTTCAATAGTAAGAATCTATAACAGATGCTAATAACTGTTGACGATTACAACTCTCTCACAATCCTCTCCCCTCTCTTAACAAATATCGTAACATATTTGGGACTAAGGAGTAAGTAACGGTGTCTATGTAACTCTATATAAATATGCTATCACGTTTACAGCTGCATGGCTAAGACGAAATAGCTCTAAGCTGAGCAGTAAGCACTCGTGTTTTACTTTTTAGGAGTCGTTTTCAATGAGGCTTATTCCACATCATAAACCTCATTGAAAACGACTCCTAAAATAAAGTATAAACCATACTATCATTAAGCACGGCTGACGGACAACTAGGAACCTTCCAATTTTACCTAGTTAACTAATTAACATGCAAGCTTGGGAAATCCAATCAGCTCCGACAACTAGGAACCAATCATGACATATCCCCGACAACTAGGAACCTCTGGAGATACTTTAAACATTCAGGTGTCCACCGATTTCACAGCTGTGCTGTATATATTTCTGCACGCATTAATTAAGACAAGGATTTTTTTCAAGATAATGATAGTTCAAACTCAACATTTCACCGATTTTCACGTTTAATCACTGTCTTGACCACGATGAGTAGTTATTTCGTTTTGTTTGTCTGTGGAATTTGATCTTGATTCGGCGAATTCAACTTTGTAAATTATCGATATATTTTTGCATTTTATTTCCTTGCAGTCATTTTTATAAGTTAAGTAGCATTATTTGGTACAGTAACGTGATTAAAAGTAAGGATATCTCTTTGCCAACTACAACCGTACGATAAACAGGTAATAGTCCAATAGTTTCCAACAATCATCGCCCGTTCCTTGGGTTTATATTTCTAAGTCTCGCTAATTTTCTGTATTATACTACATTTGATTACATTAATTGCGAGTTTTGTTCGGTTATTAGCATTGAACGTTCCCTTGCTAATTGTTGCGATCATCTGGTGACTGGTCGATTATATCATGTGCCCTAGAACAGAACGCCGCTATTTGCTGTGCTCCTTTTCCTGACTGCGGCAGAGAATGTTTGCCAATTGCAACTGTCTACAGATCTTCATTAAAACTACTGTAGTACAGCTCTTATCTCTTATCTCTATCTCCGCATTCGTCCTAACCTGATCGATCTGTCCGATAACGAAAATATCTTGACTCTTATTGGTGAATATATAACCATGTGGGGCAATTTTATCAACAGAAACATTTGTTATAAAGTTGTGTTAAAAGTATTAAACTTTCAAAGTGTTAAAGATTATTGTCACATGACCTAAGCTATGTCTCTTCTGATCTCCCTCGGCTTCAGTATTACTCGGTTTTGCATTATTTTTACGCGTAGTAACTAGTAGGACCCTCCTCATAAACAATGTTTGTTACGTTCAATACGTCAAATTATTGTTGCTTTACCTCACTTTCGGCCCAATTGCTCTAATAAACATACCGACCATTACCATGCATCAACAATATTTTAATAAACAGTGTTGTTGTTTGTTGTTGTTATAATTGTTACTAATACTAACCACTGAAGCTGTGTTATTGTTGTTATTAGTACTAACCACTGAAGCTGACACTGTTCTTGCTGCCGTCTTCTCCCCAGATCCGCGGGATAAGATCTCCTCGGTACTTGGGAGCCTTACCACTTCGTCTCTCGTGGTGTATCACACTACATAATCCGCTCTGAAAATGGAGGAGATATGGGTCACTCTATGAAACGGAGTTGCACTAGCTAAGATAATTTGGAAACCAGATCGCTGCAGAGTTATCTTGAAATCTAATTAACCATCAGACCAATCAGCCTCGATTTTAATTTGAGTTCATAAGCTTGGTAGCACATAATATTAGGTTTCTCCGTTTTGTCAAAAGTTAATTGATAAATTAATTAGATTTGATGACACTTGACGGAGCAAACCTCCGACAGACTGTCGTTCCGAGTTTATTTACCTGGTTTAGTTTTTAACCACAATACCGCATTTTTTAGAAACCATAGAACAAAACAGCAGATTCCTAATCGAATTATATCACAAGCCAACAATCTAATGTTGTGCAATACTTTCCGTTCGAACAGCGCGAATTGCTTTATACTTTTATATTGTTGCGGAATTTCGTCAATTCACTTAACTGCCAACACAAATACCTTTTCTCGTGTGACTCAAACGTTTTAATTTATATCACTATTCGTTTTAAAGGAGCGCATTTTTGTTCATTGTTAATATTATGCGCTAAGACTTTCATTCACACACCGAAACCAGCATCAGTAAATCTCGGTTAACCTGGTTGGTTCAGTTTAGCGCACTTTTGTTGCGCTGTGGATATTGTTCTCAAGCAGTATCCAAGTAGCCCGACAATGTGTTCCCGATCACAGGTTTAACCCTAACACACCTGCTCGGGAACACCTGTTCGAGAACACATGTCGGGCTACTTGTATACTGCCTGTTCTCCTTAGTCGTGATGGCGTCGAGTTTCGGCAAAAAGGGTCATAAATTCTTACATATCATTGTTTACTATAGCATATAACTTATAAATTAATTATTTATTATAATGTTGCGAGTTTAAGTTTAGCTTTTAAATAGTGTTTTGTGTAATAGGTTTCATAGTTTAATTGATAGAAGATACGTTCAAAGGACAGTTCCAAGGTTAATACATCTCAGACTTGTAACTGTAAAATAGCAGAGCATTACCGGACGTAGTGGCAGCGAGATAGATACGACGTTGCATTGTTACTTTAAGAGGTGTTGATTATAGCACCAGGATCAGTTTATTCATAGTCTAGGAGACGTTTAGACACCTGGTATTGGTAGAGAAACTACAAAGTTGCAATACTGCTTACAAGAGGCGCTTGAATATACTTTAATCTTATAATGATACTGTCCGTAATCGGTCTTGCTAACACTTGTTCACTTGTTGTGACTCTCCAGATCGCAGAATTTGTAACGTTTATATTACCATTAAGATGATTTACAATTTTGAAGGCGTTATTGCTAAGTCCAATCATGTCTCAAAACGTTCCCATATCGGTAATCAGATATTCTTCCCTAATTAAAGATGAGAATGTACAAATATTATGATTAATCAGGTATACTTATTTGCATATCATGGAGCTATAGGTGGACTTTAGAGCGTATCTGGTATCACTTCCCGGGTCATGGCACATTCTTCTTTTACTCTTTAACAAAGCAAACGTTTGATAGACTTCAAGACTTTAGCCTTGAGACACACTTGTTAAACTATTCCGTGAGGATTTCTACATTGTTTGTTACAATTAATGAATTAAAGCTACAGTGCTGTGTCTCGTTTAATGTTTAACGTCAATTAGTTCTGGTAACTTTGTACAGTAAAACCCCGATTAACCGCAAACCCCGATTTACCGCGAAACCCGATTTACCGCGGATGTTTTCTCTCCCCAAAACCCCGCGGTAAATCAGGGTTTTACTGTAGCTTCACGAGATAACCATACTGTTATACTGGCTGAGCGATATAGAACACTATACGTGCGTTATGCGTATGATAACGTTAACTCTATTGTTTTGCTCATTTCTTAGAAGTGGGTCCTCGGCCCAACAGGAACAGTTCATTCGCAAATGCATAATCATACACATCATATTATTGACTTATCATTCCAATACATTAGCTCAATAAATTAGCTCGTTAGCTTCTGGATATTGCTGAGTGATAAGTTTAGTACAGGTCTTATAATGCCAGTTACTGAGTTAGCAAGGTATGTTTTACCTAGATCAGCCGAATCAGACTTAGAGGCTCGGCCCTTTAGGTTACCCCGATAAGATCATTGGTAACTTACAATTTAAACAACCTTAATAACCTTTTCCTATTTAATTGTTATCGTTTATATCTTTATATACATATTTCCCATGAGGGATGATATCTGTTTAAAAGTTTAAAAGCTGAATCAATTATGAGACCTCCCTCAGTGTTACGCAAACTTAAACTTTTATTATCTTGTAATTATATAAACTTGTGTCTTGTATTCTACTTTTCAGTTCACTGCGATAACAATTGATTATTATACTCAGTAACAAGTGTGCAATGGATGGCGAGCCCTTTAACAAAACTGTGTTTGGTATAGCCACTCCAGAAGCCCGTTACAGCCTTGCAGCCGTGACATTCCTGGTGATATTCATCTCAATAGTGGGGAATGTTTTGGTTCTGGTGGCGTCCCTGCGTGATGCCATCAAGCTGGATAAGATATCTGTGATCTTGGTAAAGAACATTGCGATAGCTGATCTTTCGTATGCGTTCCTTGTTATTTTACAGGTGAATTTTCTTATTTCTGTTCATTTATTTATTCATATTCGTATCCCAATTGAAAAATACCATGGGTCTGTGTTCTGTTATATCTCCCAGCAAAGTGTGATTTCGGATTACTACGATATACTTTTGATGATGTTGACGATTTGTATAATTTATAAGATAAATTCAATGCTTTTCTCTTGACTGAAACTTTTTCAGGTGGGAGTGTCTCTAATAGCACACGAATGGTTGTACGGCAAAATACTCTGTCACGTGACAACCTATCTTGAACACGTGCTCTCCGCAACAGATATCCTCCTCATCTGCGCGCTCAACATCTCTAAACTAATCGTCATCCTGAAACCCTTCGCAGCCCGCCAATGGTCCAACAAGACAGCGTATGTGATCGTAGGACTGATCTTCCTAGGAGCTAACGTGTATCCTGTGTGCGAGAGCGTGTTTAGAAAGGTGTACTTTGACTACAGGTCTTACAGGTGCACCTTCCTTCATGAAGCAGGGGTCTGGGCCTTGACTGATCCTCTCTTCACCGTATTTATTGTAGCAATACCCACTTTAGTTATCATACTCTCAACGGTCGGACTCCTGGTTTACGTTAACAAAGTCAGTGGAATCCACAAGAAAGCAGTGTTCACCAATGTTTGGATCTCTGCCATATTTGTCATATCTTACGCCCCCATGTGTACCTATGTTTTAGGTGAAAAGTGGATTCTTCACGATTCTAAGTCCGGAAATCTTTCAACGGACTCTGTCTATAAGAACCTCTACAGATGGGGTATGTTCTTGAAGTTTGTGAACAGTACAGCCAACCCGTTAATATACTATGCCACCATTATGAGTTTTAACACTTATGTCAAGAGTTTGTTTACAACTAAAAGACCAAAGATCAACAAGGTTGGTAAATTTGAGATGGGCGTCCTTTAGAAAGTGTTTTATAATGAGCGTTACAAGAACTAACCTGCTTCATACATCACTTTCTCACGTTCTTTACTAATGGAGCATGATTCTTAAATGACCTCCACGCATCAATTAGTGAGGTTCGATTACTGGTTGAGGAAGACTGATCAGTCTTTCATGTGCTCGATGGATAATAAACAGAAAACTCTCAGACGTGATAATTGCCAATTGAGCTCACCTGGGCGAAACATTCGACCATTTTGATAGTTGTAGCGTTCCTTTTACACTGAATCAAGGTGTACTTTCCCAGATCTTCCAACTGTAACTCTGAAAATTAAGACTAAATCATCAAACTGTCCAAATGCGAGGATTTTGTTTTCTTTGTTTCGTTAATGTCGTTGACCAGTAATCATATTTAGGATAATAATAATAATAATAATAACAAAGTATTTATATCCCGCTCATATTAGCAACTAGTAACCAAGAATGGTACTAGCTACTAATGTCAGAGCGGCTGTCCAAACAAAGATAAAACTTTAATAATTTAGAATTCTCCAACAAAAAATTCTCAATTTCCTTTAAACTGCTTATTAGTAACACTAACGTCTAAAAACTATATTATACGACAGACATGGTGGTACAATCAGACATCAGATGGAATAAACTATAAGAGAAAATAATAATCTCGACACATAATGGTTACCTTTATTTATTCAAAAGAATTTAATTAATTGAACTTCATTATACACTCTTCTTTATTTGTAGATTAAAACAACAAACACAAACTGAGGCCTGCATCCCCGTCAATACCACACAATTATTTAATGAGTTGCTCAAGGTAGTAGACCAGGCCGACGGATCCCCAGTCCGATTTCCCTGAGTATTGTCGCACCCAATTAAGGGAACTCGCACACTACATCACCCTGTACCCAACAGCTTGCAAGCAAGCTGCCGTTCACCCACCGGTTCACTGAGGTACAGGTAGATTGCCGAAGCATGTGCTACCAACTCTGCAATCATGTGGTACCGGCCAAAGATACAGGTTTATAAAAATAAAAAATAAAAACAAGCCAGGGCATGGCAAATGGCAGTCTAGTCTCTCCGGACTCCGTGTAAGTGTAACTATACACACAACTCATGACAGTTAAAAAATCCCATGGAATAATCTACAAACTAAGGCCAGGTTCTAGGAACTTTCTAAAAAAGAACACAAATATAAATACGACTAGGTATGTTCTAGATTATTGAAAAAATGGGTTTTTAAAGCCCGTTTAAAAGTATCAATGTTGTTAGCTTTTCTTACCGTATACGGTAGCAAGTTCCAGAGTTTTGGGGCTGCGTTGCTAAACCTCCTATCACCTAGCCTGATTTTACTGGGTCTACTAACCCTAGAGGTCGCACCATGTTTTCCGTATCTGAGTGATAGTGATATACCCCCTAGCAGAACAGAGATCTCTGAGGCTTTAAAGAGTCTGAAGAATCACAAGAGCCCTGGAATTGATGACATTTCCAACGAACAGCTGAAGTATGGGGCTCCTGGTCTTTTAGACAGGCTTGAGAAACTGTTTGCACGTGTATGGGAGACGGAGAATGTGCCAGAGGATTGGGTTAAGGGTATCATTGTTATTGTCCCGAAAAAGGGTGATACATCATTCTGCTCGAACAACAGGGGCATTACCCTACGCTCCACGGCATCAAAACTCTATCAGATAATAGTGTTGCGACGGATGAATGCGGGGCTTGAAGAACTGCTCCGAGAGAATCAGTGCGGGTTCAGGAAAAACAGGTCTTGCATTGATCAGATTTATTCACTCCGTACTATTATTCACAACAGCATTGAGTTTAATCTCCCCCTGTACATAAATTTTGTTGACTTTAAAACTGCATTCGATTCAATTAATCGGGAGTTTATCTGGAAAGCTTTCAGTCATTATGGCTTGCCTTGTAAATACATTCGCATAATGCAAGCATTCTTTTGCGGCACCGTCAGCGCTGTCAGACATAATGGTGAGCTCTCTGATTGGTTTGACGTTACATCTGGTTCTGGGCAGGGGGATATTCAGGGTCCACCTATCTTTAATGTTTGCATCAACCTGCCTGCGCAGCGGGCTGAGGATAACAAAGTGTTGTCACACGGGGCAGTGCTGCAGAGAGCTACCACCAGCTCTGGTCAGGATACAGTCGTCCTGGATACTGACTATGCAGATGATTTGGCTATCATGGACAACACCAAGGACGGTCTCCAGGAGACGACTGATCTTTTATGCATGTATGCGGCTCAGGCTGGCCTCAGAATCAATGCGAAGAAAACAGAGGTTATGGCCATCGGCAAGAATACATCACAGAGGCCGTATACTGAAGCATCAACGGTGGACATTACAGTAGGAGACACGGCTATCCAGCAAGTCAGCAACTTCACTTACCTTGGGTCGATTATATCAAGTGATGGGACTATTGACCGGGACTTGTCTGCACGGATCCAGAAAGCCTCAGGAGCATTCAATCAGCTCGGTAATATTTGGAAGAATCGCAATATCCAAACTAACACCAAAATACGGATATATGTTGCAGCGGTTCTAACAATATTACTTTATGGAAGCGAAGTCTGGAACACTACTTCAAAGCAACTACATCGCTTCGAAGTTTTTCATCAAAACTGTTTGAGGAGAATCCTTCGAATTAAGTGGTTCCACCGGACGAGCAATGTTCAAGTGTTGGAGCGGGCAAGAATAAACCCGGTTATAACCTACATCAGTGCCAACCGTCTTCGCTGGTTTGGACATGTTTCTAGAATGCCGGACACCAGGCTACCAAAGTATCTACTTGACTGGACACCTGCTCACGGCCGAAGATCACGTGGGCGGCCAAGAAAGAACTGGCGAACTTGTGTCCTAGAAGACGCAGTAACATTCACAGGAGATCCAGACATTGTATTTGATAAGGTCCGAGAGTTGGCAGGAAACCGAAAGCACTGGAGAGAGATGATACGACATAAGCGGCAATTCCTTGGTGCAGGCCACTCGAATGATTGAGGAGACCTTATCAAGTATCAAGTAAGTACTAACCTTAAACCTTAAGTCATCGCCAGACAGTTGCCGTGTTTTAGAAAATGCTGCCTGGGAGTCAATCTGAAGAAGTTCAGACAGATATGGTGGTGCTTGGCTGTACATAACCTTATACGCCAGAAGACAAATCTTGAAACTTATTCGTTCTTCAATGGGGAGAATGTGTGCTTTTTTGTAGTATTGAAGTATTGAAGAAGATCTACATCACGGTCATCGATGTTATAGATGAATCGTATTCCAGCATTCAGTACAGATTTGAGCTTTTTCAGTGACTTCATCGGTAGGCAAACATACAGTGCATTACAGTAGTCAAGCTTCGATATAACCAGTTGCTTCACTAGCATAACTTTTAAACTTTCATCAAGATAACATCGTATTCTCTTCAGATTAGTTAATGCCCACATTGACTTCTGTTTAACATTGTTTAGCTGTCTTTCCATGGTAAGAGCTGGGTCTAGTTTGACTCCTAAACTCTTCCAATTGTCACCGACACATTCTGTTGGCATCACTTCCGTACTCCCAAAATTAACAGAAATTTGATTCTGTCCAAATTCTCTAAGAACCAAAGGCTTCCCAATGACTAGTAGCTCTGTTTTTGACTCATTAAGTTTCATATAATTTTCAAGCATCCAGGCCCTTATTTCATCAAGGCAGGCATTGATCTTAATTTTCATTTCACTTAGTTCTCCAGGTATTAGGGGTTCAAAAGAAATGTAGAGCTGCGAGTCATCTGCATATAGCTGAATACGAATCCCATATTTAGCAGCTATCTTCTGAAGTTGTTTAATGTACAGGATGAACAGAATCGGTCCAAGCAAAGATCCCTGAGGCACTCCAAAAAGAAGACACATTACATCAGATAGCTCCTGACCAACTTTGACATTGAACGATCTTGCATGAAGATAATCCTCAAACCAGCTGTTAGCTTTACCTGTGATTCCAAAATCAGCTAAGAGTTTTCTGATAAGTATCTTATGATCAATTGTGTCGAAAGCTGCTGAAAGGTCTAGCAGGACCAGTGTCACAATTCTACCCTGCTCAATTTCCCCAAGAATGTCATCAGTCATTTTCACTAATAAAGTTTCACAGCTATGTTTTGGTCTATAACCAGACTGAACTGGACAATGAAGATTTTCTGCATCCAAGTATTCGTTGAGTTGACTGAGTATGTACTTTTCAAGGATTTTGGACATAACCGGGAGATTTGAAACTGGTCTATAGTTTTTTAGACAGTCAGGATCTGCTCCATCCTTTTTGAGGGTGGGTCTGACCACTGCTCTCTTAAGATCTGATGGAAACTTAGCAGTTTCAATAGAAAGGTTGACGATGTAGCAGAGAAATGATGCTAGTTCTTTAATGCAGTGTTTCAGGAGAAACATGGGTATTGGATCTAAGTCACAGAACTTATTTGACATACTTTTCACCAGGGTTTCCATCTCGGACACTTCTACTGCTTTAAAAGTCTCTAACTTTGACTCATTTTTATCACCTCTTGGGTTTTCCTGGGGTTCGGCCGGTACATCACGAAGGTTTTCAATTGAGGACCGGATGTTTTCCACTTTTCCAGAAAAGAAAGCTTTTAGATCATCTGCAACTTCCTTGGGATTTCCAGATGGCATACTTGTCTGAGAATTACCCAACAAGCGATTGACTTTCTTGTAAAGGGATTTAATATCACCTGATGAAGCTGTGATAGAGTTTCTATAGTATCCCTTTCTTTTTTCAAACTCCATACCCTGAAATTTATCCCGAAGTCCTACGTACGCTGATTTAAGTCCTTTTCCAGACCTCCAAGCTCTCTCTGCTCTTCTTCTCTTTCTTCTCACTTCTCTCAGCTCTTCATCAATCCAGGGAGTTTCATTAGCTTTCACTTTCCTGTCCACTTCTGGGCAATGGGTGTCCATAAGGCTCGAAAGAACCTCATTGTACTGTGTAACAGCTTCGTCTAGTGACCAGTCAAAGTTTCCTTGGCACAGAGATGAGTTCTTCAAACTTTCTCTAAAAATGTTTTTGTCAAGATCTTTAAAATTTCGGTAATTAACCTTTTTCCAAATCATCTTGGGTTTCTTACAGCAGTGATACTCTAAATCAAAATGAACCAGAAAGTGGTCGGAGGATGTTCCTGATTTGGTCACAGAAACTGGGCCCATTCTGGACCTAAGGTTTTCTGTAGAGAGTATAAGGTCAATTGTACCACCTTGTTCATGCGTCGCGTTGGTACAATAGGCATGATTTGATAAAGGTCATAGTCTTGTAGAAGTC